CTACAGGGGAAAAATAGCTAAACATGATAGCGTCCATATAAGGCTTCTGCCGTCTTCCACGAATTTCAACGATCTTCTATGATTTTGCCTTGCGATCGCTTTTTGGAGCCCCTTGCCCAAAGAAGGAATAAAAATTTTGTGTTTGCAGGCTGCTTTTGGAGCCTCGCCTTTTTAATTTTAACTTTGGGGCCTCGCGGTTTTTTTAGTTTGGTGTTTCGCTTTTCGGGGCCTTGGACTCTTTAGGGCCCCGCGCTAAAAAAGAGAACAAAAAAATCGTTTGGGGCCCCTCACTTTGGGTCCTCTATTTTTAAATTTTGGCCTATAACGTTTGGGCCTATAACGTTTTCTGGGGACCTTGGGCTCTTTGGGGCCCCGCGCTGAAACACTAAAACAGGGAACAAAAAGAAAACGTTTGGGGTCGATTTTTGCGTCCTCGAGTTTTCTGGGGGACTTGGGCTCTTTCGAGCGCACAGTTTGGGCCCCGCGCTGAAACAGATTTCTCGTTAATCCTTAATTCCTGCATTCGTTAAGCTTTGACGTCAGTTGATTTGTATCTATTTTTTCCTTCCTATAGTGTAATAAATTTCCTTGTTATAACTTAATTAAACATGTTGTTTTGCTCGGGGTTCGACCACAGAACACGTAACTGGCCTTGCCCAATGAATCGGATGCAAAATAGAACAATATACACTGTAAATTTGAAGGAATGAATCGCGGACTACAAAAGTGTTAATATTCCGTCACCAAAAATGGTGCCAAAAATGGTGTCAACATAACACTTTCTGCAGCTAGTCGGAACTGTCGGATAAGCAATTTATAGCAATATAATTGCTTTAGATTTAACACAAAAAGACCTTTCCATCGTGTGGGCTGTACTTGGCAATGCTACTATGAGAAACCGAAAGTGCTATTCTTGAGTTTCCTGTCACCACATAGGGAGTGTTTCGAGAAACACGAAGGTGTTGCATTTGGAATCAAATCCAGTATGAACGCGTTGGGGACAGTACTGTTTTCCGTCTTCTTACCAATACTCCTAACGAAACTTGATTGGCAAAGGACTTTCCTGATTTTAATTGGCATCAGTTTTATTACATTTTTGTATGCGTTAATGTACAACGATGCTGGAACAAGCGAAAGAATATGTAGTGTGAGTACCGTGATCAGCTTGCCCACCAAGGAGTTCTCAAAGAACGATTTGAAAATCTACTGGAAATTATTGAAGAATAAGAAGCTCCTGGTTTTTCTACTGGCGCATACGGTGTTCACGATTGTTGTCTTTATGCCTCCAATCTTCATGGTACGTTATTCCAAAGTTTTTCTTCTTCTACATTTCCATTTCTTTCTCACCATCTTCCAATCTTCATGGTACCACAGTAATTGGCATATGCTGTTGTGGTGACCCTGCCCTAGTTGGCAAAGCTAAATAAATAAATAAATAAAGTACGTTATTCCAATGTTTTCCTTTTTCTACATTTCCATTTCTTTCACACCATCTTCCAATCTTCATGGTACGTTATTCCAATGTTTTCCTTTTTCTACATTTCCATTTCTTTCTCACCATCTTCCAATCTTCATGGTACGTTATTCCAATGTTTTCCTTTTTCTACATTTCCATTTCTTTCTCACCATCTTCCAATCTTCATGGTACGTTATTCCAATGTTTTCCTTTTTCTACATTTCCATTTCTTTCTCACCATCTTCCAATCTTCATGGTACGTTATTCCAATGTTTTCCTTTTTCTACATTTCCATTTCTTTCTCACCATCTTCCAATCTTCATGGTACGTTATTCCAATGTTTTTCTTCTTCTACGTTTCCATTTCTTTCACACCATCTTCCAATATTTCTATTCCTATTTCTTATCTTGTTTTCATTCATCCATGCAGTGATCTACTAATTCTTTCTTCCTTCGTTCTTGTATTTATCCTTTTTCAATCTACGCATTGTTCATGCATCCACACTTCCTTCATTCCATTCTTTCTACCTCTCTCCTTTCCTTCCTTTCCTTTTTCTTTCCATTCTTCCACCTTTTCTTTCATTTATTTCGTGTTTCGTTTCTTCCAATTTAATCCACTATCCTAATTTCCTTCATATTCTAAAGGTCCATTTACACTTGCCTTCTTCGCATATGGGAACATATGCTCGGAACATTCGTAACCTATCTACTCGTTGTTCGCAGGTGGCAGAAGAAGAAAAATGTACTAGAAATCGCAGCAGGGCTGTTTTAGTTTACGAGTTAGTTCTCCCACCAAACATTTCTAACGGAAACATAAATTCCTCTATTCCACAGGTGCAATTCGCTACAAATCTTGGTCATCATTTATCCAAATCCAAATGGTTAATGATCGTTCGAGGAATTGTAGCAGTAGTCGTTAGATCAATTGCTGGTAGCTCAAAGGCGAGAAAAGTTAGATATCTAATGCTAATCGTGATGATATTATTTAGCATTGCAACCATTTTATGCGCTTTCACAAAATCTTTACATGGATGATGGTCTACATGAGTTTCGTGTCGCTTGTGGACAGTATTTACTGGGTTGTAATACCGTTGCATGTCAGCGAGGTCACAGATAAAAGTTATTCAGAACATGCATTCGCATTGTTCAGTTGTGCTGGTTCATTTGCAACTCTTGGAGGTCCACCATTTTTAGGTAAGCATTTTTCAAAATTTGAGTAGTTGATTAAAAACAAATTAAATACTAGTTTGCTATTGGATTCAAGAATTATCTACACTACCGCTTAGACGAGCAGTTACATTAGGGCCTACTATTCACAAAAACTCGTTCCAAGTGTGCAAAGTTTGGTGCGTTTTCTGGTAGTTTCTGTTTAGTAATCTCTCACAAAAGACAGTTGATATAAATTTGTTTTGTGTAAATACTTTGAAGATATTAGCATCGGAGTAAAGTGCTTGTTTTACCGTTTGAACTTTTCCCAATGTCGATTTGCTATAGCTATGTTTGCGAAAATGAAAAGAAAATAATGAAATTCTTCATTTTGAAGTTCAAGTAAATTTTATAAATACCAACTGAGTTATAACTTATATTTGTAGTCTTATTTAGTTGGAATTGTAGGAAGGAGAGTAGAACTGTAAGAAGATGGAGCTTGGAAAAAATAAATATGAAAAAAAAACACCTAAAACTTTTCATTGTTTATTGTATTTATAAATATCACAACAGTCGCTAACTACAGTTAAAGGCACAGTTCAGCCTGTTGAACGATGGTTTTTAAGGCGCATTTCAGCCCTGTTAATTGAAAAAACTAACTAGGAAAATCAATTAAGCATAATTCAAAATCACCAATCTTAATGTTTTTAACATTTTAAAACATTCATATTGTTAAAAACATCGAGTTTACTGATTTTGAATTATGCTTAATTGATTTTCCTAGTTAGTTTTTTCAATTAACAGGGCTGAAATGTGCCTTAAAAACCATCGCTCAACAGGCTGAACTGTGCCTTTAAAATTGTTCATCGTGCGTTTATAATTCAGTCTTGGGTTTTCCACTGTCAGCTTCAGCGCCCAATCCAGGGAATTTTTGATTGTCAAATTCTACACCTTCACATTCTGGTTGTTTTATTATGAAATCCTTGATGTCCCACGCTGTACTGCCATCTTGTACTAGAAATATTGCTCTGCGATCGGCTACCATGTATCTGAAGAAAAGAGGTTTGGGTTAGAAAAAAGTTTTTCGTTAGGAAATAAAATAAGGTTAGAAAAAAGTTTAGGTTAGAAAAACTTTTTTGTTAGGAAAAAAAATTAGGTTAGAAAAAAGTTTTGGGTCAGAAAAAAATTTTAGGTTAGAGAAAAAGTTTTGGGTTAAAAAAAGTTTTTCGTTAGGAAAAAAAATTAGGTTAGAAAAAAGTTGAGTTAGAAAAAAATTTTTATGTTAAAAAAGTTTTAGGTTAGAAAAAGGTTTACATTCGATATTGGTTGGAAAAAATATCGTAATATGTTTATTGAAATGGTGTGCCATTATATTTTATGAAGACCTTTTGGTGTTAGCTGTGATTTAAGGAATTGTCAATCGAATTAATGGGGTTCTTTGATGTTGGTTGACAGTTAAAAATTCAAGCCAACTGTCAGTCTTTAGTAAGCTATTTAGTAAGATGTCAGTTTCAAATTACTGTTTCATCATTTGTCAGCTATCTGTTAAAATATTTTATTGGTTGTCTGGGAAAAATACAGGAAAGTGTTAGTCAGTAAACCACAATCAGAGCCTCAATTAGGTAAAATATGTAACCTTTGTATTTGATACTGAGCATTAAATAAGCTATTATGCCATCTTTGAGTAAGTTCATCTGCTTCCTTCTTGTCAAATTTTACCACAACTTGCACAAAGATCATGACCGTTTTTCCTTTCTTTGACAACTTCAACATGGCCATTGGATCATCTTTGAATTGTGACGGATCAAACCCGCCTTCCTGTTTTGGCGGAGGTTTTCTAGGGTCGTTATCATCATAATCTTCGGGATCAAACTCCTCGTCATTCTCCTGGAGAATTGGAACAAAAAGACTTTGGTCAAAATGGAGGGAAATGCAAATGATCTTATCAAGGAGGTTGCTGTAGAGTAGGATCCCAATATGTGCGGTGAAAATGAGCCACCAATGCGAGACGGTTAGGTCAGCAAGTATCTCTGGTGTGCGGCAGGCTTAACACTTACTGAAAACCACTTATACATAGGATGGATTGTTTGCATATAGGGATAAACAGTTGGAGATAGGGATAAACAAAGGGATATTTTGCATATAGGGATATTTTGCATAGAGGGTATTTTGCATATTTTACATATAGGGATAAACAGTTGTTTGCATATCTAGGGATAAACATTTGTATATGCTCATGTCAATCTACCAAAATATAGACTGTCTGGCTCATCAGATTAAAACCTGTCAAATGTTCTTCTTGCCAAGTATAGAGTTTCACATCAGCATAGATTATATTTTAATGCAACTGTTTATCCTTAGATGCAAAGACTTGTCAAGTAGAGCCAGCTGGTGTGTGCACTCGATTGTTGCGACGCTACTTGGAAATTTTCATTTAAAATTTATATCGGTTTTAATATCTTGTCTCTACAAAACACAACATATGAGACACACTTAAAGTAAACCGGACGATATAATCAATTAAACTGATAACCACAAGGCTATATTACACGTGTATAAACAAAATTAATCTACTATATTATTCAATAATAATTGATTGACTCACATCCCACTGTTCTGCAAGGCGATACATATCAGATTCTGTATAATCAAGAACATCTTTGCCTATCTTAGTCTTTTCTTTATCCATATCCTCTGTTTCACACATGATAAACGTATAAAACATTGAAAACAGAAAGAAAACAACGAATGCTCTTTTAAACGCCATGTTTACCTTCTTTGACAATACTCCACGCTGTTCTTATTTCCATCTTCCAGAATGACTTCGTTGTGCTGACTTTGCAAATTTTTTTGTATTTTATTTATTTATTAATTTTACAACTTTTTATACACAACAAATAGATATTGAATTTAAGAATATACACATAGATAAAGGAAAAAAGGTATAATTAACAGGACAACAATCCCATATTAAATCCCAAGAAAGTAGTATACTGCTATATTTATACTATATATTCTGACATTTATACTGAATTTTCTAACTTGCTAAACAAAACATGTACACAAAAATTCATTATTTGTGTTTTTGAAGTGAAATTGTGAGGGGAAGCATTGACAAATAGTAAAAAAAACTAAAGAAAAAACATCGCCATGGACGACATTTCGGAGTATCTTATTTAGTCTCGTGACTTTATTGCGTAATGTTTACAATAATATGGCGGAAGCAGTTCGCCCCGTCAAGAAAAAAAAGAAGGCGAAAAAATCGCACACAGAAGGCAGAGGAAAGCTTGGAATTGTTGGAGAAGCTGTAGCTGAAAAGGAGAGAGGTATATTTACCGTTTTAAGGTTCTGTTCATGTTAAATATGGTTTAAAATAGAATTTTATGCATGACAAAGTTAATGTTGTTATTGTTTGTCGCGTGACAGCCTCAATAATATATGTATTATTTTGCATGTTTGATGACAAATGTTAGGTTATTAACATTGCATTTTGCTCGCATTACTGTCCTTAGATTCATTTTGACCAAGGTAGCAGCCCTTGCACAATATAAAATTCCATTTTACCTACCATCATAATGACGTCATTTTTGTACTTCGTAATGATAAAGTTTGATAAAGTGTACAAATATGTCCTCAAAAATACTTGTTACTACGTTGGCAAACCATTTGCAGCACAGTAATAGAGTCTACCATTACCATTAGAGCTTTCAAAATTAAATAAGATTTGTAAACATAATTGCCAGTCTTCTATTATACCAGTAATTAATACTAATACATGGTATATCCAGAATTACTGTGAAGTGTACCATTGTACATCACTGTAATTGTGTAACATTGTGCATCACTGTACATTGTACAATCTAACAGGATTATTAAAGGTTTATTCTAGTTAAAACCAAGCAAAAGTTATTTTAACCTTTTTCAACTTATATTAGACACTGCAACGAGGGAACATGATATTTTTGTGGCTGATGAAAACAAAAGTACTGAAGTCTTTGCCCCAGAAACATCAAGTTCTATAACACCTGAACTAGAGACAAATGTTGGTTCAGAACAATCAGAAGGACAGCCTAAAACTGATAAATTATATGAAAGTACTGTTATCCCTTTTGAAACTGAAAATTCTGAGCAAAATGTCAACCCTGAGCAGTTCAATTTAGAAGGGCAACATAGAGTAGAACAACATGAAAATATTGTTGCTATTGATGAAACTGAAAAAAATTCTGAGCAAGATGTTGCACAGTCTGAATCAGGACAGCTGAGTTTAGAAACTAAAAAAGTTTCGGATGAAGAGTTGGCCGAAGATGAGGAACATGGAGGGATAAATGTTGATGATAGTATACACAGAGGGACTAATGTTGATAATGATGTTCATGAAGGGATTGATGAGGGTGTAGTAGATGTTAAAGAATCTAGCAATGATAACATTTCTGAGGGACATTTGGGGATTATCCGGGATCAGGATGATATTAGAGATGAAGTTGGGGAGTGTGATGTAGATGTACAATCAGATGAACATGAGGTGTCACAGAGGGATAATGAATGTCCAACAAGCACTACCGATACAGTTGTACAGGATGAAGCAACCATTGATACAAGGGTTCAGAATGAGGCAAATATTGATAGTCGTGAACTTGAAGGGAAATTTGAAGAAGGCAGGTATGATGATAATGAGGGACAAGATAGGTCATTTGAGGTACCAGGTGAAGTTTCTAATGATACTAGAGAAAGAATGGAAGAAATGGAAGACAGAACAGAAGATATACTTGTTGTGTCTGGAGAAGATTTGGGGAGTCGAGAGAACAGAGTTGATACAAAAGCTTTTGCATTGAAACCTGCAGCTCAAAGTGAAGTAGTGAGAAGTGATGAAGGGACTTCATTATCTGCTACTCCTCAAGAGGCACATTTCAGCCAGTCCCAAGTAAGCTCTATGGCAGAGCAAAGTCAGCCAGAGAGTATTATGCAGGGACGAAATTTGTATGGACATATTCATAATATTTTTGGCAAGCAACAAGGTGAGGCATTTATTGAATTGTATAGAAATGTGGCTTTTGAAAAGAAGAAAAAAATGTAGTTTGATTTATATACTAGAGACTGATAGTGTGTGTGATATTTTCTTTTCAAACACAAGTTTCAACGAGTGCAAGAGAAACCGTAACAGCCTTCACCGAAGATGACTTGAAATCGTTTTACTACAATCCAGGTCTTGTGTATGTCGAAGATTCCGTAGAGGATTTTATAACGGTAAATTTAAAACACTGCTTGACATTGGAGAGACAGTTTGTGTGTGAAACGTTAATATTGACATTTATAAGCTGTATCCTGATAAATTACATCATTCTTCTTTAGGAAACTTTGGAACCCAGACGTGAAAGTGAATTTTACGAGCTGTTAAATACGTACCAAAATATGTCCAAAAATTTACACAATGTCAAAGCAGATATCCAGGTACTGTATGCAATGTAGCCAGAGTAAATATTTTTACATGCTAAAATTATCCCACTTTTCCTTATTACTGATTGGTGTTTGGCCATTATGTTTTCGGGCCTGTTTATACGATTCTGGTGGGAACGGCCACCGGAGTCCTGTCTAAGGGGATGGAAGCTGGATCATGTAAACAACACTCACTAGGGTTTATATTACGAGCAGGATCTCGGCAACTGTCCCGCCTAGCTAGGATCATATAAACAGGCTCAGTCACATTAATATATACCAGCAGAATATTTAGAAACACTGATTTTGTTCATAGAGTTTACAGAAGAAATGTATTGATCAAAAGAAAACCATTTGGTCAACAGAAACAAAAACTGCCACAGTCCAGGTAAGATTAATGACATTTGCTCTCATCTTGTTACTCTTCCAATAGCTCATAGACATTTGATCTCCACTACCTCCAATCTCTTCTTCTTTCACTGCCCAAGTCTCGACACCATACAGGATCACTGGGCCATAGATTAGGAAATGAATAGATGGCTCACTCCTTTGATGTTTTTGACGCTGCCGGCACCCACGCATGTTCTTGCCAGAGTAATGGCGGCCTAGCAAGTAACTGTAGTAAAATGCATTGTGAAATTGACATCGGTGCTACTAAATTCTGTATTTTTATAATTCTGATTTATTTTTCCATTTAACCCCCCCAAAGCGGAAAAATACAGGATTTAGTAGCACGGATGTCAATTTCACAATACATTTTATTATAGTTCTTGCTAGGCCGCCATTACTCTGGCAAGAACATGCGTGGGTGCCGGCAGCGTCAAAAACATCAAAGGAGTGAGCCATCTATTCATTTCCTAATCTATGACTGGGCTTACCATCGTTTTGTACTTCGGCATCTTCAGTCTCATTGGCATCCGTTTGTCAAATATTATTCCACTAATATTCCTCCATGTATTCCCCACAGTCTTGCCTGCATCTCTCTATCCAGATCACCATTCTTCTGTAGCCAAAATGTACCACATTTTTACCACAATTTTTGCTAGGTTATTTCTGTGCAGTGCTGTAGTTGTAGCGTGCTAGCGAAGAATTCATAGTTTTTTGTTGATCTATGTTTTCAGGGTATGTGTCGTGATCTACAGAAAGTGTCTTATACGCATTCTTATGATATGGCTGTATTCAACTCAGAACAAGCTAAAGAAATGAGCAGATCTTTGGACACTTTGAAAAGTACTGTACACGAGGTACTGTATGATATTATATGTACACATTGTATAATTCTACAACGTTAAACAAAAGGCTAAATCATCACACATAAATTTATAATTATATTCTAGACGTTTACCCTAGCGAAGTATTCTTGTGAGTTGGCTCGAATCCACATTATGTCATACATATATGAACTTCACGCGCAATCCCTCTACAGAGAACAGTTTAGAACTGATAGAGCTATCCAGTATAAAAAGTTAGTTTACAGGTAGTTTAGGTTTCCTTCTGTAGTAACACTGAATCAATAAGAGATGATTCTTACTGACCTCTAGAGAGAACAGTTTAGAACTGATAGAGCTATCCAGTATAAATAAAGTTAGTTTAGTTTAGGTTTCCTCCTGTAGTAACACTGGATCAATAAAAGATGATCCTTACTGGACCTCTAAGAAGAAAAGTTCACAACTGATAGAGCTATCCAGTATATATAAAGTTAGTTTAGTTTAGGTTTCCTTCTGTAGTAACACTGGATCAATGTGAGATGATTCTTACTGACCTCTAGAGAGAACAGTTTAGAACTCATAAATCTGATCCAGTATAAATCATGCTCCACATTTTTCAATTTAGGTTGCATTACTGTTACGAGTGGCGACTCTTCCAGATCACGTGTTTATCTTAAACCACGTGCTACGATGTCCACCTGGGATAACCCGGAAGCTGGCGCACTTTGTTCAACCTCTACTCTTGCAAACCTGGTCCCCGGATGCAAGCTATGATGAATATTTCTGGCATAATCCACTCTTACATCATTATGTTACGATGTTGGCGAACTTGTTGCTGCCAATAAAGTATGTCTATGTCAAATTATCATTGGTGCTTTGAGTTTGAACCAAACCTTTTTTAAAAAGTCTGCCTTGTGACGTAGTTTGTGGATTAATACGATCATTTGGCCAATCAGGCAAGCCAAATGGCTGTGCGGGGTTTTTCTTTATCCCCAAACTCCGTCACAAGGCAGACTTTGTAAAAAACTCTATACTCTATAGAGCGTTTGCACTCATTCCCCAGGGAGCAACTCAACAAAAGCCATGGCGGCCATGTTGGTGTTCCAGACAAAAGAGTCTAATTAAAATTCTTTTGAATTGGAACACCGACATGACGGCTATGATGTCATGTGCAAACGCTCTATATTCTCTCACTGGTAATTTCATACTTTTATCTTTTTATTGCCCTTTCTTTCTAAGATTACGAGAGAAATACTTGCTGCAGATGAAGTCTATTCTTTCTCCTGATGGTTCAGGTACTAAACATTACTTGCTTTAATGCCAAATTTTATTAGTTAAGTCCTGGACTTTGCGTGCAAAAACGTTTCATTGAACTTGATAGAAAGTCCAAAGATTGTTTCTTGGGTAATGGTCGACGAGGATGGAGAAGAGGTACGTACGGGTTTCACTTTGAAAACCCATAGGTTGAAGTAACTAGCTTTACTTATACTAGATCTAGTATCATCTCTTATTTCATGTCTTATTACAGGAGGAAACCTAAACTAAACTAACTTTATTTATACTGGGTAGTTCTATCAGTTCTAACTTGCTCTCCCTAGAGGTCCAGTAAGGGTCATCTCTTATTACAGGAGGAAACCCAAACTAAATTAACTTCATTTTTACTGGGTAGCTCTATCAGTTCTAAACTGTTCTCTCTAGGATTTGAACCTTGAAGAATCTTGGATGTTAATACCTGAGAATGATTTCGTGGCGTTGTTTTCTCAGTTTGCATTTGATGATTTATATAAAATCATCTTTGGAGGCGATAAATACGACGGTAGTACATTAAATAATTTTTTTATATTAATTAACTAACTTTAAGAGAAGGTCAGGGTCGTAGCGACCAGGTGTGGGTAGGGAATGTTCACCCCACCCCCATACTGTCACAGACGGTCCATTATCGGAAGTTTAGTAGTGACCACAAAGCCTCTGACGTTCCGCCTTCATTCGAGAGTGTTTTAAATCTTTTTTAGACACCAACCACGGCAGCTCAAAATATTTTCTTTCATTTGAAATCGTTTCTTTAGGCCTTCATCCTCCTGTGTCTTGTGGTCGTCAATCAGCGAAAAATGTCATGCAAGTGTTTGCATTCTCAACGTGTTTAATTCAAATGTTGGGCAAGGCTTTCACGTTGTACAGTATGAGACGATATAGAGAATTTGTCAAGAGACTTGGCCGCGCTATCAGGTAAAATTTGACCGTGTTTTCAGGGTTGGTGTTTTCAGGGTCGGTTGTTTTCAGGCTCGGTGTTTTCAGGGTCGGTGTTTTTCAGGCTCGGTGTTTTCAGGGTCGGTGTTTTCAGGGTCGGGTGTTTTCAGGGTCGGTTGTTTTTCAGGCTCGGTGTTTTCAGGGTCGGTGTTTTCAGGGTTGGTGTTTTCAGGGTCGGTTGTTTTTCAGGCTCGGTGTTTTCAGGGTCGGTGTTTTCAGGGTCGGGTGTTTTCAGGGTCGATGTTTTCAGGGTAGGTTGTTTTCAGGGTCAGTGTTTTCAGGGTCGGGTGTTTTCAGGGTCGGGGTTTTCTGTTGTTAATTTAGCACGATAGTGATGCACGTCTCTCGATATTGGTCTGCGTACAAGTCTGAATACGTGAATAAGTACGGTGACAATGAGATCACGTTTCATCTTGCGTTTGGGTCAGATTACTCCTTGGAAAAACTACAGTTGGAATATGATCAGTTCTTTATCAGAGCATCACAACAGATTCTCTCTGCTCACAAGTACGTTGTTAAATTCTTCTCTGAAGAAGTGGACTAAAACTTGCGGAACACTAAAATCTGTTGCTTCATTTATTTGGTTATTTCATAAGTAACATTTAAACTGATTTAAAGTTTTACGTGCGTATACGTACAATGAACATTTGTTGTGATATTATTTAGGCTTGGCGTATGGCAATTTCTTATTGATATGCCGTTCTACAGTCTGTCCTCCAAGATGACCTGGACTTGCTATCGTTTCCTACACAGAGGAACGACAGATAGAGATTCGTTTAGCTCTCTTTCCGAATACATCTCTTCACATAGTGATCAAAATGGTAAAATCCACTCAATCTTTTCTTGTTTCTCATATCAGGCCGAAGAAATTATTAACCTTTTCTACTTTTCCTTTAGAAATTTCAAGTTTGCTAGAAAGTTTTAAAACGATGACCGAATCTGAAATTGTATTTTTGTTGACGACATTTTCGAACATGGCAAGAGCACGTCCGGTTCAAGACAGTGATTTTATTAATGCTGTAGTTCGTGAAATATACGAGGTATGTATTTGTAACAATGTGTAACAATACCATACTATACCACACCTCGTCTTACCACATCATATTATACCATACCATACCATACCATACCAAACCAAACCAAACCATACCATACCATGCCATACCATACAATACCATACCATACCAAACCATACCATACCAAACCATACCATACCAAACCATACCATACCAAACCATACCATACCAAACCATACCAAACTATACCATACCACACCATACCATACCATACCATACCATACCATACCATACCATACCATACCATACCAAACTATACCATACCACACCATACCATACCATACCATACCAAACCAAACCATACCATACCATACCATGCCATACCATACAATACCATACCACACCATACCAAACCATACCATACCGCATGCAGCACATGGAGCACATGCATGTTTAGGATGTTTACTGTATTCTGTGTCTATGTCTGTGCTGCACAATGTTGACTCATCTATATGTATAAATTTTTTTTTCTAACTTGATCATTTTCCAAACCATATTAACTTTGGAAAGTGTAAAGATGGGTTGAGTGTAAAGATGGGTTGGGTAACCTGTCTCTATTGTTTTACAATGTCAATGTAATGTGTAGGTAGGACTTGATTTGGGACTCCTCAGTCCTGTTGTCTGTACCTTCAATCGTTTTGTTGATTGTAAAGTTTATAAATATTCTAAAATATTCTAAAAATATTCTAAAAATACCATACCATACCATACCATACCAAACCATACCATACCATACCATACCATACCATACTATACCATACCACACCACACCATACCATACCATGCCATACCATACCATACCATACCATACACCATACTCCACCATCACAACCCATACCATGCTAAACCACACAATACCTTATCACACCACACGAAGCTTTCTTATATATGTTTACTTATGAGGAGTACTTCCACTTAACTTCACAAGAGTCTCCTGGTACATGTACTCTACTTTCTTTCTTTCTTTCTTTCTTTCTTTCTTCCTTTCTTCCTTCCTTCCAGCCAGCTAACCAACCAGCCAGTTAGTGAGTCAGCCAACCAGACAGCCAACCAGCCAGTAATTAGCATTTCTTCCATATTTATAGTCCGGAGAGGTTGAGCGATGTTGGTCTTTCTTATATGTCCGTCATATTGGACGAAGGTCACGTGTTTCCCACGTGCAGGATTATTGAAAATACTATTCCGACTTTCTTTACAAGAGAGCTGTTGGCATTCTCAGAGAACAGTAGGTACGTGTCAAGGCCGTTTTACAATACACAACTTTTGCCCAAAACAACTGTCGCATGCAACCTGCTTACAACTTGAGTAGTACTGTGGAAATCAACCACACAACTCATTTACGTTGTCGTATAGTGAATTGTGTGCTTGATCAGCCTTGATGACACTACAACTCACGTTGTAAGAAGGTTAGTTGTAGTGGAAATCGGTCTTAAGCTTGAGATTCTAGCTCCAATGTTGTTACAATAGGTTTACGAGAATTATCGATGTCGTTATTCATTCTGATGTTCGCTGGAGGGAACAAGATGTTGTTGACATTTTATCTGGAATTATTCAAGTGAGTAAAAGAAATATATTGAATTTGTGATCTGCATGAGGAAATTGGACGTACATTAGTAACATGAGTTAAGCACTTTTGTTGAATACTATCATGCTAAATTTGTGATTTCTTTAAACCTCGTTGCAGAAACATGTCAAACGGTCAAGCGTTGTTCCTGATGCCAACCGTACTCTGATCGCGACCGAGTTTTGGTTGAGAGCATTATGCTGTTTAACTGACTGGAATACGTAAGTTCTCTAAATGATCCCTTAAAGGTGCAATGTTACTGTAGGAAAAGTGGAATTATTATACCAGGAGAAAACCTATTAGACACCAGATTACCTATAGACAGACCTTGTTTAAAAAAAAGCATCTTCAACTCCGATTTTTAACTTGATAAAGTTAATAAAACAAATAATTGATTTTCTTTTCTTACAGGGACACAAACGTTTTACAACTGTTGAACAATTTGTTGAAATGTATATTCAGAAATTCTGACGCTCACGAGTTTATCGTCAATTACTTTGTTGAGAAGCACCAGGTATGAACTGTCAACTCCTGAAGGCGAAACATTTAAAAATCTATTTCACGTCTTCTTATTTTCGTTATTCTGTGTTTCAGGACACATTAAGAAGCCTCAAAGATCAGGGATTTCTTTCGGCTTTTTTTTCGTTTGTCGTTTCATACCCTTCCTCTGCCAATTTGGTTGATATTAAAGTAAGTGTGTGTGTAGTGTATTTGATCACGTGGTTACGTTGAAGTGATGTGGTGAAACAGTACGTGGTATAAACTGTATCACTTCTGTGGCTAGGCTTTTATTCCTGCAATGTGCAAGTTGTCTGATTTTCCTGCAATTTGCAAGTTATCGAAGTCTCAGTCACAGAGGAAGTACATACAGAGATCTCACTTCAGGTTAATTTCGTGTAAGGGATTTTTTCAATTCGCCATGTTCTTAGCAAGTGCCCTAAAGAGAGGCAGTCACTCCCCTGAAAACATATTGAAAATATAATATTCCAGGGGGGTGAATGCCTCTCTTTAGGGCACTTGCTAAGAACATGGCCTCCAGCTATTTCGGTAAAAAAGCACCTTACGGTTTTGTAATGGAAGTTACACTTCTGTATGTCTTTATTCTGTGTCCCAGTCGCATTTGAAATGAGTGCTTCCAGTCTAAAGGCCCATTTCCACTCAAGAAAAATTTCCACGGACAGAAAATTTCCCGAAAATATCATTGTTAAAAGTTGAAAATTTTCAACTTAAAAATTTTTTTCCCGACGGAAAATTTGTCTCTGCCAATCACATTTTACAAAATTTTCTTTCTGCGGAAAATTTTCCGGAGTGGAAATGCAGGCCTTGACTATACGAAATATTGTAAGTTTTTTTTCTGAGTAGTCCAGTTGGTTAATTTAGTATTAGTTTTTCTATGAAAACTGGACTTTGAGGACTGGACTAGATTTCAAGTCTGGGCAATTTGATCAAAATGGATCAAAATGCGAGGAGTTGAAATCTAGTCCAGTCCTCTTAGTCGGATTTGAAATTACATCTCATTCGATTAAATCACTAAATGGACCATTTGCATTAGAATTAATTTTGATCCTGTCCAAGGACTGAATTAATTTCGATCCAGTCTCGATCATGAGAATTATTAATGAGTTTGAGATATATGATTCTTTCTGTTTCAGACGCACTCTCAGTATGTGTATTTCTGTTACTACGTTCTTTGCGCGGAGTCTCGGTATCAACAACGATGTGGCTTGAAATCTGGTCTCGCTAATAAACTTCATGACAAACCTCAGATGTGCATCGAGACAGCTTTGAAGGTTGTTTCTATGAATATTTGATTTTAGGGACCGCTCATAATTTATTGTACACGGGGGATTGAGGGGAAACTGGGGGGGGCTTTAAATTTTTTAAAACCTGAAAAGGGGGGGCTTTGAAAAAATACAGAGAGACGAAAGAAGGGGGGCTTTGAAAATATTTACCATTCTTAACAAATAACAATGTTTATAGACTTTCAATATTCATAAATGGAAGCCAAATAAAAAGTCTCTTATGTTCATGTAAATAGACAATCCCCATTATAGACTAATTTTAGAACTAGGCAAAGAGATGCAAATCAAGGCCGGATAAAAAAATGTTAGTCAGAATCGCATATTTTCACCGTTGAGAGTTGGGTCTAAAACCATTGAAAATGAATTCCCTTTAGTACTTAAGTTGATGAATTTCACTTCATTAAACTACGCACATATTCATAATTATTATGAAGTAGGAATAAATCTTAGCTAAGCTACGACACGTTAGTGATTAATTGCTTTTTCTTTTGTTATGCATTGTTTTAATTAGGCACAGAGGTGAAAATATGCGATTTTGACTGACATTTTTGATCGGCCTCGTACATGCTTATTTTTTCTCCACTTGGTATGAAAAGCATGTCATTCAATAGCTAAAAGCCTGATCTTTCCAAATATGAAAACCAATTGTTCGTACGCCGAGTGATTCACGTATAATAGCGCGCTGAAGTTCGATTACCTTTTTTTTGATACACCCTGTATATAGTTATCGACAGACCTACTTACATGCTACTTGGCGTCTTTGTTTAGAAAGTCTCATCTTCATTGAAAGATGTCATTCCTATCCCATCCTGCAACTTGGATATCTACCGCTGGGCAGACTTGGCGCTATCAACAGACCACGAAGAACCAGTACTTGCCGTAATCTGGCAGAACTTTTTTGTACAATTTTTACATCGCGTAACTGCTGGTCCAGGGTAAGTTTAGTACAGAACCTAGTTTTCGTTTTGACCGTAATATTTGACTTCGTTTTTGAATTTCTTCGTGTGCAGCAGATTTTGGTCAAACGGCAGTTCTCAGAGTGGGAAAATAATGTGATTTTCACGGGATTTTCTTAATTCTTTATGTAACAGTTTATGTTTGTTTTGTATCTTAGCCTTCCTGAGCGTGGCAGTGTCGGATCACGTTTCTTTGAAAGTACAGCGAACACAACATACTTAAAGGTAAAAGAATACTCCACATTACCCCTTCATTCAGAACAGATTGATGTCATTTGTGTTGCCCTCCGCCCCCTGGCGAGGGTTCCATCTGCTTAAAATAGAAGCAAAAAGAGAAGAAAAGACTGTTTAGGTATTTCAATCTCATAACCAACGCTTGTCTGGCAGAAAAAATATATAAAAAATTGTGTCTAAAAATGTCAAGAATCAAGCCTCCAGAGGCCGGTTGTATAGAAAATTGGTTAAAGTTAACTATAGTTAGTGGAAACGTCATCCAATAAGAAGTGCGTATTTGAGAGTTAATCACTGTGTAACTACAAAATAGTGATTAAAAAAGTGATTAAGAGTTTTATACAACCAGCCCTAGAGGCTCAAAATGCAAACATTTTCTGGTGGTGCTCCCCTTCCCCCACCCCAGAACACCTCCAATTCACTGAGGTTAGTCCAGTCGTCCGGTCAGTGCCAGTAATACTCATTTCTATCATTTAGATTATTCCAAACTTTAGCGCTGTGGTTGGATGAACCTCGTCTGCATAGTCCCACGTTGTTTCTGCAAGGCCTACCTCCTGTATATGATGCTGATCGCTTGACAAAGGTTTTGAGACGAGATGAGGTACTACTGCATCGCAGTTCTGTATGTTGTGTTAATATTTATTTTAATTTATTATTGTGTATGGGAAATAATTATCACTTATTTACTGAGACCGAGGGAAACAGTGTGTTTTGTGGTCAGTAAATAAGTGTTTTATTATATATCAATAGTCAAAGAAACAACAAATTAAAGAACAAATGAACGTAAATACATGAAATATTTAATTGTTAAAACGTTATATTAAACACTGGCTACACTGCAGTTACTTAAAGCGAAAGTTTTAATTACGTACTAGGCATGTCCAAAGGTCGCATCTTCACGTGATGGCGCACGTGATTTTTTTTGTTATTCGCCGGTCGATAACGTATTATCTCCCTCTCGCGCTGTTGCGAAGGAGACAGCCTAATTTCCTCACTCTCACGTGATATGCTCTCAACCAATAAAACACTAGAAAAATACGACTTTGACTATTGATATATAATAATGTTTATTATTTCATTGGATGTAACACATACGTAAAAACGCACAAGTTGTTACTAATCTGTTCACAAGTTGTCGACAAGATGTGTTTGCATTGCTTGTTCCAAGTTGTTGTAACAAGTTTGAAACAATCTGTTAACAACCTGTAACAAACTTGATGGCATTATCAGTGACTTGTTACAAGGTTCTAACAAGTCTGATACAGTTATGATATAACAAGAATGTTACAAGGTTGACCACACAGGGTTGTAACAATATTGTTATATCATGACTGTATCGGACTTGTTGGAACAACCTTGCAACAAGTCTGATAATGCCATCAAGCTTGTTACAAGTTGTTAACAGCTTGTTCCAAGCTTGTTGACAACTTGTGACAAGCAGTGCGAACACTGTTGGCAGACTTGTTACAAGATATGAGAATTTTACGTCTGTAGTCTTGCATTTGGTCACAAATAGACTTTGGGTTGTGTCTGTTTAGATCTTGTGGTTGGACAGTGTTGACTTGGCGATGATCGACTGGCAGTTGAATGCCTCGCTACAATTCTGGATGAGATTTAATAAAGAAAGACAAAAGAAAATCTGTACCATTCAAAAACGTAATCTGATTAAGAAACCAGGTAACAGTTTGAAGTAATGTTTTAAAGGAGTATGTTGTAATGAAGAAATAAATGAAGTTGAAGACTTTCTCTTTCGTAGAGCGTGTTGCCCACAAAACGTTCGGTCGTGAAGAGATGATTGAACCGCCGTTATTCAACGTTTTATCCACACCAATACCAGAATGTCCTGTATCCGTTCTCTTGGATAAATATAAAATAATGGAAACTTTAGGAAGGAACCTGGATGTTCTTGCGGATTATGCAAGGTACAGGAATACTTTATTTTAGTTGTAAAGGTACGTTTACACACAACGATGAATCGGGCCGATTCAGCTTTCATTAAATGATATTTGAAAAATACGCTGTCAACGTCATCTGACGACATCGTCAACTGACAACAGTCGTCATTAACATTCGGCAAAACCTGAAATCGGCTCGATTAATCGTTGTGTGTAAACGTAGGTTAAGGGAGAGCACGCGTAGTAGCTGCGGTTTGCGGGCTGCTCCTTACCTCTGAGTAATCCAGGGTCTCCATGTTTTCTGGCTTGCCTCCCTCACCAAAAGCTAACCCTTATGTCTTAGTTGTTGAGCACATCTATCACGAGTAACCACACCCTGCGTAATCAATATTACAAAAATCATTACCATTATATCAATGTTCATATAAACACCTGTATAAAGGAACTACATTTAGCTATATGAAATGACTGTCTTCTTTTGGTTTAGAAAATTTATGATGAAACTTTCAACAAACTCCGCTCTTGATTACGAGTACATGGACATGTTAAAGCACCTATATGAGAACACAGAAACACAGGTAGTGTTGAGATTTTTGCTCTTTAGTATAAGACAATATCTAGAAGGGAGTGTATAGTCAAATGTAATCGCCACAATATTGGACTTTGTAACTTATTTGATAGCTTCAAATGTCCATACCATGTCACAAGAAAGGAACTACTAAGAAAGGATGTCAGGGACCTGCTAATCTTGTTGTCAAGGTAATGCCTTAATGCGCATAATAATCGGGTAGATGCCTTAATACGCATAATAATTGCGTGCGGAAATTGGTACCACATTTGGGCTGAAAATGGTAGCAATTTCCGCACGCAATACAAAAGTACAAAATTTGCAAACTTTGCAAGGCTATAGTATATTTTCCCAATGTTTGCAGATTTATTCCTGCGCGCAGTTTTATTTCTGCGTGCAGATTTATTTCTGCGTGCAGATTTATTCCTGCGTGCAGATTTATTTCTGCGTGCAGATTTATTCCTGCGTGCAGATTTATTTCTGCGTGCAGATTTATTCCTGCGTGCAGATTTATTCCAGCGTGCAGATTTATTCCTGCGTGCAGATTTATTCCTGTGTGCAGATGTATTCCTGCGTGCAGATTTATTTCTGCGTGCAGATTTATTCCTGCGTGCAGATTTATTCCTGCGTGCAGATTTATTCCTGCGTGCAGATTTATTTCTGCGTGCAGATTTATTTCTGCGTGCAGATTTATTCCTGCGGCAGATTTATTCTGCGTGCAGATTTATTCTGCGTGCAGATTTATTCTGCGTCAGATTTATTTCTGCGTGCAGATATTTATTCTGCGTCAGATTTATTCCTGCGTGCAGATTTATTCCTGCGTGCAGATTTATTCCTGCGTGCAGATTTATTCCTGCGTGCAGATTTATTCCTGCGTGCAGATTTATTCCTGCGTGCAGATTTATTCCTGCGCGCAGATTTATTCCTGCGCGCAGATTTATTCCTGCGGCAGATTTATTCCTGCGTGCAGATTTATTCCTGCGTGCAGATTTATTCCTGCGTGCAGATTTATTCCTGCGTGCAGATTTATTTCTGCGTGCAGATTTATTCCTGCGTGCAGATTTATTCCTGCGTGCAGATTTATTCCTGCGTGCAGATTTATTCCTGCGTGCAGATTTATTCCTGCGTGCAGATTTATTCCTGCGTGCAGATTTATTCCTGCGTGCAGATTTATTCCTGCGTGCAGATTTATTCCTGCGTTCAGATTTATTCCTGCGTGCAGATTTATTCCTGATAAGGGATTTAATCGCATATTTTTCACCGATGAGGGATTACCCTTACCAGACGTCCAGGGAGTGTTGTAGGGCTGTCCAGTGGAAATAAACTTTAGGCTTCTTCGTGTTTTAGTACCGTGAAAAGAAGTCGTGCGACCCAGTTCGTGACCGTGCCAGTCGAAATCGTGAGGAATTCAAGATGCTCATGCGTGAAATGTTGCACCAGATGCCGCCTGATATCTGTCTAAACGCGTTGTGTGTAGAAAAAACGTTGACGTAAGTTGTAAAATGTATTGGAACTAGACTACTCGTATGGGACTTGAATTTATTGGACCTAGCCTATTCGTATGGGACTGTGAGCGGGCTATCTTTTTTAACTTGAATTTATTATGCATAAACTCAGATCAGAATGACCCGAGAATGATATAGTTTCTTGAATTATTTTATCCAGGTTGCTTCTAAAGCAATGGAAAAGCTGCCAAAATCCAGCATTTAGTAGTAAGTATGGTAGTTAGGGCCGTTGGTATAGTATATGGTAGTTAGGGCCGTTAGTATAGCAAGCGTGTAGCAGATTGTCAACTTCAGAAAGGTTGACCATCATCTACTGCACAACAGTGTTGAGTGAAATCCATCATTGTTAAAATGTCGTTCTGAAGTACATTTGAAGTGTTGTTACTCCGGCAATTAATGAGAAGTATATTTGCTAATATTTTTCAGAGAAGTTTGAAGACATTGGTTGCAGTACGTTCTACATGTTCATCGATATGGTTTCCGATTCCGTGCGACAGTTTCCTCCAACAATGCAGTTTTTCTCAACTTGTGTTGAGCTACTTGGGAAGGTACGCACGATTTCCTGATACCTAGTGCAACCATACCACATCATACTACAATATACATACATTATTATACCATGCCATACCATACCATACCATACATACTGCATCCTCCATCATACCATACTTTATCATATTATACTATACACTATAATACCATATGATACTATACTGTACCATACCACACCATGGTCCATAGACTCCATACCGTATAATAACATTCTTGACATTACCTAACATTCCATTTCCTGTTTTTCTTTTTTTTCTTTTGTTAATTAAGCCTTATTTCCACACAGGAAATTTTTCGGCGGAAAGAAAATTTTGCAGAATGTGATTGGCTTGGCCGACACAAATTTTCCGTCGGAAAAAAATTTTGAAGTTGAAAAAAAATTTGAAGTTGAAAATTTTCAACTTTTGACAATGATATTTTCGGAAATTTTTCTGTCCGTGGAAATTTTTCTTGAGTGGAAATGGGCCTTTATCGTAAAACTACATAAGCATTGAGTTACGAATCTTTCTCTTTAAACATTTGTTTTTCAATTCTCAGACTTTTATCATGGAGAACCGTACTCAAACAGAAGTTTTGTTGCGAACAATCCTGGCTCGTCCTAAAATCGTTGGTTTGCTATTACCAATATTTCAACCTAGCACATGTGAGGACAGTTTCACGGAAATGTACGAGAATGTTATTCAGACGAATTTGGACGTCGAAGTCAAGTTTTCACTCCTTTCCAAGGTATATGCATCTGTACAAGGTATAAAATTTTCACAATTTTTGAAAAAAAAAATAGAAAAAATTCTCAGAAATTTGAATCCCCCCCCCCATTCTACCAAGTCACTGTTCTTCCTAGAGATCCTGTAAGGGCCACCCTTAGCCCCTCCCTTTGCTCCTTCCGACGGGGGCACCCCTGTACCAACAGCATCCCAATTAGGTCTTTCTTAGAGACTTAAATTTCTCTGTTCTATATTTCAGTTGTGTTCCCTCGTTGAAAGTTGTCGTGGTTTTCTAATAGAAATCTTTCCCAGAATACCCTGGGTTGAGGTCTTGCAACATTTTCGGTATGTTCAAATGTATTTATTCTTGTATATAACACACTACAATCTATTTAGCGACAAAACTCCATAACATCAATCACTTGTAGATCTTGCAAATCATAAACTTATATCTTTATTTCCCTTTTGATTTAGACTCGTTGAAGGAGCGACTGCGCTGAAGCAATTTCAGAATCTACTTTTTAATTTATTACTAGTCTTGGGAAATGAGAAGAGTATCATTAAGATAGAGGTAAGGCTGCTGAAAGTTTCAAAATAAGAACAAAACAAGGGAGAATTTTTAACTTATATTATATTTCCTAGGAATGTGAAATGTTGACTCTCGTTGGAAAGGCTGTGGAATTGGATTGGGACCTTCTAGATGGGACGTAAGAAATGTTCAATATCAGTTCCAAACTTTTCTTCCAATATCCTTCTAACCCCCTTCAGGTCCAGCAAAGGCCACTTCTTATTGGTCCAGTGTTACTGCAGGAAGAAACCGTTCTACCCAGAGAAAACCTGTGGTGTTTGGTAGAGTCAAACGAAAAACACTTCTCTCATTTGCAACTGATGTGAATTATAATCAGACAAGTGAATATTGTAGGAATTAAACCCTGGTCACAGGATGGGAGGTGGTATGTACTACTTCAATTCTAAGTAAAGTGTTCTTTCTATTTTAGCACATTCCGCTCAGTCTGTGATTGGTTGGTATCAAACTGCAATTATGTTGAAGTATTGAAACCGTCTTCTGTGATATGGAACAGTATCAGGTTAGAAAGTCTCTAGCAGTTGTTTGGAGAAGCCAATTTGTTCAATTGCCTTTTAGCGCTAATCGTATATTCTGATTTTTGTTTAGATTGCTCCAAGCTGCATGTTTATTGTCTTCCTTGGTTACTAGCGAATACACTTACACTGTAAGTATCTATAGGATTGAGAGTGAAGCTGATGTAAGGAAGCAGATATTCGTTAACTTCATAGTTGTTGATACTTGTGATGTTACTCTGAATGTATATCCACACCGGGCAAACTTGAAAAATATGCCAGAGTATACTCAGAGTAACATCACAAGTATCATATTCACCTGAGTACATTACACCAACACAGAAAAAATTCATGATTCATAGTTGTTGTTTGTGATGTTACTCTGAGTGTGCATTCACACCGGGCAAGCTGAAAAGTTTGCCTGACCAGGGTGGGAATTGAACCCGCGACCTTTGGGATACTAGTATTGGACTAGTATCGCAAAGGTCCCGTGTTCGATTCCCACTGTGGTCAGGCAAACTTTTCAGCTTGCTCGATGTGGGTGCACACTAAGAGTAACATCACAAACATCATGCTCACCTGATTACATAACACCAACACACACAAAAAATTTCACAGTTGATACATATTGAAGCAAGCAAATTAAACTACATTCCACAATCTTTATATATAGGCCACCAAATACAAGACTACTATACAAGATTAAAAGAAATAACATTATTTTGTCCCTCTGAGAACTACCAGTTGACCACCATATCCACCTACAGCATGGTGTCAATATTCTTTTCATTTCTTAGAATATCCCAGAGAAGCGTCTACATTATTTGAACAGTATGGTGAAATTGTTATGTAAGTGTTCTGCCAGTCCTGAGCACACACCTGGACTGTATCGTCCTGTCATTGAGCAATTGATGGACAGTGTATTGGTTGCCTCGACCTCAGGTTGGTGGAATTTCACAGAACACGAATGCATTGCATCGAGTTTTCTTCCTGAAATATACAGTTGTCGAACGTTTGAAGAGTGTTTCCAGTTTGACTTTCCCGAACATCGCAAGTTTCCTCCAATTATTCTGGTTTCCTCGTGTTACACTGGACCATTAAGTGATAATCCTTTCTGGACCTCAGGGAGAACAGTTTAGAACTGATAGAGCTATCCAGTATAAATAAAGTTAGTTTAGTTTAGGTTTCTTCCTGTGGTAACACTGGATCATTAAGTGATAATCTTTACTAGGGAGAACACTTAGGAACTGTGGACCTATCCAATTTTGAGATGCAGTAACCTTATCTTTCTTGATTTTTTAAGATGCAACAACAAACAACCAGAATATAACATTTTTGTACATGGAAGTCCTGAACCTTCTCAACAGCTTGTCACCCACGGAGAAAGTTCTAGTCCTCGCTTTAGAAACCATTCAAGAGAAGATCCGTGATCTGACTCAGACCAATGTTATCTTAGCTATGATCGTAGCAGCCTGTCGTTCTCTGGCCAGTATTAACCTCATGGTACAGGTGGTTGAGGTTGCAGTGGAAACACACTTTAATAACATCAAGCTGCCATCGATTGGTGAAGGCAATGAATCTCAGGAAGGTTTGGTTGATCCTTGGACTGATGTATTTGCTTCAGTTACCGTGCCGGAGTTATCTCAACGAGAGTTTGTTCAAGGTTGGCACACAAATATGATAGAAGAATAAAATAAAACATTCCTCAAAAGATAATCCCTCTTACTGATAGAGCTATCTAGAACTGATAGAGCTATTTAGTATAAATGAGTTTATTGAGTTTCTCACTATAAAATGGTGAGCAAATTTCCCAAGCTACGATTTAACGTCCTTATCCGAGAAGACGCGAAAATCTAACCATTTACTGATGAAGGATTAAACCCAGCCTGGGTCTTGAAAGGCAAGCGTGTTGTCCATGATACCACATGTGTTGGGTTTATGCATGTGGGTTTCACTTCTGTTCCAAGGGTTCAATTGCTGATTATAATTTATTCTCAGTCACGAGAAGTAAAGTACTTCCAGTTTGATTCTGCCAAACACGGCACATTTTCGGTAGATACCTGGGGTTTTTCCTGGAATACTGGGCCAAGAAGAGATAGGCTTATTAAGCCCTTGCTTCGTAAAATGATTAACTTTTTTCTTCTTCTTGATTCTTATATAGAATGTATTAATCATAATGCAGTCTTAACTTTGTTCACTCATACTGTCCAATATTTGTCTCAATGTCAAAGTGCTGCTGCAGAGTTGATCATGCTCAAAGATCTCACCGCGTGGACTGCAAGTATTAAACCAAGGTGAGAGAGGATTGCATCTTACTTCCTTTACTCCCGGTAGTCAACATTTCCTTCTGTACTTATTCTGGACCAATAATACTCTTACTGGACCTCTTTGAAGAACAGTTTAGAACCGATAGAGCTATCCAGTATAGTCCTAGCGTATAAGCGCACCTTAACACATACATGTGTTCAAATAATCATTTTGTTTCACTAACGTCCAGTGTACGTTCGTTCAGTAGTTCCAACCAAACCACGACAATAATTTTCATCTTTTCTTGACAGTAACCCAGATACGGAAAGCAAAGTGATATTACTGTGGTACAAGATCTTACAACTCATAGTCCGTCAAATCAGTTATGACGTCAACTTGCGTGATCTGGGTCAACAAGTCGATTTCCTTATTCCTTACATCACTCACGCTGGGGAAGATAGGGACACGACGGGGCTCCTAGGAGTAATTGGATTTGGAAGAAAGTCTCCACTTACCGCAAGGTTTGTATATTCTGTGAGCTCTATATGTAACTGGAGCTCTATATGTAACTGGACCTCTATATGTAACTGGAGCTCTATATGTAACTGGATCTCTATATGTAACTGGATCTCTATATGTAACTGGATCTCTATATGTAACTGGAGCTCTATATGTAACTGGATCTCTATATGTAACTGGAGCTCTATATGTAACTGGATCTCTATATGTAACTGGATCTCTATATGTAACTGGATCTCTATATGTAACTGGAGCTCTATATGTAACTGGAGCTCTATATGTAACTGGATCTCTATATGTAACTGGATCTCTATATGTAACTGGAGCTCTATATGTAACTGGATCTCTATATGTAACTGGATCTCTATATGTAACTGGAGCTCTATATGTAACTGGAGCTCTATATGTAACTGGAGCTCTATATGTAACTGGATCTCTATATGTAACTGGATTGATATCTTCAGGACTTTAAACTCTTCTTCTTTATCTTTCTGTAGCTTTCGTTTCCTGTGTCGTGCTCTGTCCACGTTTCTCTCCGCGCAGCTACCCACCAACGGCTTACCACGTGTGAAGACAAACGCACCTGGATGTCCTAAGGCCGGTGCTAAGAAGGTAAATTTAGAGATGTTGCCTTTCGTTGACCTGTATGTAGTTTATATAGAGCTATCCATTAGAATATAAAGGTAGTTTAGTTTTGGTTTCCTCCTGTAGTAGCACTGGATCAATAAGAGATGGTCCTTATTGGATCTCTAGGGAGAACAGTTTAGAACTGATAGAGCTATCCTGTATAAATAAAGTTAGCTTAGTTTAGGTTTCCTCCTGTAGTAACACTATACCAATAAACTCATTGCTGGATCTTAAGCGAGAACAACTTAAGACTTGTAGACTCTTTCCCTTCAGAAATTCACATCGCCAAGTCATATAAATAAATGTTTATATTCACAGGAAACGACGTCTGGTCCTGTCGCTACACAGCGTACTAACACCGCGTTTCACAATCTGGAATCACTACGGTTAAATAAAACATATTTGAGTTTGGTGGAACATATCGAATATGCATGTAAATATATTATCAACCCAGAACACTGTTTGTGTGATGGACCTCGATTCCTGGAAAAATTAAGTCAAGATTTGTTCAAAGATAAAAGTTATCTTGTGCTCGCTGTGTGAAGAGGATGCAGGAGGATGCAAGAGGATGCAGGAGGATACAAGAGGATGCTGAATGATAGTTGAGGTAGCCAGTAGTTAGATGGAGATAGAAGACTACAACAGTGAGGTATTATCCATATCTGAGGCTGGTTGTGTCAAGCCCGTTTGGCTTAAACAGTGGTTAAGCTCAAAATAGAAAGCAAGTCTATAGATTCATTCAACAACCAAACTAAAAGTTTTGAACCTTAATAGAATGATAATGTTTACAACTACATATTCAGTGCACAATATTTAAGTTAACTGACTCACGAGAGGTGTAAGGGTATTATTTAAGTTTGACTAATCCACCGTTTAAGCTAAACGGGCTTGATACAACCGGCCCCTGGTGTTCAGACTAAATTTAAGGGCTGTGTTTCCACTGGTTACTGTAAAGGTAAGAGGTAAGGGAATTTCGGGCTTAACATGATTGATTCAGAGACGTGTGTCCGGGGGGTCTTATATAACAGGCAGCGAAACATCACAGACAGTGAAACATAACAGACAATTGTCAGTTAGCCTCCTCCACAGGCATCTCACCCGGGGAATCGGGTGGTCAGAATTTTTTTTGAAACCCATTCGCAGGCTAAAACCCGCGGAGAGGCCTGCGGAAGAGGCTAACAGACAGTGAACTTAATTTATTGTAAATGATGTATCCTGGGGAATGGGGGAGAATCGTAAGAAATTCCACGAGTAAGGACATGTCGGAAACGTTAGACGCGTTCATAATTTCGCAGCGAAAGAACTGCGTAGATAGTTTTGATCAAAACGGTATAGAATACAGTTTGTAGATTTTAATATAATTTTAAAGTGCTGCTGCAAGCACATTAGCACAGACAATTAAGTCTGGATATAACCTAGTATAACGAACCACTAGATGTGGAATAAAAATCTAACCGAAACGCTACTTTTACTATATTGAGTTCAAGATGGAAGTTTTAACCCGAGTTTATTTTTATACTTTATTTTTTACTACTGACGATAACTTGGTTATCGCTTCTTAATAGATCGTAAAATATCACGCACGCAATTTGTATCGTGAGCACGAACAACACGAACGCAAATCGAGCACGTATATTCGTTTTGTTCACCTGCTATCCATATTCATCTCATCCCTTTTTGTGAAGAATAGAGGCAGTTAATAGGCTTATTCCCTAATGGAACCGTGGCGCAATGCATGCCGGTAGTTGGGTATCAAATTCACTTCCCCGAGGAAAATTGTTGCCATGGCGGCAATTTTGCTTCGAAGAAGAAATAATAATTAAAAAAATATTTTTTCATTGTATTCTCCACTTTCAACACTTTACAATGAATGATATAATTATAGTCATTATAGTCTTATTAACCGTGCATTATTTGTTTTTCAAAAAATTCTCCAATATATGACCTATTAAAGTGTTTTGTCTTCCCGTCGTTAATTACGGGTCAAATCTAGCTAAAAACAGTATCCATCCCAAGGCTACTAAATAATGTCAACACAACGTAGAAACAACCAGTACCGCGAGTCACCGAAGCGTGCCATGTTTTTATTAATTCTGCTAAAATATCCTCTCATTGGTGGACGTGAGTTCCTGTCGACTTCATAAGTCAACATTTAGAAAGCTACACTTCACACACACCTTTCTGGCTGCAGACAGGAACTGCTCAGACTTGCTCGACAAAGAACAAATTTAAAGATGGCAGGTATGTTCTTAAGTGAATTGTAAAATATATCTGCTTCAATTGTTTGGGATATGCTGGTGATATACGTCTTATTGTGTTTCAATATACTGTATATAGTGGTGCTTTAAATAGGTATCATACAGTTACGATGTTTTGAGTGTAGTGATTTAAATCGTACATTAGACAGATTTAGATCATAGTTTAGATCGAGGACGCGGACGCCAAAGACGACGTGAAAATGGCGTGTTGTGCCAATGTATGGATATGCCACGCCATTTTCACGTCGTCTTTGACGTCCGCGTCCTCGATCTAAATATGTCTATTAATACTAATCTTGCTCAAGACCATAAGTAAATGAGCAGTGTAATCCCCTTATATATATTGTTTGCCAGTGATAGTCTATTAAATATCATGTTGCTATATGGTATCTCAAAAGTGGTAGTCCAGTGTGGGTAGTATTCTACAGTAAACTGTTGTGGTTTGTGTCTGAACTACCTGAAAAATATATCTCAAACGTGGTGGTCCAGTATAGGAAGTATTGTATAATAAGCTGTCTCTACTAGAAAAGGTGTGTAATTTCGTTTGTCTGCCAACGGGCAAGCGTAGTACAATCTATACTGAAAGTACGGGCAAGGATCTTTTGCATACGGCTTCAGTGCTATGATAGCCATGTGAAAATGTGCTTTAAAATTCCCCTGAGCCAAACCTATCTCCGTTAATATGCGTTTCTAACCTTTCTAAGTCGGTCTATGACGAAATAATTTTTTCGAACTGCCAAAAATTTTCTAATTGACAAGCCTAGCTTTATTTGACTCCGAACTCCGGGCAACGGCCATAGTCTCACGGCAGGATTTAATTTGGGCGACTATTCATGTCCTGTTATCTGCAGTAACAATGAGTCTTGTGTATCAGTAATATAAACAATTTTTGTCTGCAAATAAATATTGGCTTCAAGCATCACATACCACTTCCCCCTGGTGTTTCTATAAATAAAAGTAAAATTGTTTTAACATATTTTTTTAAATTGCTACTTGTATTTAAAGAAAAAAACATTTCCCATGAATCTCAAACATTTCCAGATATCAAGGCGGAAATCCAAGCTCAGATGAAAAAAATGGAAGAAGCAATGTTGGCGGGAAAACAAGACGAGATGGTCAATTTCTACACTGATGACTGTCGAGTTCTGCCAGCTGGTGCACCAATGTTGGTTGGAAAAGATGGTATATTTCTTCATGTGTTTTGGGAAAACTATGGCCCCTCAGACCCCGTTTACACTGTACCGGGTTGGCTGGTCACGACATCTTCGTTTGCTGTCCAGGAGCAACGTTTAACAACAAAGGTTTATGTTTTCGATAACTTCCGTATGTTTCTGCTTGTTACTACCATTATAAATGTGTAGGCTGTTTCATTGACTGTTAAAACTGATGTCGTGACCAGCGAATCCGCTACAGTGTAAACGGGGTCTCACTTTCATGAGATATATACGAATTTACCTTTGACTTGCGTTTGTAGCAAGTCATTTCTTGCAAGACCAAGTCAAGTTACTCACTGCACATATGCATAGGCATAATGCGTTTGAAGTTGGAAACAGGCTTTAAATAGCCGGTTCCCCTTATTGCGTATTCTGAATACAACTACCAGCATGCTTTTCGGACGTGTTATTGCATAATGAAGAAAATACCTGCAAAGTATCATGGTAGTTGTATTCAGAATACGTAATAAGGGGAACCGGCTATTGCCCGCCAATCGTTTCTCTTGTAGCATTGAGGGGATTCCTCGCTATCATGGCTCAGTTCATGGAGAAAGTTGGCAAAGTTGAGAACATTGCCGTCGACGCTGTTTCAATGGGTGAATTAGCTTCTTCAGTGAATGCTTCTGTTGTTTATGACAAAGACGGTAAAGTCTTCGATAACAACAAGTAAGTGTTCTGTGTGTTCGGTGTGTTCCGTGTTGACCACACCCTCAAGCGGGGCTGGCTCGGTTAACCTGGACGATTCGTGTAATAAAGCTCTTATCATGACTTTGATAAACATCTAAAATGACACGAGGCTTAAATAACTGAAATCTGTTTCTTTACAGATCAATTTCTCTTTGGAAAAAGGTCGATGGAAATTGGCTTGTCCACTGGACAGCGTGGAGTAGTGACCAGCCAACACCGTCACAGTGAACAATTTGTATGAATGTCAATAGTTTTGAAACATTTGTAGCCACGAGTAGTGAAATAAAGCAATGAAATAAAACAATTTTTACCGGAAATCATTTATTTTTTTGATAAACTTTTGGTAAGATTCAATCTACTTTAACATATTTTCATTAACATATATTCATTCCACGCAGGCTTGTTCTTACGATTCACACATGTCAATCAATTCCTCGATATCCCTCACCAACTCCTCGGGTTCCACTGCTGACGTGTACCGTTTCCATGGTTGCCCTTTGTGATCCAATAAGATCTTCTCAAAATTCCAACTGATATCATCATTACGAACTGGAGTATAGTAGATGTCAGAAATCTCGTTGATTGCAAGGCTTGGGGATGGACAACGTGTCTGTTGAAAGTGAAATATCATGATATTATATACTTTGTCAGTTGTAAGCTAAAACTCAAATCATGCAATATGGGTCCTTTGCACCGTAACATGGCAATAGTGCCACGATCCAATGATCGGAATGTCCTTTTCATTGTTTTGAAAATCCCACTGTTCTCTATGCCATCCAATCTTTCATTATTTTCACTTGCTTTTAGCTTTATCAGACACCCTTTAGGAGTTCCTGGATGTTATTCAGTATCCGCTAAAATTCAAACAATTTCTCCGCTCTCATTAAGTCTCAACATATTTTGCAAGATGTCAGTTCCAAAAATAGCTGCTTCATTTTTTCAGCATCACTTTAAAATATATCATTTGTCACTCTTTTATACATCAAGCAAATGACATTTGGACTCAAGAGCAAATACACGCAATAATTTTAGACCAGGGAAATATAGATGAATGAAACTGACAGTGTGATATCATTCATGAAAAATGAAAGATGTTATTGTTATAGAGGGCACAATTCACCACGTTAATAAATTATTACCACTTGGGGATAAACTAATGAAGGTTCTATATAATTAAACATGAACCAGAGTGTTAGTTACAGGACTCATATATCGCTAAACATTAATGAGAGTTTGTGCATGTGGATGTCAGCTGTCAGTAACATGTTTGTCAATGCCAAAAATGCTGCGTTTTCATCAGCTATCAGTTCAATTATTTTGTAAGATTCCCGTCAAACATACAGGCAAATATATCTGACTGTAATCATCACAGACCCGCCCTCTTATTATATCTTACCTTCAACCAAGTATACAAATCATCTTCATTCCTGCCATTCACGTCCCGTTTCTTCAACAGAGCCATCTGCGGTTCAAAGCCTCGACCAGGTCTGACATATTTAAGACCGTTATAGATCTCTTCTGCATCGTTCCCTGGCTCCTGGTGCGCAAACTGATTGCATGGAACGGCCAAAATCTTCAAACCACATCGATCGGAACTTCTATACTTTTTCTGCAAGCTGTTGAGGCCCAAGTATTGATACGTGTACTGACAAAACGTAGCTACATTCACAAGCAAAATAATGCTATCCCGATAGTTCTTAAAATCAACGGTTCTTCCCCTGAGGTCTTCATCAGTGAACTCGTGGATAGAGTCTTGCGCGCGAAGACAAAATTCAGACCTTTTCTCCCTTGTGTAGACGAACTTTGCTAGGAAGAACGACAGAAATACGAAAGCTTGTACTCGAAAAAACATCTTGTTCTCTTTGGCTTCGAGTTGTGTGCGCTGTTATCTCGAAGATTAGTTCGTTAAATATTCATTGCATATCGTAGTGGGATTAAATGGCTCTTTCATATGGAAATTTTGATGCCTGAATGCAGCTGCTACATTTTGTTCAAAAAGTCAAAATATCCCAGACTTTTATCGAGTGGCCGGTTGTTCGAAAACCCTTAGTTGTCTTAGTTCAACCCCAGGTTAACCTAAAATTCAAAGCAAACTTCCTGTTTGTTTATAAATTTGGAAATATTTCTTCAGAAATTTTGTCTGGATGAGTACTAGGAGTTTTCTTCTCTGGAGTTTTGAAATAAACAGACGTGCAGAAATACATAAACTAAAACAGCGGGTTAAATTTAACCCAGGGTTAGTGCTAATCATGTTTTGAATCACCAGCCCAAGGGTTGAAATGAGCAGGCCGCAGGTCGCCAAATGCGATCAAAGTTTTCATCTGGCGACCTGATATTTGGCAAAGTAGCCCTCGTGGCGACTGAGAAAAAAACTTGAAATAGTAAAGTAATTCTAAAGCCTTCATTTTTTGCATATAATTTGCCAACATATTAAACAACTGGGTTTTTTTATGTTATCGATATTGTTTATATTCAAAGACAATACTTCATAATAGCACATTGATTAGGGGGACCTGATATTAATATTTCATTGCATGGCTACTAAAAATTGTTTTAAATAGGGGGAGGAACTCCCAAAATTGGAGGAGGAATTTAATTTCCAACTTGCAAAGGGGCATGCTCTGTCTTACGAGGTAGGGGTTGTACTCGTACATAAAAATAGTAAACAACAAGATATTTCAAAAATAATTTATGTCCAAATAAATATCAACATTCACAACAACGTTTTTACACAACAACAATGTTAGCAAAGCGATATTGAAAAGTACTCGTATTTCTCACTAAAACCACTGGACTACACTTCTCTTGTACAGTCCTGATGATCACTTCACAGAAACCAGGAAAGGTACAAAACCCGATTGCCGAACCTTGACCGCGCGCGAACGAGTACTGGCCCGAAGTGACCCAACCAATAGCCTTTCTTGAACATTGACCAATCAGAGACGAGGGAATGTTACATTTGTGCACGTCTTCCACAGGTCCACCGTAGAATTTGTCTTTTTGTAACTCCACCAGATCTTGAGGTGTTGGAATGTATATTACTGCGTTATCCTGTGGGCAACCTTTCAACAACGGACGCAAGTTAAGAAAAACCAGGGAACAAGGGCACTTAGGGAGCGTTTTTGTAAGATATTCAATAATCTCCTCATCAGGAATCTTGTTCTTTTGTGGTCTTCTCTTTGTAGTTTGTTTAAGACTAAGTGTAATATCCTGAAGTCGTCGACGAATGGACAATGTCCGCATAACATTAAACTGAAGGTTAGGAGTAGCTAATTCTGTCCTCTCAGAATCATCAGCAATATCTTCTTTCGTTTCATTAAGAATACTGCTACCAACATCCTCGCAGATTTCATTCTCATCTTTATTGCATGCTTCAACATCATTGGATAATGCTTTGGGATCATCAGCACTATGAACTCCATTATTCTTCAAACTACTGTTGTATACAGCACCTTCCTCGATGTCCTCTTCCAAACACTGTATCTGGCCCAATTGACTGTCCTTAACTGATTGTCTTTCAGCATTAACGACTACTTTTCCTTCATTGTGACCCGGCTCTAAACACTTTATGTGTCCTGACTGACTGTCTTTAACTGATTGCCGTTCAGCATTAACGACTACTTTTCCTTCGTTGTGATCCGGCTCTAAACACTTCATGTGTCCTGACTGACTGTCTTTAACCGCCTTCTCACTGCCAATCATTTGTCTCATATCATCTTCCAACTTCTCGACTTGCTCACTCCATTCATGAACAAGTGTGTTCCAGTCTTGCGCAAAAGGACTGGCCATGCCAAACTTCACATAGTTCGGTCGTTTGGCAGGAGGATATCGCTCGTATTTCTCCTCCCCACTCCTTTTCTGCTCTTCATTGTACTCACGGCCGGCCCGAGTGTCTGGGAAATCACATGGGAAGTGCGGCACGCCTTGTTCACGTGAACACGTTGCCAACTCGCGTGCGCCACCCACGCGTGCGCCACGATACACGAACGCTATCCAGAATGCCATGCTCCAACCGGCGGGCAAAATGACGTCATAACCACTGCCAAAGTTGATCGAACCCATTTGGTAATTACCTAAGAAGCAACATTTTAAAAACTAGTCAAGATGTTGATGGTACAGTGATTGGTTAGTACATCTGTGTTTCACCTTAGACCCGGGGTTCAATTTCTGCAATATACAGTTGTTTGATTATAATTTCACCTCCATCACATGTTAGAGAAATGCATCCAGTTTGACTCTACCAAATACCACAGATTGTCTCTAGGTAATCTGTTTTCCTCCTGTACTAGACACATCTACAGGGGTGGAAAAAATAGTCCTCGCAGGAAATGTTAAACAGCTGCAGGAAATTCGTTTGAATGAAGATTTGCTATTGAAAATTTGAAGGAAATAGTAACACTCATGTCCCACTATGGGCGCAACAACATATGATTGACACACATTATTCCTTGAACTTAAAACCATAGCTAGAACACTATATGTTTATGCACATGTGGATTTAGCACAAAAATATTCAGTTGGTCTGCCCTGCACATCTAAAAGGATGTCCCTCACACGACCACTGAATAGTTTAGAACAGATAAAGCTATCCATACAACAACAACAACAACAACCGTTAAACGACGAATACAATACCTGTACTGCCAGGCTGCTGAATCACCAGCATTGGTATTCTCGACGTTTCGTCACCTAGATCAAGTTTTGATCCAGGTAGCGTTTGTTTGGAACGCAGATTATTCAAATCTTTTTCTGGCATCTTGGTTTGTTTTACTGCGTGTCGAACTGCGCTGTCCCAGAGAGGGGAAACGGCTGAACCTTCAGAAATACTGCTCAATGTTAACTCCTCAGTACTTACATCTGTAAAAGGGAGTAAAGTTTATCGGTTTGGTAACCCGCCATGGTTTGTGTTTGAACTACTTGTCAGGAAGTTTGGGTGAAGACGAGAGTCGTATATCACTGTATAGGCAATGTAAAGAAAGGACCGAGGAAATGATGGATAAATTGTATAAAGGTAGATTTAAAAAGAAATAACATCAAGGATGATCCAGGCTACGTTCATATCGGATAACTTTCCGTAGCGGCGCCAAAAAGCACCTATCCGATACGGAATGTACAACTTTCAGAAGCTGAGCGAAACAACATCTCTCCGTTGCAATAATTCCTCTGAAAATAGCGTTCCTAAAAGGTACAGATAGGTGTTTTTCACGTCGTTAGGGAAAGCTACACGGTACAATGTAAATGTAGCCTTATTTGTGGATGAAGAGAGATCAAGAGTTAGGACAAAGAGGTCTGACCCGTAATGATAAGTATTTCTAGATCAGTGGTCTGACCTCCCATGAGGAGATACAAAGATAATGATCCCTTGTCGAATGATTTTCTATCTAAAATTTATGAACCATTTTGTATTTTATAAACAAGTTCCGACCTTGATAAAGATCTTCACAGGCCATATCAACACTGGACTTCCTAACCGGTAACCCCAACCTAGGATCTTTCACCACCAACGCTAACACAGACCCTGCCTTCAACACCCCTGGAGAAGTCACCCCCTTCATCTGCTCCCAGGAGTTATTCTGCTCTTCCAGCATCATTATCCTGTTTTCACCCTGACTGTACACCTCCCACCATTGAGATCCTGGATGATTCCTCTCTGTACTCCATTCACACAGCTCTAACGTGGCAGCAAGCAGTGCATGGGACTTGGGTCCAGTAAGCCGTAGCCTGACTAGTTGCTCATACAAGACTGTGACTGTAAATTCAGATGCATTTCCAGATGAACTGCCCTTTGAGGTAACCTAAAAATTAATTGTTGGTAGGTAGGTCAGTAGGTGGCTGACTTGGTATTGAAACATGCAGTCAAGCAAACTTTTCAGCTTGCCTGGTGTGTACACAAAACTGATATATCCATACCATATTTTCTGAGACTTCACCATTCTGTTTTGACAGTGATGGTTTTGAATCTACATATTCAGTTGGTCCGTCAAGAGAGCAAGCATGTACAATTTCCTTTGTGACTTCGTCAGAACACACAGGATGTGACCACAGCCAGAGTTTTGTCATTGGGGTTGTCGAAGTATTGTCCACCTTTCAAAATAAAACAAGAGAGAAATGTTGGCCAGTCAGTTGGTACTCAGCCAGTCAGCGAGTGGTCAAACAGTTAGTTAGTCCGCCAGGCAGTCAGTTAGATTTACCTGCTGTTGCCATAGAAACATAACAGTTCCAATCGCATGGTATGGGTATTGATCATATTTAAACAGCATTGCATGACCTTCGTGTCGACCATCTAAATAGTCCTTGGCAGCCATTGTGAGACCTGTACAAGAAATATGGTAAGCAAATAAAAAACATTTGAAGATGCTTTTTAACAGTATTGTTTGCTGTAGGTACACCTATGTACACTTGTGTATCATGTTAGTCCATGCCTAGATCCTCTTCTGGCCGCACAACTAGAGAAGAGGGTCTGGATTAGTATCATCTATGTTTATTACTTAGTTTACCAATATCAGAACTTGTCAAATGCTTCATTGCTGCTGCTATCATTTCTTGTCTACCATGAACTTCAATGCACTGATAATATGAAATATCCTGAAAAATATAATCACAAGGTACAGCATAGTAACGTGCAGTGCTGCTTAACATACATAGTTCATCAAAAACCGACAACATATTACCTGTAAAAGGCAACCATTGGCCATGGCTCTATAAGAAGCTTTTACACTTTTATCATTTGGATGCAGTGGTATCTTGTAACCCCATTGTTCGACCATCTTAAATCTCTTTGCATGCCAAATGTGTGTTTCCAACCAAGCATGTTTTCTTTGCCGTCGACTGTATTCAGCAAGCAGGTTGCTGGGTTTCCGACGGTGCCGACGAGATTTCTTTTGCTTTGAAGGTTCTTTCTGTTTCACTTGGGACTTTAAAGCCTTCAAGGTATTAAATTGTGCAATTATTTGTGCATTTTCTTGAATATTTAAAGCAAATCTCTTGCAATGACCCCGAGTGTATATTGGTCAATGACTTCCCCATGTCTCAACTAGTGGCGAGGGATCCAGCCCAGATTATGGTTAATACAACCAGGGTTATGATCGATCATAGTCCAGCCATTCAGGGCCTTCGCTCAAAACATTCAAGTTCTCCTTGTATTTTTCAGGGAGTTGCACCCCTATCAATCAAAGATTGTTCCAGATTATATTTCTGGTTGCATTTAGTACGCTTGCTGGTGGCACATTTGGTAAAGGTGTTGCGTTCGGTGGCGCATTTGGTTAGGAAATGAGTCGATTTATTTTTTTAAATTCACTTTTAACTTTATAGTCATTTATATATTGCTATACAATGGCTGGCTGTCTAGCCTATCTACCTCTTGCCGTGCTTATTTACGTTTTGGAGGCAAAACAGGTAAGTGCTTTGTATTGTGATATGTAATGCAGGACTCAATGGGGAACATATGTAGTCTACTGAGATTTATTGTCAGTGTATTTATCGGAGTTTGCGTGCTACTGAGGAAAATGTAAACATTGCATAATGGGTGTATTTTTATACCAACCTCCCTATTATATGCATCCCTAAGTCTAGCAGGCATTCGTTTCGAGTTGTGACTCGCAGCTCGCCGTCTCATATGTCTTGGTAACGACTGAAACACTCGCTTATTGCTCTGCTTCGACGCAGACGATAGAGCCTGCATCATATTGTGAATTTCCAAAGCTCTCGACTCGGCAAATTCTGCTGCATTAATACCGCGAGGTGCTTTGGACACGACCCCAGCAGGTTGTCTAGTACTTTTAGGATTTTGGAAAGGAGATTGCCGTGATTTCTCCATTTCAAAATGCTTTCTTTTCCGATTTTTTCCTTGCGGTTTCTCCGCCATCTTGAAATCACGCGCGCTCGACCCAGGACTCGCCGTGATTTGAAATTTGAATACAAAGATTTTGTTCTATTTTTTGGTTGAAAACTTTGAATAAAACCTCAAATTTTATCTCCAGGAAAGAGTTCTTTATTTAAGCTAAAGGCTGGAGTTATTTTGTATTTATTTACTGGTATTGTACATGTTAAATTTTATGTCGAAGATGGCTGCAAACCATATCGTGAAGGCGAAAGCGAAGCACACTGCATCGGTAAGTGTTTGTTCAAAGTTTGTGATTTATTCATGTGATATTTGGATAGAATGATGAGGAATTGTCGATAAGCCAGCGTGTGTTTTGATTTGTGTGTGTTTGAGATATGTTTGTTGACTTATTAGGCCTTCAAGTTTAATGGGATTGATAGATAAATACTAATTTACTAAATAGCACTTAAATTTAGAAACATATAAAAATAAATAAAAATTATTTTATATTGACCTATTTTTCCTTGTCTCTGTTGATCAACAAATAGATTTTATTTCACGATTATGCAGCCTTGTTCTGCAATAAACCTTTTCGTGACAATACTTCCTTGCCTTGACAGATGTTCCCTCGCGATTCGTGAGAACGAGGCTCCCAGGCCAAGGAAAGATTTGTGACATACTGTAATTATCAAAAAAGTGTGCTGCTTTGCCCCACCCAGTCAAATCTATGCCAATTCTGATTTGTATATACGTCCAAAGCTAAATGGTGCCCCCCCCCCTGCAGTTTCAAACCCCTACCAAAAAGTCATCATCGACCAATAACTGGCAGGGGGAGGGGAACGCATCTGGAATATTTATTCCCCGCACCATATGACTTCAGTGTATAAATCATCCTTTTACTGTTCATTCTGTAGGTGATTTTCCTACATGGACTTGGAGATAACGGATACGGATGGTCGGCAGGTTTTGAAGATATACAAGAACCTCATATCAAATATATTTTTCCCAATGCGTGAGTTGGTTTTATAAAAAAAAACTTTCAAAAATACTTTTCATATGTTGATATAATGGCTTTCTAATTTCTTAGCCCAGCTATGCCTGTAACATTAAATGGAGGATTTATGATGCCATCTTGGTAAGTTCAAATACTTTGACACCTCATTTTCGTCATTGAGATGCTTGGATTTAGCTAATCTCACATGCACAAAAACAAGGCTCTACAGCCGAAATGACATACTTTCTGGAAGGGTTCTATGTTTTATCTGTGCATAGTATTTGAAATGTTAAAAGTTTAACGTAATTCAACATGATTTTAAACTTTAGGTTTGATTTGTACTCGCTCACTCCAACTGGCAAAGAAGATGAAGCTGGAATTAAGAAGGCCGCAGATAAATGTATGTTAACCTATTAAGTTGTAAATGCAAAAACTCAGTTTTCAAATGAACTACCTTTTCAAAAGCCAGAACCCCATTTTCAAATGCCAAGACTCTGTTTTCAAATGCCAGAACTCCCTTTTCAAATGCCAAAGCTCAGTTTTCAAAAGCCAGAACTCCATTTTCAAAAGCCAGACCTCCCTTTTCAAATGCCAAAACTCAGTTTTCAAATGCCAAAACTCCCTTTTCAAATGCCAAAACTACCTTTTCAAAAGCCAGAACTTCGTTTTCAAATGCCAAAACTGAGTTTTCAAATGCCAGAATTACCCTTTCAAAAGCCAGAACTCCCTTTTCAAATGCCAAAACTCTGTTTTCAAATGCCAGATCTACCGTTTTGAAATTCAAGAACTCCATTTTCAAATGCTAAAACTCTGTTTTGAAAAGTCACGAAACTCGTTCGTGTAAGTCTGCTTGTAAAAGGATAGTACAAATGACGTAATTGTGTTATTCAATTTCAAAATGTTATTCGATTTCAGATTGTATGTTATACTAATACTAATTGTATTATTCTAATAAAAGAAACATATATTGAGTGTTAGCACAATAGAATTCTATTTGAATTATGACCCTAATAATGCTTCATAAATTTGTGCTATATAGATTTAATCTTATACAGTGTATACATCTGTCTTTTGTAGTAAAAGATTTAATCAAAGAGGAAGAAAAACTAGTTCCTTCTGACAGAATTGTGATTGGTATGTTGTGAAATTTAACAATGACAGTGGTGTTATTCTTATATGGTACTCCAAATCACATGCTACAATAATTAAAATGTTGTATTACCAGGAGGATTCTCTCAAGGCGGAGCACTCTCGATGTATACAGCTCTAACATGGGAGAAACGGTTGGGAGGACTGCTCGTTCTCAGTTCATGGCTACCACTACACAAAAGTTTCCCACAGGCATTGAAGTGGCATTCAGGCACTCCCGTGTTACAATGTCACGGTACACTACAGTACACTATTACAGATGTTTTGAGCTTTTTATAGGAAATAGTAGTTTTATCATTTGTTTGTAGCAAACCAGAAAAGAGTCATTTCTGTTACAGGTGAAGCTGACCCAATGGTACCTTTTACATTCGGAAAAATGTCTGCTGAACTTATGAAGTCTTTTTCAAGTACAAACCATGAATTTAAGACCTATCCTGGACTGGGACATAGCTCCAGCGAACAGGTAAGGAAAATAAAGAATGGTCTGTCACTTCAATATGTAATTGTCTAGTTGCAATTTGCCTTGGTCATTAACCCATTGAGTGGCAGCACACTCCACGTGACGAGTAAAATTGTCTGGTGTTAGACAGAGTAAAATACTAAAGTAGGGTGCATCAGGGTGCTTTGCCACTTAAGGGGCTGCTTTCCTCTTGTAATACATGTAACACTGGGCCATGTCACTCTTATTGATGCTCTGACTAAGGACAACAGTTTAGAATTGATAGAGCTATAAAGGAAATAAGTTTTGTTTTGTGTGCTGCCAATTGTACTAAATGAACTTTTTAACAAAATTCTGCATGTTCATGCTCTACTTAATCATTGTTTGACATTGTTGTAGGAAATGTTAGATATCAAGGAATGGATTAAAAAAATACTTCCACCGAAAGATTGACTATTCAGTTCCCGACTGTGACACGTAAGCGTGATGTGATTTAAATGTGCAGAAGAAATGTCAGGCAACTTGTGGACAACAAGTATGAAAATCTGAGTTTCAAAATTACTTATTGTCGTCAATTGATTGTTGTCAATTGTATTGCACTAGTTTAGTCAATGATTCAATGCTTTAAGCTAAACGTCTTGTTTCTGAAAATAATGAAGATATGAGCTAATGAGGTCATTATGCTAATAAGCTTCACAAAAATGCATGAAGTTCGAGGGACAATTTTTTATCTACACAAAGGTTTGATTTTCAATGATTTCTGGATATTGTCTTACTATATCCAGTCTCACTAGATATTACTAAGACAAAATCTGATTTCTTTTAAAACTTTATTATTGATATAAATATCCTATTAATAAAAGTAAATTTGTAGATTTATTGTACATATATTTCAAATCTAACTTAGAGTCTGAATTAAATTGCCAATTTTTTGCTGAAGTAAATTACTGCCTGCTCTTTGGAGGAATTTAGGAATGTTGCTCTACTAAAGTCATTTGCATAAGAAACAACGTAAGAAAAATATGCCAACTGTGAACAGTTCTCTTCTTATGCTTTCATTCTGCTTTCCTCTTCATTTTTAATTAGGAATTTTCACTGAAGTAATTTGCATTGTTCAAGGCTTGCAATTTGAAATTTTCAACACTATCCAATGGGACACTCAGAACTTGAAATCTGTTTTCAACTAAAAAAGCTACCGTAGTATCCCACATTTAGATAATATATATTTTAGTTAGTAAGATCATAACATTAATTAAAGCAAAGTTCAATATTGGTTGCATTTCTTTGAGAGAAACCCTAGTGGTTAGCGAGACAAATTTGTTGACTATCCTGGTGGATACTGTGCTTTTGATGTCCAGTATCCAAACTTAAAATCTGTTACCCCACGGATATTGGTATACTGCAAATTTCAAGCCCTGATTGTTGCAAGTCTATCCCCTTCATTCAAGAAGATTCCAGCAGTTGTTTCTTTGTGTTGTGTACAAACAGAGCTGAACTCATTTGAGGTGTGGATGAATCTTCTTCAGATCCTTCGTCTTTGGTGCGGAATGACATCAAAATAAATCCAACTATAATCATAACCGCACCGGTCCCCTTTAACCAGGAGAAGGGGGCAGCTCGCCAGGCTGCATCCACGGCAGCGTTTAGTGGTATACCCAGCACCGTCCCAAGAGAGATGAATAAAGGGAATGTGAATGCTATCCCGAAGTTGATTAGAAAGTTAAACGCTAATCCAAGCGCAGCTGAGCCACAAAGATACGACCATGGTATATGGTGCCAGTTTATATGCTCATAATGAGTAAAGTGCATTATTTCCAGTATTGGCCAAAAACAGAGCAGGTTTATTAACCCAAGGCAAGTGAGAAAAAGACTGACTTGCCCAATACCACCATTGCCGATAAATAACTTGAATGTCACCTTGTACATTGCCGCCAGTACCGCAGATCCCACAGCGAGGAGGACACCAATCATTGTCGTTCCAGTAAAACCGTTGCTATACGCAATCACTACTATACCTCCTATAGAGATCAGTGTTGCTAGGAGACGTCGCCATGAGAATAATTCATCCTTCAGAAGTAGAAGAGAGAGCACAAACACAAAGGCAGGGGTAGAACTGAATAAGGCAGTGACATCGGTTGCGGATAAAACGTACAAGGATCGTGTGTACATGTAGTTGCATCCACACCAGATTATGACAAATGGTAAACAACGCGTTAGTAACGTGATCGGACATAGCCCTCGATCACCAAAAACATTTTGAGCCTTCGTAAAACTCGTACGAAAGCCCCAACCTTTGATGAGACGATAGCAAAGCGAGATCACAGGGAAACAAAGCGACATCCATATTGTTGAAAACCAGACTACAAACCACGGCGCATCAAATGAACTTGTATATGTACTCTTCGCAAATTGTGTCGAACCGACCCATGATATTGCAATACCAACGACTATGAAAATACCATACAATGTTCGTAGCGCCTTCATTCGTGAATTGTCCGGACGCATTTGGAAGAAGACTAAAGAATCGTCGCTAAAATCCATCTGCATTTCTCAAGACTTTTGGTCTATCAGATCAAACATATCTCAGTCCTCTTTGTAAACTATTATGAAAGCGCATATTATATATATATGGCGAAGTCATATATGACGAAATCGACCCTTGACCTTAGATGGAATGTAATGAACGGAAATTGCAACATAGCCCAGTCACGCGAAATTCATTATCCGTCACTTTGTGATTGTTATACAATCATTATCCGTCACTTTGTGATTGTTATACAATGTAGGCTCTGCTTTTTATCTTTAAACTAATGTATAGTTTATTATAGAGTTATGGGTCTACTAGAAATCTTAATCTCAGCTTTTTATTAAAGAAACCTTTAGTGTATAATTGTACATACAAGTTGTAAACGTACAAAGCATATATTGTATTGTTGTGCATTGGCACAAATGCATATTGCCTATTTTATTTTTTCTTCAAAAACTCCAGTGTATCCCAGTAAGTTTTTCCAAGGTATTTTTCTGTGGGAAATTCGTTATTGATAATATTTCTTGAAATCTGTAAGTTGGTATCCTTAGAAGGAGGAGAAATCTTAACTGTGTTCTTGTTTGGACTTTCAATTACCTTTAAAAATTGAAATAGATCTAAGAATAGGATGAAATAATAAAAATATTTGAGTATTATATTGTACATTACTGCAGTGTACTGTATTGTACTACTCTGTGTTGTGATGTTGTTGGTGTTGGTGTTGTGTTGTGTTGTGTCAGTTGTGTGTTGTGTCAGTTGTGTGTTGTGTTGTGTGTTGTTGTTTTGTGTTGTGTTGTGTCAGTTGTGTTGTGTGTTGTGTGTTGTGACAGTTGTGTGTTGTGTCAGTTGTGTTGTGTTGTGTGTTGTGTCAGTTGTGTGTTTTGTTGTGTGTTGTTTTGTTGTGTTCTGTTGGATCATCCTCCTAGAGTTTACAACTTACCTTATCCCCAATAATTTTCTCATTGTTGAACACAGGAGGAATGAAATTCCTTGCTTCATCGAAACTAAAACTATTTGTAGATTCACTCAATTTTGATCCTTGGGATAATCTTCCTGTTCCAAAATCTTTTATAGTTCCTGTGTCAGCCAATCTTTCTCCACTTGTTCTCAAATCTTTATCAAAACTGTGGAAAAAATTTTGATTCTCGTCTGGTTTACTAGTAACCCAAGTCATAGGTTTCATTCGGGCCACATCCACTTCGGTTTGAAGCTTTCTTCCTTGCTGATACAAGAATTCATTTTCATTTTTTAACTTTTCAAGTTGTCGAGAATGTAAGACACATTCGCTCGCTTTCTCACCCAACTCAATTTCCATTCTATTTCTCGCCAAGAAGTATTCATCATTTTCGCGTTTCAACCTGGCTGTCTCTTCAGTATGTTTCGCAACTAGCTCTTCAAGCAATTCCCGCTCTTTTTGCAAAGTTTCTTTTTCCTGTTGTAAACTTTCTTTCATTTGACGATATTTTTGAAGTTCCTGTGTCCTTTCGTCGTCCAAACGCTTGTGTTCTTCAGATTCTTGATACAAACAACGACTTTGTTTCATCAAAACCACGTTCGCCTTTCTCACTGCTTTTACTTGGTACTCGCTTCTTCCTATATCTTCACGGAGTCTGTCCAACTCAACACGTAATTTCAAATTCGTTTCCTCGGCTGTTTCCTTGCTCCGTTGTAGGTCTTCCACCACTAGACTTAAATCGACACTTGTATCAGGGCCAACTTGAACGTCAGATTTATTCAGCTTTTCTTGATTCAATTTCGTGTACTTTTTGGCGAGAGTATTGAATTTCTCTTTAAGTTTTACGTATTTTTCTTTGGTTGTTTTCAATGCGCTTGAAGCTTTGTCAATGTTTGAAATTAACTTGGTGTTCTTCGATTCATATTCATTCAGCGTGGCCAACAACTAGCAAAAAGAATATAATAAATATTATGACTAACAACATTCAAGAACACACACATTGTTCCCTAGCCATGTTTCCCGTAGGTGGGCAAACCAGGAAACATTGTTTCCTAGTCATGTTTCCTGAAGGTGGGGAAACCATTCCTAGCTGAAAGTGGAAACCATTAAACATTGTTTCCTAGCCATGTTTCTCGAAGGTAGGCAATCTAGGAAACATTCTTGAATTGTTTTCGCAACTCAAATCGCATTTGGGAAACGAAATATGTGTCTGAGTTTGTTGGGACATATTTTTTGCTTCCTGGGATAGTAAACGGGCAAGCATTAGAGGAAGCATCGGGATTTTTTAAAATGTTTCCATGTGCTCTGTGCCTGAGAAGCATGAGTTCAAGGCAACCCACATTCAAGGACATGTATTACTACCTCAATACGATATAACCTTATCACTTAACTCAGAAGCAAGGGAGAAAAGCAATCCTAAATTCCTTACCTTACTCCTTTCTTCATTTATTCTTTCCTCTCCCTGTAGACGTTCATTTTGCAACACGGACATCTTCTCTTGTTCAGCGTCCATTCTTTCCTGCAGACTTTGCACTTCAAACCTAAACTGATCTTTTAACTTCTCTACTTTATACTTCTCCTCCTTCTCTTGACTAACCTCGATTCCCAAATCATCCAGCTTAATCTTCAGCGTATGATTCTCTTCGCTGACACGTGTCATCTCCTTGCGCATTTCCACGTTCTCATTGTTCTCTTGTGTGAGTCGCAATATCTCAATCTGAGCGGACTGTTCAATATTTTCTTGGACACTTTTCAATTCGCGTGTGAAATTATTCTTTTGCCTTGCTATTTCATCTTTCGAAGCCTGTTCATTTTCACTATTAACATTCATCATTTCCTTAAGTTGTTGTTTTAACCTTGCATTCTCTTTGTTCAGTTGTTCAAGTCTTCCTTCGAGATCCAAACTTCGCTTATCTTTTTCTTCAAAGCTTTCTTCCAAATCTCTGTTCTGTTTCTTCGTTTCACTCACACCCTCTTCTTTTGACAAATATTTCAACTTCTTGTTTAATTCCTCAGCTTTTCCTTCCAACTCTAAATATCTCTCCTCTTTCTCACTAACCTTCTCCCTCAATTCCTTTTCATTTTCCTTCAGTTGTCTGCAGTGTTTTTTAGTCTCGTTCAGAACTCTGTCTTTTTCTTTAAGCTTCTTTTGTGCTGTTTCCAATTTTCTTTCTTGTTCCGAACTGTCCTGTTCGCTCTCGTAAACTCCTCTTTCATTCTTCAATGTATCTCTTTCATCTCCCAGTTCTTTGTTCTCCTTCATTAGCTGTGCTTGCTTGGCTAACAGATTTTTCTTCTCACGAGTTGCTTCCTCGACGACACTCAACAACTCCTGATTTCGTTCTGTGTACGTCTTCAATCTATCCTCAGTATTTCTCAATGCTTCTAACTTCGTCTCAAGTTCTGTGTTTTTCCAATCATAGGATTCACATTTCTCTTTTAAACTTAAAATTTCTTTTTTCTGCTCGTCAATAACTTTATCCAGTGAACCGACTTTTCCCTCCAAACCCTTTTTCTCCCTTTCCTGCATCGCCACCTTCTTCTCAAATGCTGTGATCTGTTTACGGAACTGAGTGCCTTCTTTCTCCAGTTTCTCAATTTTAGAAACCTTAACGCTACTTTCCTCCAGAACTTTTTGATAACTTTCATTCAACTTTTCATAGTCCATCTTACTTTTGTTCAAAGCAGCTTCGGAGTCTTTTACCCCTGTCGTCTTCTTTCCACTTTCAACAGATACATTTTCATTATTTCTTTTCAATTTTCCACATTCATCCTTGCTCTGCTTCAAAAGATTTTCCACTTCGCTCACCTTTGATTCCAAGACCGCATTTTCGTTTTTCAAATTATTATTCAAACTTTCCACTTTACCGACCTGTAATTTTTGTTCATTTAGGTCAGCTTCAAGGGTAGCTAATCTGGATTCTCTATTTTTATTTTGCTGACGGAGCTCACTGTAATTCGCACTAAGTGTCTCATACTCGACATGCTTCTGCTGAAGCAGTGACTCAACCTCGCTAATTTTTACACTCGTAGCCTCGTTTTCTCGAATACTCCCGTCGTATTTTCTAGTCAACGAATCATATTCTTCATTCCTTCGTTCCAACTGAACTTCACCACTTCTTATAGAATCATTTTCTTTCGACACCCTCTCATACTTTACTTCAGAATTTTCAAACTCCGTTTTTACCTGGTTCAAGGCTTCTGTAAGTTCGGCGATTCTAGATGTTTTCGTCTCGTTCCCGGACAGAAGCTTCTCATATTTTACCTTCATTGCTTCATTAGCCACCTTTCCTTGTGCTAACATATTTTCCAACTCTGTCACTCGTTTCCTTGCTTCGACCACTTGCCTTCCTTCTGAATCTTTCACCTTATTCATTTCTTCTTTAGCGCCATCCTGTTCCAGCTTCATTTTACTCAACTCTTCCTCAAGCGTCAACATTTTAGATTTAGCCTCTTCAAATTCTTGAGTCAAAGTAATCTCTTTATCTTTTAACTCTTGGACAATTTCCTTCAAATCCCGTTCACGATTTTCTGACTTTGTCAAATTTTCTTTCATCGACACCAGCTCACTGTCAGCCTTCTCGCATTTACTGGTTAACTCGCCAACATTTTCTTTCATTTTCAAAATTTTCGCCTCGGAAGTCTTAATTCCTGCCTCATATTCCTCTTTAAGCAACGCAATTTCATTAGTCTTCGCTTGCAATTCTTCACTGAGTTTCGTCCTTTCCTCGTCCCGAGTTCTAAAATCTCTTTCAAGTTTTTTCCGTTCTTTTTTACTTTCTTCAAACTTAGCACGAAAATCATCTTTCTCCGCAGTCAATTTCTCTCGTTCTGCCTGAAGTTCGTCAACCTTATTACTAAATGTACTAATTTCCTCCAGTTTAGAGTCCGCCAATCCTCCGCTTTTCACATTGTTCTCAAGTTTCAAACGTTCATTTTGGTTCAACGCGTGCTGTAAATCTCGCTCTAGGCTCGCTAGTTGTACTTTATAGTCTTCAATTTCTGCCTTCATATCCAATCTAGCAGTCACTGAGGGTCGTCGCACTGGACCACCGACCTTTGAATGTCCTCCGCCAACGTCGTTGGCCATCAAGTCTAGTTCCGTCTTCAAGTTACTATTGTCGTTCTGAATATCTTCCAATTCGCCATGAAGACGTTCAATTTCCATTTCATAATGACTTTTTATTTTTTCAATAATCTCACTTTCACTAAACTCGTTCTGCCATTTTGTTTCCGTTTCTTTATAAAGTGCGTTGTATCTTTCCTCGAATTCTTTCTTGCTTTCTCGTAATTCTTCCATTTCTTTTTCTTGGATTTCCAAGATTTCATTTTGTTCTTCCTGTTCTTCATTCGCCTCTTGTAGTTGTTCTTTCAGATCCGAGATCTCGTCTAACAACTTCTCAGTGTTTTCATGATGTGTACCTTGATCGCCCTGTTTTCTTGTCCTGTCCGAATCTAATGCAAAGAAACCTTATCTCAGACAGAAAAATATGCTTAGCCCCGGACAGACGAGTTAGTTTTCCTTGACAAGTTTTATTTGCTCGTGTGTTTTTGGCAAACAAAAGACAGCCTTGAAATAAATAAACATTCCGTGCACACAAGCAAGAAAACTTGTCCAGAGAAAACATGGGTAACACTACATTCGATATAACTAATTATAGATGGGTTTTGTGGATGGAAATAGACAACTTGCATGTTAGAGTAATTTTTGATTTAGGCAAAAAAAAGTAAATTCCCGTAAAGAACTTATTAAAATTAGTAAAATTGCGAAATTTGGTTGCGAAATGTTGTAAAATACAGAAAATATAGCCTTGCGAAGTTTGCATATTTTCAGTATATTTATATTACGAGCGGAAATTGTTACCATTTTTGAGCCGAAAATGGTAACAGTTTCCGCACGTAATACAAATATACTGAAAATATGCAAACTTCGCAAGGCTATATATTCTGTATTTTACAACATTTCGCAACCAAATTTTGCAATTTTACTAATTTCATTATGTTCTTTTTAACTGTTGTGTTTTATTCCCTTCTCTTTACTTAGATTAAAATTTAGTCTAACATGCAAGTTGTCCATTGCGAGTGTAAATTTTATACATTTATTAAGATCTAACCAGGAGCAGTTGCAAAACATACAACTATATAGCCCCTCTGGTAGGAATCAAACCTGCAGCCCTGCATACCTGTACTCTGATGTTCTTCGAATTTCTTCCTCCACAGCTGATTCGCCAATTCCAAATTATGTTCGTGCTCTGTCGTGAGTTCTCGTCGTAACTCTTCGAGCTTCCTCGTAACGTCTTCTTCAGCATAAAGTTCAATACCTTGTGACTTTGTATCTTCACTCTCCAAATTTTTCTTCAAATCATTAATCAAGATATCTTTCTCTTGGACAAGATATTTTAATGTTTCCACCTCTTCCTTCTGTTTTTCTTTAATACCATCTATTTCGTTCCTGTCCTCCTTCTGTTTTCCAACGAAATCCTCGTTTTCAGATTTAACCAATTCCATTTCTTGTTTCAAATCATAAATTTGGTTCTCGTATCGCAATTTCGTGCTCATAAGTTCCTCATGTAGTGTATTTAATTCTGCAGATGCACCCTGTTCATTAATCTTCTTCATTTCCTCCCTAAGTCTACCACATACTTGTTTTTCATTATTCAGATTAGTTTGGAGTTCATCCATTTTCTCCTGATGCGCGTCTTCTAACCGTTGCTCCAAGGAAAGTAGCTCTATTTCGTGTTGATTTTTCAACATGTCCAGTTCGACTTCAAATTTTCTTTCCAGCTCGTGTTTGTTAGTCAGCATATTTTCAATAAAGGTTTCTTTCTCGGTTACAAGGTTTTCAAGATCTTTTATTTTACCCGAAACCTGTGACAGTGAAACAAATAATTATCATACAACAATGCTGTGAAATAATGCATAGTGGTTTTCACAGAACTGTATCACAGAATAAAGACACACAGAAGGTCGACTCAACCAAAAAAGCGTAACTGCTGCCACGCCATTAGTCGTCATCAAAATGCTGACGCCATGATCTTAGCCAATGCGCTTATGAGAGGCATTCCACCCCCCCCCCCGGACGTCCGCCATTGTGAATATTACCAGGGGGTGAATGCCTCTCATAAGCGCACTGGCTAGGACCATGGCTCAGCATTTTGATGACGAATTACGATTACGTCGGCCAAAATCATAGGAAAAACCAAGAAGTTGGGCTTCTGTATAGTCTCTATTCTGTGACTGTATGCTGTAAGTCTAACAAGATAAAAAGAATGGTTGAATCATGACAGCTGTGCCTGTGAATCAATAGAGATACAACTACCTGTCAAAAAGTAGCCTTCACCTGTCACGTTTTAGGGGGAGTTACTATTTTTAGACTTTTGTAATTTTGTATTCTTTTGTATTTTAAACTTTAACCCTAATTCTAATCCTTACTCTAACCTTAATCCTGACCCTAACCCTTTCCCTAATCCAAACCCTAACCCTAAAAGTCTAAAAATAGTAACTTCTCCTAAGACCCATATGTGACCATCTGCGTAAAATATTATATAGGCAATGCTGTTTTACCTCGCGATCAGTTGACAAATGAAGACTTTCTCTTGCCGCTGTGTTTTCCTCACGTAAAACTTGACACTCGTTCATTCTTTTCATCAACTTTTCATTCAGATCATTTATCGCCGAATCCTTGTCTTTCACTTCCCTCTCAAGTCTTTTAATTTTTTCTTGGAAATCACGTTGTTTTGGTGAATTGGTTGGTGCACCTGGGCTTGCTGATTTGATGATAGCATCATTCTGGGAAATACAGTAAATGCCGTTTTAATATTTCAAATTTGGGACGTTCAGCGCAGGAGGTATTTTATAATAAGCGTTCGAATGGTTGTTGTTGTTTTGCGCGGAGAAATACACGCACGAGAACAAGCGAGATGCATGAGGGTTGATGAGAGTGGATATTACCGCGCGCGCGTGGCGAAAACTTTCATCAACTCTCATCATAAGTTAAACCAGGACAAAGTTGATGAGAGTCGATGAGCGTTGACGGTCAAACGCGAACGAAAGTTGCAACTCTTATCAACTCTGATCCTTGTTTGACCAAGACTTTGGTAGCCTGCTCGCAGCTCGAGGAAATTATCAAGTAAGATTTGAAGGACCACTATTAAAGCTACATGTATCTCTAGCACAGCCAACCAACCTTCGTTTTTTTAACCGGAATACTTGATGGTCTGGCTTGATTCAGACCCGACTGTGTAGCACCAGTTTGAATTTTAGGTCCATTACTCGACTTCACAGGAATGCCAGACTTTCTCGTCGCCATATTGTGAACGTCCAATGGTTATCACAAATTCATACTGTGTTTGAGATTTGCTGGCCTGATGTTGCTAAGTCGACGTTTGACAGCAGTTGACGTAATTGACAACTTCTATCTTCCGTGGAATTTTATATTACGTTAGTGTAAACTCGGGTAATAATGGACTATAATACTCTATTTTGAAAGGACGCGAAGTTAATCCCCGCTAATGTTTGTCTTTTGAAATATGATCGTTTGTTGTCATGGTGCTTTCATGATATTTGACCTTTCATGAAAAGATATAACCCATCAATGGGTGTCCAACCTGCAGTTATCAGAGTGAGAATATAATGTTAATTCTTGTCATCGATTGCAGTAGTCTTGTATTTGGAGGCAAATACAGTATATAGAATTTGAGTTCTAGTTGAATTTTCGTGTTGCTATAAGTATGACCAGTTCTCAAAAGTTGACTACCATCGGCTGTCTGTAACGTTGGCTAGTGAACCCGCCAGGCACCAATATTTTTGCGCGCGCAAATATTTTTAAAAGCTGTCTTGCATCTGATAATTTTTTCTATCGAGTTTTTGGAATATTTGGACTTTCCTGCAGGTATCAAATTTCACGCAAGAATACAAAAAAGAAAAATTAAATATTTTTAATAATTAAATATAAATTTTTTTCAAGAAATCTAAATTAACGTTCCGACAGAAGTCGATAGTGTGCGATACGATTACGGTTTATTCCGATTTCGCCTTTTGGCGAATTAAAATTATTTTACGAAAGTAGTCGATCATCAACGAACCGACTCCGGTTAGTTCCGATCTCGCCTTATAGGGAATGGAATTTATTTTCCGAAAAGGAGTCGATGATGAACGAACTGATTCCGAACTTGTTCGGATTTCGCCGCTTGGTGGATGGAATATAGTTGTTGAGGAAGAAATTGGCGCGCAAAGAACACATGTCCTTTTGATCTCCCAGACATTTGAAATCTGCAAAATGGCCGAACAAGAATCGAAAAAAATTGACGAAAATAACGTCGAAGAGACAAGCGAGAGCGAAACTAAGACGGTACACTATAAATTTGATATCTCTTCTATCTAATTCGAGGGGAGAATGGTTCAATTTTATTCGTTAAGACCTTAAATTTTGACTCTTGTTTAGGAGGAGTCTGTCGCGTCTCAGGACGAGACCAGCGATACAACAAAATCAAAGGATAAATCTCCAAGCAAAACAAAATCGCCTGTGAAGGAAACGAAGGCCAAGAAAGACAATAAAAAGCAGGAGGAAACAGACGACGATGAAAGTAGCGATGATGAGGAATTAGTTGGTATGATTTTTTTTTATTTAAAAACCTTCGATGGAAGCGTGCTGGCCCTTTGTAGTGCAATGTTGAGCATAATAATTTATTGAGCAGCTTACGGGATGTTACTTCGGGTTTAAAAGCTTTAAATTTCTGGCTTAATTAATATTGTGGCTATTTCTGTTTTTGCTGTGTGAAAATTCCAAAATTTATATGTTGCAATTTATTGGAAATTTTATCACATGTAGCCGGGTAAAGAATTTTATGAGAATCGTGTACATAGCTGGCAGTATGCTGCTCTTCGATGCTATTTACGGCCAACCCTTCACGAGTGACGACCAGTGCTTCCATTTTCAAGGAAATTTCCTTTTCTAAGGAAATTCTAGTGTCGAAAAGGAAAATCTAAGGAAGAGAAAAAATCTAAGGAATTTTTCCCAACAACTTAAATATTCATCCAAGTGCATTAGTGCAGAAGAAAGTTTCACTATTTCTTGAATTTTGAGTGAATCATGATCAATTATGTTTAATTAAAAATCTGTTTTTAACTTTTTCCTCGTGTTTCCGAAAACGTCTGAAAGTTTTTGAGAGATGGGATTTGGTAACTTTTGGCGCCAAACGCTGTGAATAATTAATTATTTATATCATTGGAAGGTATATGTTGTAAACTCATAACCATAGATATCTTATATACACTAGATAGCGCATCTCATTTAGTAAAATTGAAGCCAAGAATATTCCGGCGGTTACGCCCATTTGAATAGATGGCGGCCATGTTGGTCGTTCCCACTTGCTAATAAACGCTTAAAAACAACAATAACTTTCATTATTTGAATATTACGAAAGTCACCGAACTGTGGAATCGCATCAAAAATTCGTATATCGACCACTCCCACAAACGTCTACGACCCCGCCTACATAGTTTTGCACGTTTACAATTCTAATTTTAAACAGCCAATTACCAAGAACCTGATTGGCTGTTCAAAATTAGAATTGTAAACATACAAAACTATGTAGTCGAATGTAGGCGTGGTCGTAGACGTTTGTGGGAGTGGTCGATATACGAATTTTTGATGCGATTCCACAGTTCGGTGACTTTCGTAATAGTTTGAAAATGTATTTGGAATAGGGTTAACTTAATGTTTAAGTTCCCTGTTTAAGAAATAGAAAACATACGAATCTTCTCATTTCATGGGAACAACCTGAGACTGCAATCACGGCTTCAATTTTTGAATTGCAGAATAATTAGATGCACTATCTAGGCCCAGGTGATCTCGTGTTCGTATTTTAGCCAATCAGCGCTCAGAAAGGGTTGTCCGAATAGAAATCCATTTTGATGTATTCAGTCAATTATATCTTTCGTTATTCTTTATGAAACTAGTTGAAATTTTGTAATTATGTTTAGTTATGAGAACTATGGCTCTAACAAAAATATGGAATCAAAATAAAGTATATTACAGGAGATATTCAGTTGTTTTAATCATAAAATGGATTTCTATTTGACAACTAGTGCCAGTACTTTTCCGCGTATCAAGATCACCTGGTAGTGTATATAAGATATCTATGCTCATAACAAATATTTAATTTTAAACAGTATAATAGCCTGTGGTTTCTTAGCAAGCCATCATCTTTGTTAATTGTGCTATTTTGTGCCTTTAAAATTGATTAAATCCTTCGTATTGCTACAAAAGCACTGCAAACCGCCTAATGAAATTTCAAGGAATTTTAAAGGAAATAACGTATACAATCTAAGGAATTTAGAGAAATTTTGATGACAAAAATGAGAGATTTTGAAAATGGAAGCACTGGTGACGACGGCTGTCCTTTGTAAACAGAGCAAAATGGCTAACTTGCAGGCATATAACAAACAGTGTAGGATGGGCAACCCCTTGCAATCTTCTCATCTCCCCCCCTGAAAAGTTCCTTACAGGACCCAAGAAAGTCTCTCTGTTCCCTCATATTGCAATTTAACCCATGCTACAGAGCGGGCTAGATCTGTTCGAATTAGAGTGAGGCGGTTTTTTGGTAAACTGAAAAAAACGATGTTTTTTGAAAACCGAAATACTCAATGTTAAAAACGAAAATACGGGGGAAAAAATGAAGAAAAATCAGTATTTAACTAAAATCGAGCCATACTTGTCAAACGAATCAAGTTTTGGCATTTACACACGAAAAACTAAAGAGATTTTGTTTGAAATTTGATAACGTCTTCAAAATACCTTACGTTTAATATCTTGTGTGAGTACTGAGTAGCATATTTTGTCTTTTTTACCGTAGTTTCGATTTTTGAACATATTTAAAAAAAACCCTGAATCACTCGTTTTTGGTTTTTTTGTCGTTTTTTTGTAGAAACCGCCTTGCGCTAGTTCGAATAGTGTTCTAGGTGTTCAATCATAATTACTTAATTTTGCAATATAAACAGGGACTTTGGATGCGCCGCTAGTTATTGAAGGGAAACGTGCGAGAAAGTCGACTGAATTCCTCTCCAGCATGATCGAGACACCACATAGTACAGAAAAGAAAAAGATAGAAGTTCCAGAGGTACTTTCAAATGCTGTATATCTCAAGTCTTTTGCATATTCAAATTGGCAATCATTGATAAAAAAACATTGTCTACTCTTTACTTCAATGTTTGTCAAGACGACATTTGACAGGTCTTAAATATTTCTGTCATATGTAACCAATTGAGTGGCAGCGCTTGTCTCCCCTTGATGAGTAAAATTGTCTGGTGTTAGACTGAGAGACTAATTATAAAGAGAGGCAATGCAGCTTGATGGGTTAACTTGACTAATGCTGATCATCTAAAGTAATTGATACATTCAAATGCTCATTACAAACATGTGAGAATTGACAATGTTTTCATTTGTGACACTTTATCCTTGGATAAATTTGTTTGCTGTTCAATTCCTGAGATACCTGTTGTTTTTATTAGGGAAAAGGCAAACCATTAGCTTCTATGCCCCGAGGTATGTGACTGACATCTGAACATGATGCCATATTATGTTATCTTGCTCGAGGTGTAACTTAACACTTGCCCGGGACAAGTGAATATCATGACATTTTATCTTGCTTGCCCGATTGGGCAAGTTGCCTTGCCACAAAAAGCTGAGCATCTTTAAGTTTATGTTTTCATTGTTGGATATAAATTTTTTATAGTGCATGTACTTGATTCAAATTTTGGTTTTTGTGGGCCAAAGCTAGATCTGAGGCAGTATAACATAGCCATATAGAGCAGTGGACGAACGGGTTGACATGTTGTCCCCTTAATTTATACCCACTACCTAGGTACCCCAGTGGCCATTGTCTGATGGCAAGTGAATTTTATTCCAGGCAACTAATTTTCATGTCCTGAGGGTAAGTGGTCAAAAAAGTAAAGTTACACCACTGCTAATGTTAATCTCTTTCTCAGTGCAATTGCAGTTACAGAAAATTCCGGGTGAGGAACTCAAACCACTTCACAAGATTCTGTTTGGCAGGCCAGGAAATGTAGGTGTTCATACTTCAATTCTGCAGTGACTGCTGCAAGTATATGCCCAATCATGAACACAGAGTTTTGTTTTTCTGTTTCAGGCCTCAGAAGTGAAGAGAAATATTCGTTTATTTAATGGATTTGGCGTTGAAAAGGTTTGTGTAGCTCGAAATAGGAGTTGGGACATACGATTATATGCTGAAAAATACTTGGTGTATGGCAAGTATTGGAGGAATGTTTACATGAAAATCCTTCAGACAACAAGTGTTGTCCTGTATGAGTTACCAATGATCAGCTTGTTGTCTACAGTGTCAAAATGGTGCCAGAATTGAACCTTTGAACGGCAGACAATTTTGCTTAGGCATGAAAAAAAAATACCTGTGGTTCCGGTTCCCGACCGACCCTATTTTTTTTCTGCCGACCCTATTATTTTTTCAATGCGATTGACCGTGCGACCCTATTTTCTCTGGGTGGTTGCGGGCTGCTGCCTAAATGGTGTCTGTTGCCACACTAATTATTGAAAAAACCATGAAAAAAAATATTTAAAAAAACAAACACATTATTTCCGACCTAACGACCCTAATTTTTTTGCGATATGAAACCGGAACCACAGGTATTTTTTTTACGCCTTATTAAAGGAAGAGTGCTGCCACTCAGTAGGTTCAATCAGCAACCTATAACAAACAACCTTATCAAAAATTTCAGACACCAAATTTTTAGGCTGATTTTAATTTACGTTTCTTGCATTTTGTCCTCCAGGATTCAAAAGAATACAAGAAAAAAGAAGAACAGGTCGAGAGGTTCACACAGGACAGTATGAAGAGGTTGTGTGAAATTTTAGATATTGAAAAGAGAGGAACTAAGGTGAGGTTGGGTTTCTAGTGGTCAGGGACGCCGGAACTGGGGGGGGCAGGAGGGGCAGCCGCCCCCGTTGCCCTTTACCAGAAGGGGCAAGGGGGGCAAAGGTGCCCTTTCAATTTAAAGGATTGCCTTGGCGAAATAGAGAATTGTCAGAAATGTTAGTGCAATTCTTTTACGAATTTGCTTCAGAAAACGCAAGAAATGCAGTCATCGAGCTTCAAGAATAGCACAATCGCCTGGCGGAGAACCCCCTCACACCCCTATCATCCAATAAATAGAAAACATGATTAGGCGAAGTTCAACTCCCGATGTTTTGCAAACATCTCTTAGTATATATCAATTCAAAAGTGCCCTTTCACAAAAATCTGCCCCCCTTGCCTTCACATCGTTCCGGCGTCCCTGCTAGTGGTTTTTCTGAGAAACAACATTTTCTGAAATTCTGTCATTTCATAGGAGGAAGTATTTGAGAGAGTGATGGATTTTCTTTTGTGTCCAAAAGCATCAGAAAAGGTTGGTATGAAGCATGCCTCTGAAGGTTGTATTTTTGTGGAGGGTAGACAAGTAAAAAAAATAAGTAGGGTGCATTGTGTGGGTCAATGGGTTAATTACTGTAAAAGTTTTTAAGGCACACATTTTGACATTTGAATTTGAAGCTAGCCTCAGAATATGGAGGTAATGTCGTTCCATAACTTCAGCAGCTGTTGTTTGAAGTTCCTAGATAACATAATATTAAACAATGTGCTCAAACAAATGTGACTGTATTTCTAATATTCTACAGCCTGTGCCTACTAAGCCAGCCAAGAAAGCAAGTAAAAGTGAGTCAAGAAAAGTTACTTTATATTGACACTGTGAAATTTGTATGCAAAACTCTTAATGTTCTGCATGTACTAGCTGTATTCTCTATGCTTTGTAGAGTCGTCCAAAAAACGAAAACGACCAGCCGAAAAGGTATGGTATTTCATGAAAATGTGTAAAATTAAGAATTTTTGATGTCAGTGTTATTACCCCGACAGCAGAAATCCTTACTTCCTCGAGAAAAGAACATAAGGGGAAGGTCTCGCGGTGTAGTGTTATCTAAAGGCTGATTTTACACTATCAAAGTTTCTGTGATCACAGTAGGAATTTTGCATTGGTAAATTCTAAGTTTTGAAGGATTTGTAAGAAATGTTTGAGGGAAACTGACTCCGTGTTTAACACTGGTCGTCTGTTGATGTCTCTGTACGGTCTGTCGGACCGCGTTTTCAAAATGATATTGAACTTTGATACCAACTTCTAATCTTTCTAAATAGAAAGAAGAAAAAAGCAAATCAAAGAAAGCAAAATCTGAAGAAACTGTCGAGTCTGGTGGCGACAGTGAAGCAGAGGAGGAGAAGAAAGAAGAGGTGAAAGAAAAGGTAGAACTGGTTTATCCTGTTGTATAACTGGCGAACAACTGGTTTAACTTGTTTACATGTATGTTCATATTTGGATGTGACAAATCTACAAAACTACTCTGCAAAAATGGCTGGAAAAGGCATGGATGGTCTAAATTTCACGGGGAGACGTCCTCAAACCCTGTTTGGTGAAGTACCTTCGGCACCATATACAGGGTTCGTAGCGGTCTTTGAAATCCTTGAAATCACGGTCTTTAAATTGGAATGCAGGTCTTTGAGATCTTTAAAAAGTCTTTAAATTGTGTGAAAAAGCGAAGAAAGTCTTTAAAAATCTTTAAATTCTTTAGTGAGTATTTGATTATACGATTTGCTAGCTAATAAAATAGATTGATTGAAGCAAAATTTTCCCAAAAATCGAAGAAAATGCGCATTTTAGGATGTGATTTGACAGGACTAATTACCGGGTAAAAATGGTGCTTACACTCGCAATTTTTCGACACCTGGTTGCTCTCAAAGGTCTTTGAAAAGTCTTTGAAAATAGGCAGAAAAAATCTTTCAAAGTCTTTGAATTTTTTTGGTCTTGGAGACTACGAACCCTGATATAGCCGCTTACCTCTTTCAAAAAGTCTCCTAAAGGGAACCCTGCGACTATCATGCTGACACTAAATTCTATTTTCCCACAGTCTCCGGCGAAAAAAGCAAAATCTCCTAAAAAAGAAAAGAAGGAAACGAAGAAAGCCGCGAAGAAAGAAAAGAAAATCGTCTCGATCAAAATATCTCCCGGAAACAAAGCGAAGAAGGCAAAGAAAGCAAAAGGTAGCAAATCGTAGAAGATGTTTTTGAAACAAAAAAGATATGTGCGTTGTCGTTGATCCCCGTGTTTATTTGGATGCAAAACCATCAATCCATTTTCACGTTACACACGTAAAACGCACAATTGTAACAAACTTGCAGCAGACTTGTGGCAACGTTGTTCCAACAACTTGTCAACAGGATGTGTTCGCACTGCTTGTTCCCAGCTTGTTGACAACGTGCTACAAGGTTGTTGAGCTCAACAGACTTGTTACAAGTTGTTCCAACAACTTGTTATCGTCCTGCAATTCAACAAGTTGCGAGTGACAATCTTGTAGCAAGTTAGCAACTTGATAAAATAACAGCATTGTTACACCTTGTTGACGAGCTTGCTACAAGCCTGTTGCGAACACATCTTGTTGACAAGTTGTGAGATTTTTAGGCGTAAAACGAATATACAACAAAATCTTTATATCCAGCTAAACATATTTCTACAATAATATATAGCAAAACATTTTGGGGTTTTTTTTTTCAGAGAAAAAGGTAGATTCTGGCGACTCTTCAGACGAAGAGCCATTGAGCAAGAAGGCGAAAAAATCACCACCAACGAATGATGAAATTGTCCAACTTGTTACAGAACTGTTAGATGGAGCTGATCTTGAAAAAATCACCATGAAAGCTGTTTGTAAACAGGTGTGTAATGGTCAAATTTTATTCTTCCATTTCTGCATTCATTACATGAAATTATATTTTGCACTTTACAGGTTTATGAACGCTATCCAGATTTTGATCTTACCGATCGAAAAGAATTTATTAAAGATTCTGTAAAAGAGGTAAAATCATCTTAATATATTGTCGTCTTCAAGTATTTTTTGTTATTCCCAAGTTGTATTGTTATAAATCTTGTTGTTCCTTTCCTTTCAGATTATAACTTGAAGTGATTGAGAAGTCAAATGCCAGCAGAAATAGACGCGCAGCGAACAATTTACATTGTACAAAAACAAATCGTCCCTATCTCTTTCCAACTCGTTGTTTTTATACACCATTTATATCTCGAAATAGTTCCGATCGAGTTTCAGTTCCAGATCGGAACTGAAATATTTGAAAAAATTCTTAGTTTTTTTGCCGTGCCCATCGGCAACATTCTTATCATGCATGTTGAGCTTATATTCTACAAAGCTATACTGTGAATCATAAACTAGTCTTGTTTCTTTATTCCAAGAGTAATATAGTGGCCGTAGGTATTTTATTGTGATAATAAGTGAAATTTTTATAAATATATGTGATCATTTTGTCAACTTGTCCTGCTGAACTGCGTATGGTGGAATAGATTATTTCGCTGAGGTCAGCGAAATAGTTGATGCCGCGTATGGTCGGGAGACTCCATTTTCAATCCTTGGTCGAATCTCATCCCTAATATTTTATTAACCTAACTGTGGATCCCTCTCTCTTGAACAAATTAAAATAATTGAGAAAGTGCTATCTTTACATTGACATCAGTAAAATGGTTAGAGTAAAGGACGTGTTAAAGTAAGGGGGAGGGTAGAAAATCCTCATTGAAAACCCCCACCTACCTCGTCCCAGGCTCCAGGGTTTTTGTGAGCTGAAGCTTGATTGGTCAGCAGTGATATTTGAAAGACGCTGCATTGTCTAGCGCACTACAACGTGTGAAACTTTCAAATTGCTAAAAGTGTTTAAAGATGGATTTTCCTAAAGATTTCGACAATATTTTGATGTGTTTTTTCATCCTGAAGATACTTTTTAGTGAGGTAAGAAGTATAAGGAAAGTTTCCAGGTGTTTTGAGACGGAATACCTTACAGGTACATTTTAATATCAAATAAAAAATATACCAAATGTAATAATATTCAGGTAAATTGCTATATATTTGCTAACTATCACTACGTTCTATGTATATACAAGATAGTTCTGTACTACAGACAAACAAATTGAACACAACAATACATATGCTTATGAAAAAATACATTTTCCTAGTACTGTACACTTTCTGGTAACTTTACAGTATATAAACCCTTCACCCAACCGACTTCACCTTGTAGCCCAGTTGGGTAGAGCATCGGATGACCAAAGGTCGTGGGTTTGATTCTCGCAATGGTCAAGCAAAATTTTCAGCTTGACTGTTGTGTACACAATCAGAGGGCATGTCCTTAAATAGTTCTTAAATATGTTCTCTGTTTAGTAATATGAGTATTTATAACCGTATCTGATATGCTTTATAGAAATATACATAGAGAACAATACATGGGTGCACAGAAATACCAGATTTATTTCGAGTGTTGAACATGATATCTCACGAGTCAGCGCAGCGAACGAGTGAGATATCATGTTCAACACAAGAAATAAATTTGGTATTTCCAAGCACCCATGTATTTTTCTGTTTATTATATAAACAAAATTCAGTAATAAAACGTCTGTGGCAATGCGTTTTACAACAAATGATATTTTCACACGTAAAAATATCGTATTTTTTTACCAAAAACTCTATGTAGCACTTATGTTTATATAATAAATATAGTTAATAACTTAGATTTTTGTACCAAATATTCTGTAATAAAGGCGAGTTTCACAATAGTGATCAACTTTACAAGAGTGAGAAAAAATGTTAATTTTCATTTGGGCTATGGTAACAAAAAAATCCTGTCATTCTGGTCTCGTATCCTGAAAAGTTTTTATTTGAAAATTTTTTTGTTTGATATTGGTCAGTAATGGTGATGGATCTTGCCATGGTCACAATGCATATTAAAGATGCGGTACAGTCCGTATGTAAACAAAGGCTTTGTTTACATGTCGGTATCCAAAATATTGAATTTTATTCGACAACTATTTATATTTTCATGATTCTAGAGTATAATAAATTATCAAGACACAACAATTAAACTTTGCAAGACCATAAAATTAAATAAAAACCTAAATAAACTGTTTGTATAACAAAAAGAAGGCTCCTTTGTGCACATGCGCAGATCGGACTGTACCGCATCTTTAAGTATTTCCAGAAGCAATAATTTTGACAACTGACACCACTTTTCATGTCATGTTGTATGATCGAGCAAGCAGCAAAAAATCTAGGTCAATAAGTAAGCAACCAACTGTATCCAAAACAACAATGGGTCGGCAGAAAAAAACAGGGCTGCTTGAGAAACTGGAATTACAGGATATTTTGACGTAGTTTAATTAGCATTCTCTTATAAATATGATCACCATGCCCTATTGGCCTATTGCTTGTTGAAATTCATGCCTTTGAAGTAACTACAAGTTTCTGTGGGCTTTCCTTCCATCTATTCTTCAATTTTAACATTCTTCTGAAAAGTTTACTATACTTGATTGTAGTTTGCTATACCTGTCCTTATTTGCAGCTATCTCTGTGTATGTATACCATTTCTGTCTCCCCCAGCGCCTTGTGAAGATGGCTCCATAATAGAAATTGTGACAGTTCAGTTTAAAGCAGTTCTCTCTGACCAAGCTTTCCATTATCCTCACAAATATGAGTTCCACTTTACACAGCCTTACCTTAGGTTTCCTGCAAACTATCAAACTGTTTTCAAGTTCTTGCATTTCAGTTTTTTTGCACGTTTCTCTCCTTTTCTCATGTCCAGCTATCTTTGTATACCATGGCCCCTTCCACAGAATTCCATGTTACGATGACTCTCGCAAATTATCATCTATAATGTTCACATTAAACATGGCCCACTCGTCAAGCGATGTCCCAGTGTGCATTTGAACATGAGACTTAAACTTGTTGGACTGCACGAACTCACGAGCGCAGATTTTGCATTTATAAGGTTTGTGCTGCGCATGGGTAAACATGTGATCTTTCAAGTTTCCATTGCGGTTGAATCCTTTGGAGCAAATCTTGCATTGATAAGGCTTGTTGCCGCTGTGAATGATCTGATGTCGCGTCAGACTGCTCGACCTCGTGAACGTCATGTCACATTGAGGACATTTAAATGGTTTCTCTCCTGGAATGAAAGAATGCGACATTTGTGTGAGAAGAGCGAAGGAAAGTCAACTACAAAATATTTCGGGTTTTACACAGTATGTCACATGAAATGCCACTCTTATCACGAGAAAGCTTCGGATTGATAGGGATGCAGCTATCGGAGAGTTACAATTTGTCAAACTTCGACAATTTGAGGGAAGGCCCTTGGTTGTGAAATTAGTACCTGGAAGTTAATAGTTGGCTACTAACTTAGGGGCGGACCATTAGAAATCCCGGGAGGGAGGGGGGGGGTATAAAATTTTTGCGGCACGATTTTTTTTTCAGTCTCATGTCTCTGCAGGGTTTTTTTTATGCATTTAACCTCTGCAAGAATTTTTTTTCAAGACTATTTACACTTTGCTGTTTGCTTGCACAATTTTTTTTCTCTGATGTAATGGCTGCGCGAATTTTTCCCCCGGGAATTTTCACCCCCGCCCCTCCCGGGATTTCTAATGGTCTGACCCTTACTGACAAAGGTGAGTTATTCTAATTTCAATTAGAACTAATATAGCATATTTCATTGTTTCAATTTAGTTGTGGATTTCTCACTATGGGATGGTGAGGAAAAAAGGAATTAAATGGAAGATTCTCTCGCATAAATTAGGTTTGTAGTTTCTTTCCTGACTGCAGCGTATGAACGATAGCTCTTTTGTTAATTATTTCTCTAAAGCTAAGCAGAATTATTTTCCTTATCAGCTCATTAAAATAACAATGCAAACTTGACAGGAACCGCCGGTTAAATATTGACACAGCGTTGCTCTTCATTTACAACATATTTACATATCTCACATCCATATTCCAAAACTTTTTGCGTGGCGCGTGTAAAGTACGTGAATTGTCAAATCCTGAAAGGTATGTGTAGCCCACGTAACCTTTTTGTGTCAGTAGCTCTACGCATAACACATGTCATGGACTCATGGGATTTACACATGTGGGTAATTGGATATTTCTTAGAAATATTTCCTCTTGGAATATAATTTCTTTGCTAACCATGGTTAATACGAATAGTTAATTTGCGACTGTACAAAACATAAACTTTGTACATCTAGCAAATACGTTATTCTGAACTTTCTTTTTTGCATAGACGAAACAAAGCACAGGCGTGAAATTGACTTGCATGTGGCAAATTAGCTGCTTAAATGGTCCAACATGAATTGAAATTAGAACACATACTGTGTACGTGCTGTTTGCCAAGCCTGAAATAACATCGAAAAATTGTCCAGAAAGAAAATCTTTGGATTTCTTGAGGATTTTTTGAAAGTGTTGGCAGGTTCTCCAAGGTTTTGAGGAAAAATCTTTACCATCAGGAAATTAGTAATATTTAACAACTTATAATACATAAGTACCGGAGATATACTAACCAAACCAATATTTATGGTCTGGTACGCGCTATTCTTGCTATCTGCGTGCTTAACGCTTTGTTTGTACCATTTGAACTTTCCAAGCCCGAGTTATTTAAAACCATAATTTAGTCTGAATACGTGCATAAAATGACTTGGCTTTAAACATGATTGGACTGATGCGGCTAAGAAATGCAGGAGTATTTGTATATACAATTGTGCTTCTTCTTCTATAAACTCGTAGTTTCAGATTACTCAATGAATACCTTTCTGAAACCTGTACTGTAGACTAAGTACACCTTGAGTCATCTGAAGTTTTCACCAGCGCAAGTGTCTGGCAATAATCATTGAAGTACCAGTCACGTACGACTAAAAATCATGCACTATCGCGCTCTGGTTATTAATTAAAGTCTTTTCTCAATATTCAAAGTTTAAGCCAGATAAAAAGACTGGAATCCTGCACCTGTTTCAAAACTTTCCAATATTGTACAAAACAATGTATATTTGAAGTCTTTTATTGAGTCAAAGACCAAATAAGTCGTACAGGATGACTCCCTCAACCCCTTAAAACCCTACGCAGGCTAAATCAACAGAGACTATTTAACCTCTAGTTCGTCTGGCAGATGTTTCCAGCTTGCGTGCAAAACGCTGGCAATAACAGCAACTTGATAATTGAAAAGTTTGTAATGCAAAATAATGCCATATGTTATATAGCAAGTGTAAATTGCATTTTCGTATAGTTTCCTCACAATACCAAAGTTTGGGCAGAACTCCACTTGCAATTTTCTACAGTCTGGTCAACATTACAAAAACCACTGGATTAACAGAATCTGGTAAACCTGGTTTACACTATCAAAGTTTCTGTGATCACAGTAGGAATTTTGCATTGGTAAATTCTAAGTTTTGAAGGATTTGTAAGAAATGTTTGAGGAAACTGATCCAGTGTTAAACAGTGACTCAGTTTCCTCAAACATGTCTTACAAATCCTTCAAAAGTGCAAAATTCCCACTGGTGATCACAAAAACTTTGATAGTATAAACTAGGCCTCAAATTCGTACCTGCTGTATAATATAATCTCTCATAAGTCATACCTTTATTTACGATGTAAAATTTTAGCGTAGGCGTGAATGTTAGTTTTTGGCTCAGTTTCCTCATACATTGAGCTCGTGTTATAAATAGAAGAGCGTGAAATTAGTTAGCAACGCTTTGTGCGCGATATTTCCTTCATGCTTGAAAGATCAGTGAAAGAATATATATTGTATATACAGACAGCTTTCAAACATCGCTGCTCCGCCTCCGATATACTTAATAAAGCGGCAGAGGAAACATGTCTGATATTGATAAACCTCGTTGTCATCGTGAACTCGCAAACTTTTATTTACAGTTTCATCAAACTAACCTGGAAGCGGTGGCTAGTTGCATTTTCATAACTGCTTTCGTGCAGTTACGTTTCCAAAGTCTAAACCACAAGCAATTGCACGGTGAAAACATCAGAGAGTGTTATACAAAGACACAGGCCTTGTATCATGGTGTATTCACTGTGTTGTAATTTGAATCCTTAGCGCTATATCATGCTCGATCACGTAAATATCAAATAGTCACATGTATCGCGATATCACAGTCTGTGCAGCAATCTTCAGACCTTACTGTATATGTCTGGATCTTTATCTTACCTGAGTGTACGGGCATATGTTGCTTAAGATGGTTGGACTGTGTAAAGGTCCTATAACATATCTCGCATTCGTAAACTTTCTTGGATACTTTATGCCGTGGTAAATGTCTTCGCAGCTCCTTGGCCGTGCCGAACACTTTGTTACATTTGTGACAGACATGCCAACGTTCGCTATCATCAATGACATCAGCATTGAGTGCGGAGCTGTCCAAAGTGCGATCATTTATTTCGTCTCCTAGTGTCAACTCCGTGTATTCCTCCTCGTCGTGGTCCAGGACTCGGGGTTTGCTTGACAGACTGAAAGTTGGCAAGAATGTTTTATCTTCTATAAACGCTGGATAGGTTCGCCTCACTGGTCTGTCGTCAAATTCCGGGGCTTCCTCAATCACATCATAGTCTATACTATATCCACCACTTTCCATCATCGCGTTTTTTGATTGTTTTTTTCCGCGAAGCTGACTCTATAATCAAAGCGAACGCAAAGAGATATTTGCTTTTCACTAATGCAGAGTATTTTCGCTTCAGGGGGCTTTTTGGCGGTTAAAAGTTTTCGCTTTGATGCCAATTTCGATATACGTCGCGCATACATTTTTCTATTCTCGACTTTCGCTTTTATACGAGTGTCGTGTGTGTGTGTGAATTTTGAACACACGCTCGAGCGCTCTATCTCAAGTGGCGACCGCTAGGCAAATGTCATTTCCAGCTCAAAGGAAATGAATACGCCTGTTGGCGTGTATAATCAAGTTAAGCCGCTACTGGCAAACGGAATATCATTTTTCATTTTAGTTATATCTTCCTTTGTTCGCCTTCCGAAATATCATAGCACTTTTGTCTTTTTTTCCAACCCTACATCGCCTCACAAAAGCGTTCTTTTAAAAAGATATTTAATGGCTGTTTTTTACACCACAAAGAACGCCAAAGCAAATTTGTACAAACGCGATTTAAATACTGTACAAACACGGCTCAATATCTCACACGCCATGTTAGCAAGAGCGATCGAGCGTCTCAGTTGAACCGTTTCAGAGCGAATAAATAATTTCATTCAAACGATATATATTTCAAGCTACGGTTAAGGAAACTTTGCCGTGTTCATTTAAATCCAACGGCTTGTTGTTTTTTTGTAAAAACGAAACTTTCACCTGGACACATAGATAATTATTCTAGCATTATGAATAAATAATGCACGCCATTATATTTTACAATATTTTGCATGTCCGCTTGTTGGAAGCCAGGGAGAATTAGGGAGGCTTTAGCTTGGCGAATTTACGTTCTTAATAGTCCATACAGTCGAGGTTTTAGGGTTATATTTTGTTACTTTTCCTGGCTGATCATAAATCGCGTGTCTCATTCGTGTTAATTGCGAATCTCTGGTCTAAATTAAATATTCAACATGTGCAACTTTGTTCGCGTGTGGAGACCAGAACATGGCATAAAACCGCCCTAGAGGCTCTCAAAATACTCTGTATAGCGCTATAGTGTTCGACAACATTGCGAGGAAGGCTTTTTGTGCGAGGGATACTAAGAGTCGTGCGTTTTTTCCGAGTTCTAGCAAGCACTCGAAGCGGCGCCTTTATTGTGATTGACCACAGCTACAATAGGGGCCAGGTGCCGTCAGAGACACCTCACGCAAAACACTTTAGTCTGCTCGTAAAACACGCCAGAAACTCGCTCCTTTAGCACTTGTCACGCAACGCAGTAATACCTTTAGTATTTATCTTGAGAAAAATTCATCATTTGTGCCCGCCAAGCGATTCATTTCACGCTTCTGTAGACCAGGTGCTCGGAGTTGAGAATTTGATCCCTCGACAACGGCGTGTCCTCACATACGCGAAATTCTTCAAACGTACGACCGTTTCTGGCCTTTCTTTAAACCTGGTTATCGGGGTGGCTGTATAGATCTACTCCTCTACATATACCGAGTTATTTACGCTCGTATAAAGCTCAGCAAAGCATTCTGTCCCTCGCCCGGTCAAGATGCGATTAAACCGCGTTGTCGCTTATAGCCTCCGGTTGTAGCAAGCAAAAGCATAGCGTTTCGCTTTAAAACCAGGCAGCTATTTGCGGCAAGAGTTTGTAAAATTGTCAAGAATTGACCGAAATAATACGACAAAAAACTCACCTTGTTTTACGATTGATTTCAACTCCCGTTTGCCTGCTTGATTCGGCGTATTCAGGTGCTGTTGTTAATCAGGCTGTTGTGAAATTGTTTCGCGTGATAACTCGACTGGTATTGACCTCACGCGATCATATGTCTTTGTACATTAATATCGCGCCTACCTTTGTTTACATTAATCCCTACCGCCGGGGAGGGGAGGGTGCGTGGATTGCGCGCACTGCATATCATTACATATATAACAAAACTGACCGGCACTATTGTACAGGGTCTGTTATTTTCATGTAGGTGTCTGTAGAGTGAATCAACGTTGCATTTAAGGCAGAAATTTTAGCACACTTGGGATGTACTTTACTGACAATTTTTGCAGTTTAATCCGCCTTCAAGTCTCTAATTTTGTTTTTAACATGTATGTAACTGTTCTTGCGTCATTCACTGCCCCTTCATACGTACTTGGGGACTGGTTTGTGGCACATGTACTTAGATTTTCAAACATTTACGCACCCAAAATCTCGTCTAAAAGTGCTCAACTCTACAGTCTGGTGTAGTCGGTAGGCTGTAGCCATTATGCAGCTGAGCGATACATAGTTTAAACGTCTTGGAACGCCTTCAAGTGTTAACATTTATAAAGTTAAACGCCATCGCTTACTGCAGAAACCTACCAAGTATTTCATATTGTGAGTATATTATATGATATGAGATTTAGAATAAGAAAATAATTTATTAAAACCGTCTTATGGTCTCTTATTGCCATTGCAGATAATTATGGACAGTTGAACAAAGACAACATGGTCCTTTCCAAAAAGCGTCATAGAAGGTAGGTTCAGTGTGCACCAATCATCACTACTACAGAGGGTACCCCGCACGGGGAAAATTTGTATGCTAACGCGTGCCCGCGTGGCAGGATTCGTAAAAACACGTGGACGAAACCTGATCTTATGAATGAGTGAAATGCCTGCGGAGTTTCAATGCGAGTTCTCGTCAAATGTAAACATATAAAGAGCGATGTCTGTTTGCAACTGAGACTAGAAGTCAACTCTCGATTCGCTAGCTTTTGTATGATATTGTAGGCAGACGTGTTGAACTGTAGTGTACAGTTACAGCTTTCTTTGTTCATACAACGCGGCGTGTATGCGTGTTGAATGTTTAAGTTGGAATCGCAATTCATTAACGCTGTTGGATGCTGGATTTCAGCCAAGATACATGATGTGTCGTCGCTTAATAGTATATGCTCAAGTTCTGTTAGTAAAACTTGTTTTAGTATGATGTCAGAATTATTTCGAAAAGGTTAAATTGAAACTGAAAAAAGATCAAGGAACACTGTCGTTGATTATTTTCTTTCACATATAATTGATACAAATTTACACATACAAAGTGAAACATAGTTAATATCACGCGACTTCAAAGTATTACATCGGCACATTTCTTGGCCGAATACCCTTGCAATTCAGGACTGGCAAGAGGAAAATACAATTGAAACGTCTTTCATTTGAGCGAAAAACGCAATATCGATGCAAGTTTGGTGACAATGACCATGCAATGTTCTAGCCAATCACCATTATGCTATACAAAGACTCGTTAAAAAAGGTTCCAATATCCGTAAAGATATATTGAACTTGAGATGACACCAATGAATAATTAGATGAAATATTTCAACCATAAATACAAAGGGGTTTCATTCGATAAAGTACAAAGTACAAATAATTTGTAGTACTATGCGTTTGCTTGGGTCTTAAACAATGAGAAATTGGTGATTCTTATGTTTTGTAGATGAATAAGAGAAGGTCCACCCAATATTTCGATAGGATCATTTAGCACTCTCTTAGGTTGTCATACATTGAAGTGAAGAGTTGACGTTGATAACGTGTTGACCCGAAATTCCTCTATTCTGAATGCTGGTGTTCGTCCAGTTAGATGGCACCATCAATATACACAGCCATTATCAATTACCACAAACAATATCCATTAGTTCTAGACTTAAGTATTTACAATTTATACGTCCCGATTTAACCTCAAACTTTTATGTGGAAAGTTTTACTGCAAACTATTTGTCAATTTGACCACATCAATTGTTCAGGAGTATATTCCACACTTGATATTGCCAATACCGCATGATCAACTCAACGCGAACCTCACACATGCTGTGAAATACTGCACTCAAATGCAAAATAACCTAGAGTTTTCTTTGTCTTGTTCATTACACACAAAGGCAGGTGACATCTTTGTTTCAAACATTAAAACTATGAAAATCTGTAAATGTTTCTCCCGGGTGAAATTGAATGCGTGTAGGTGTTATTTACACGATGATACTGGGTTTCTGTTGGAGATTTGGTCCCATGCGGTTAAAAATAATAAAAAAGTACCCCATCTTTTAGCAGTAATTATAAATCTCAGTAGTACGTGCGTGTTGTGTATATGAAAACAACTGAGAAGATGTCTAGATGTTTTCGTTGTCATCCACTGATGGTTGTTTCCGAGTTCTTCTTCATTGTTTAGAAGTCATTAATTGCCGTCATGTCTGAACAATTTGAATAAAGAGAAAATTGAGAAGTGAAATACTGACTGAAATAAACGGAAAACGTTTTACTGTTTAATACACTCAAACCTTTTACTTAGTGCGCGGGTAACTCACCGAAAAAAATTGGATCAAATCCATTTTGGCAAGATTTCGGAAAGCCTTGCTTGGTTCCAGATCTTCCCATAGCAGACAGAAATTATAATCCAACTGATTTGACCATATGCGCGCATAGTAATAAATGAGATAAAAACCGGAAAAACTGTCCTCGACTTTTTACTGAAAAGGGAACAAACATTAGGTCAGCCGTCAGCGATGCCTCAACAAGTAAAATGAAAGACAAACTCCATTAAAATATATTTACAATGTAATCCTCTTGCCAGTACGTTTTGATTGTATATATATATATATTTTTTAAAATTCCGCGGAAACATTGTCATTGATGATAATGTATATTGATTTAATATATATTGTGCCTGGTTGAAGACCACTGCAGGAATTAAAACGATTCTTAGTTATTTTACGCAAATTTTATGATGGGCAGAGCCATAGCAGAGTAAAGCGTTTCCCCGAATTTGAAAGGAAACGTAACAATATTATAACTAGCTGTCTGTTCTGCCCACAATAATCGAACACACAGATAGTATTCTTTATTTCAGCCGCAAATTACTTCCTATTACAAATCTGAACGTAAACTTGCATAAATTTATCGCTACGGCTACGAGCCGCGTACACACTGGGAATATCGAATGAAAAATGTAGCAATTAATTTTGAGATGCTACTTATGTTGCCTTCTAATTTACAACGAAAATTCAATTCGTATTTGGCTCGAGTTTTGGCTACTGTCCAAAAAATATGCGTGAAATCTAAACGACGTGTAAATTGATACTGTTCAGGGTTGTAAAATTGATAAAATTCAAAAGTCTTCGTTTTCAGATAAACTAAGAATGCCAGGAAAATAGAAGTGTCTATATACATAGTCAATGTGGTTGCGATTTTGCCGTTTAGAATTTAAAAAGGTGGGTTATATGGAAATCTGTGAATACACGAAAAATACGGGCGTACTTCAAACTGTTTAATTTGGCAGTTCAAGTTTCGGAATGCTGAATTACATTACTGACAAAAATTTTGACAGCATTCCCTGCCAAGATATCGCTTCGGGGTAGTCGAATTTCATAATTTGACACCATTTGAGCCTCTCTCATCTTGCGATATTCTCTTGCTTTCGAGTAGTTTTTGATAAAGCAAGTACTCAAAAACGATCATTTTGCCTTTTTTTTTAATACTGAATTTATAATATTGCTTTGCGAAATAAATGCTTTGAGAAAACATTATAGCCTACAGAATTACCCGTACGTTTTATAGTGCGAAAATTTAATTCGTCAGTGCATTCCTAGTGTTTCTTAACCTAAGCTGGCAATTATCTACATTTTTCTGAAAGAAAAACAAATAAGCTCCCATGAATGCTAAATAGATCAGATATTTTTCCTTATTTTTTTGTAACCTGCAAAGGCCGCGCGTATGAAAAGCGATCGGGATTTTAAAAAGGTTGGGAAATTCTGTTTCTTGAGTCGCAGTCGATTGTTTGATGAATTTGTGGTTTTCAGAATGAAATGTTTGCCTAATACTTTTAGCAGCATCGGTTTATAGATTGGAATAGCGACAATGCCTTCGAACAAACAAAAATTTGTCAAGAACCGTGACGTATTGTATTTTGACCTCGTTTGGAAATTCAATTAGGGCATCTTTTAGTCGAATAAAACCGACTAAAACCGCGGTTTTTAAACGCAGCTTCGTTTCAGTGTTAAAGTAGAAATCGTTTGTACTCATCGTGATAATATTTAGTCGTATTTGGTAAGAAAATTGCATCGATTTTCCGAAGGAAAAACAAGGCAATCTGTTTGACTTCGTGTTCGCGTTGAGCCTCTCGGGTTGATATAATAATAAAACAGATCACGTGATATGTGTTTGGCCGCCTCTCATTGGCTGATCGTGGACAAGCTTGAATGCATCTCCCCCTGAAGAGCAACTTGGGTTTTAGCAGAAACAGCAAGCAGTTGTTTCTTTTGGTGAGTATCTAGTTTTCTTGTTTTTTCGTCGCTAAAAACCTTTCAAAACCTAGCAAAAGCCATTCTGGCGTTTTCGCCCGCACGAGGGCTTCGATTTTCACGAGAATTTCGCGATTTTTTTCCTGATTTTGAGGCAGTTTCAATGAATTAGTGTAGGCTTTGCCCTCTGTTACAAGTCAGCCATGATGTTCATGGTGAAAAAGACAGCTTGTTTCACAAATCTCGTTTTCATCTCAAATTTGCTACATCGCGGCCGAAATGTCTCAATTATCTCACAGAACGTTTATTTGTTACCTTTTAGAACTTCGAATGATTTCCAAAGTGCATCTAATGGCCTCCATGGATGAAGCGAATATTGATGGACAAAATGAAAACAAGAATAGCCGACTGCTACAGCCGGAACACGACTCTGTCGAGGTCAAGTATATGGTCATGCCGTTTGACGAATTTTTACCGATTTTTCTCGCTTTATAGACAACAAATACAGCTTTAAAACACGGTCCAAACCATCTCGAATCGTTTTGGGTAGTTTGGAGTGAATCGGGGCACGTTTAGTAACATTTTGAGCCAATTTTCAGGAACAATTTTGCAAGTTAATATATTTGAATATTTATTAACGCGACGTTGGCGTGATGGTTGAGTTCTCCGCTCATAACTTTGATAAAAACATGCTTGAATTCTCGATATTTTGACATGTTTTGGCCAAGAAACTTCAGGATGATCGATATTCTAAGTGTGTTTGGGTTTATGAGTTAAGTTTTTGAACAAAGCAAGGCGTGTAAAGCGAGAGTTTCAACACTGTCGCTTCACATGTTTGCCAAGATGCAAAGCAGGATTTCGGTGGACTCCTGTCAAGCGTGCATATAGAATTTCATTGTGCGATGCCACATTGTCTCGCTTCAAAATCAGCTTCAAACATTCCGTATTTCTTTCATCGAAGAAGGAATAGTAATCCTGGTTGTTAAGAGGCATTTCATTCAAAAGAAAAAAGTGTTTTGGCAATGCACTTGAACCCAACCTACGGGCAAAATTTATGCCCTGCAAAAGCGTTTTGAAACATTATTCACTTTTCATATACAAGTGTTTGTTTTCGTAGTCAAGGCAAATGCAAGCGAAATATCTATTCGAAAATACCGTGGAAACATAAAAATTTTGTCATCTAGCACGCTTTCTTTTATATATTTGTGAAAATGGCTTGTACCACGACACTACCAGAACTTATTTACATTTTTGAGAAACAAAAGCCGACCTGTTATAGCGTTGATGGTTGATAAGAAACGAAACTGTCTAGTTTGTTATTCAAATTTGAAGGGTTTTTCACGAACTCGCTTCCTTTTTAGCTAGCATATGTTTGACTTATTTTCGGCCGATAGAAAGGCTGTGTTTGTTCGTTTTACGCCGTTTGCCAAGCTGTATTACACTGGATTTTCTTTTGAAAAGGCCGGAACAATAATGTCAAAGTCTCAAAGGCCGTTTTTACCGCTTCAGCTGACGAAAGTGTTTTGGAATTGCCTTCATTATATAACAATTCTCTTTCTCTCACTTTTCTGACTTAGGTTTAGGGGCTCACAGCTTTTTACTGAACTTTTGTTGTTTAAACGCCGCGTTCTTGCTTTCTTTAACATAAAACATCGAAGTAAATTAACTTTTAAGTAAACAGTTAAAATAAAAGTCTAAAAATGTTTTTGCAATTATGATAAAAGCCCGTGTGCAAATCAATACCATCTGGTCACATGATGTGAGGAGCGAAACGAGCTTAATTTACATTTAAAATATAAAACCGCAATATGCTGGGATTCTACAGCTTTTAGCTCTACCTCGTGGCAAAAGTTTATTTAAAAGTACTTGAATTAGAACAGGCTCCAATTTCACATCGATTTTTAAAACTGAAAGCGAAAAAGCTTGCTTTTTGTGCTTTTAATGTCGCTTTGTTCTCCTTCTCGACTTCTACATCGTCGACGTAAGTAATATTTGTTGTTTTGGCGAAACAGCTGGTAGAAATTCCTGTTCTTGCATAATTTTTATTCGAAATTTAAAAGCGAATTATTATTTGCAACATTTTGTTACTCTGAACGTTTTCCCGAATAAAATTCTGAGTTTTTAGCTGAAAACTTATTTATAATTTTCCACTTTTATAAATGCATATAATCTTGGCCACTATAGCCGTATTTATGCAAACAAAAGCTTAGTCTTTTTTGAAACGTATGAAAATAATTCTATCCGAAAAAAACGGGGATTAATTTTTGTTTGGGCGAATTTTAATTCCGTCTGAAACGATCCATTATAAGAATTCTGTAATTTTCAAGTGCAATTTAAAAGCAAAAGTCTTTTGTCCAAACTTCAAAGACAAACTCACTTTGTTGTTTGTTAACTAAAACGATCCGGAAAAATATACTCATAGTTTTACTTTTTATAGCAAGGACGCTTAGTTGAGCTTTTCTTGTGTTTTTGTTTGACAAAAAATAGATTTTTAGAACAAAAGCACGCCAATTTGCAACGAATTTACTGCATTAGAGTTTAATTTTCGATCTAAAATTCTGTTTTGTTTCTACTTAATAAATAAAAGCAATATTAGACGCCGTGTAATTTAGTTTGTTCCGGCAAATTTTAATGAGCTATTGTTAGCAGTTGTTGGTGTTTGATTTGGAAGAAAGTTTGTTAAAGCTATGTATTTTGCGTGGAGAATTATGGTTGTGTTAACTGCTGGGCTAGGTTTCTTTTCCCTAAGGGAAAAATGATAAGTATTTTAATAAAATTAAAATTCAGTGATCATAGTTTACCAGTTTTACATAGTAAAAAAAGGAAAATATAAAAATTCTGAATATTAAGTGTAGAGTGTATGGCATTTCTTATTAAGCATGTAAATTAATTGTTGCTTAATGCCAGTGTTTCTAAAATTTAAGTCTATTCAGAAAACTGTTTGTTAGCATGCAGTTTTTCCTTCATAAAGGGGGACTATTTTATTCTGTCCAGGAGACAACTTACTTGGGTATAGGGTAAGCTAGGCTGGGGGTCAAACAGATAAGTGGGAGGCCAAATATATCCCATATACGGCATGATTCCTTTGCCTGTGGTTATCAGTTGTGGTTACTGGCAAATGTGGAGTATGGTAATACCAACCTTTTATATATTACTCCAGCTGATTTGTATAAGGGGAGTTTCTGATGTATATTATATATTTGTGACCCTTTGTTTATTCTTGTAATTCTACTAATTATGTAGTTTATCAGTTCACTGCAAGTTTTATCTATGTTGAAGTTTAACATCTATTCCTTATATCTTACAGATGGGACCGAACAGAAAGAGTCCAATGGGTTCAAATTTTGTCTTTGCAAGAGAGATACGACCAAAACAGATCATGGTTGATCACAGTATTGGCACTCCACCGTTGAAAAAGATTAAAACTGAATCATCAATCGGGAATGGGCAAAATGGTATGACCAGTGGAGCCAACCTTTGCATTGCACTAACCCTTAGATCTAAATAATAACAAGCTATCAACATTTTTGTCTGAAGATAGAAACGAACATAATTGTGTGGGTGATTCCAGGTGTTAACCATTAAAGCACAAGACTTTTCCCTTGATGAGTAAAATTGTCTGGTGTTAGACAGAGTAAAATGGGTCATTCCAGAAAATATCCACACCTCCCCCACAGAGGAAATTGGAAGATAACCCCCCTACTCCCTTTGGATGTTTTTCTTCCCAATCGGACGGCAGAAATTTCTTCCGTGGGGGGAGTGTGGATTTTGTCTGGAGCGACCCAATTGCAGCTTAGTGGGTTAGTTGTTTACTATAATAGCTCCTGAATTGTGTGTTTTCCTTCTAAAGGGTATCCAGTGGCATCAATGCACCATACCCCAGCCATTTCATCAGCACCATCGCCACAGATGGCAAACATAATGATCCCAAACAATCCATTGAGTAAACTTCATGAGCTCAACAAAAACATCACACCCACTTCATTTAAAACAAGCAGCCCACAGTCAAGCTCGTTTGCATCAATTGTTCATTCAAATAATCCAACGGCCATCCCAACTAGTGCACCCAGTCACCCTAAACCCCCAGTCCATCCCAGCTCATCCCCGAAGCCAGGTAGACCAAGTAATGCCATGTATCAAACTATCGCTCCTAAAAAACAACCCTTTGATGTTAACACTATGAATGCCATGAATGCGATGGCAAACCGTGAGCTGTCAGGAGGTAAAGTGCGTCAACTGGGTGGCATGTCACCTTCAAAAGCTGAGGCTGTCAAGTCCAATGGTGTGAATGGTAATGATCCTGAACAAGCTCATAATGATTATGCTCTGTCAGCGTTGGACTGGAAGGATGGCGTTGCTGATTTGCCAGGTTAGCTCATGGGCAGGGAACATGATTGACAGACAGACTAGCCCCAAACACATTGTGGGCTCCATTTGTCTGGGGGCCCCGGACTGTCTATTGGAAAATGTTTTTATTTTTATGGTCTGTGAAATGCTATTCCAGGCATGTTTCATGATAATCTGAACGTCACAGATTTGGTATATTTTATGTCATAGATGAAAATATTAAGAGGTTATGAACAGCCCCCCCCCCCCCAATTTCTCCTCATTGGTCCTGATGAAAAGTGGGGGGAGGGAGGGGTATGGACCCCCCATTGTCCCAGTGGCTATGCCTCTGTATTGATTGAATGACTGGCCATGCAACAAATTTGCTTGCCAATGGAATGACTGACCTGGTAACTTCCTAACCAGCTTCGAATCCTGATTCAATATCAGGACTGAGAGAGTATAGTTGTATTTTTTGCAGGTTGTGAGCTCCTAGTTAGGTCTTAATATTATAAAATTTACACTTGCCATCTACATCAACTCCCTGACTGAGGTTTTAACTTTTACATTGTAGGGAGTAAATTGAAATTCAAGATGACAGAATTTGGTTTGGAAATTATCAGCACAGTCGAGACAGAGGACGGCCAGCCAATTGAGTTCAGTACCTCAACCTCAGACAAAAATCTGAAGAAAGAAGCGTCCAGTCAGGTGGGTGATGAAAATCACCTTGACGATGAAGGTACTTATTGTGTTGTAATTATGACTGAAGGTTGCACAACTATCTGATTCATTGGCATGTCAGAGGGCCTATAGAGGGCCTATGTACAGCTTGAAATTTCCACCAAAACCCTTCTACTCTTTATAGTTCTATCAAGCAAGATGCCCTAAATCTTGATATTAATCCATGCCCCTCCCATGCATATATTCCCAACAGTTTCTCTTTAAAGACCCACATTCCCCTATGGCCTCAGAACTGTAGTTGAACTCTAGACTTGATGTGAGAAAGGGGTGTGGCACTCTTCATGCAGAGTGACTATGCCCTTTTACAGTTTTGTCTTAAAGAATGACAAAGATTGCTTACAGCAAACTTGGCATGATAATCTCTCTACAATCTCAGTCTGCATTATAACCCCTTCCTGCCCATTAGCAAATAGCAATACTTATTATTTTTATGAAACATTTGCAATACAGTACACAGCTCTCTTTACAATGAGGGGCTAAACCAAGATTAAAGTCCAGTGTGGGTTCACCAGAGTAAGATTTAGGTCACTCTGGTTAAGTTACCAAGGACTCAGTTGGAGCCACTAACTGATGGAGCCTGCAGGGCCAAATGACCCCCCAGTATATATGTTAAAATATACCTTGCTCTAATGTCTTTTTATGAATGCAGTAGTGTCCAAAACAAAGTAAACAATTCCTTGTGTGTTTCTAGAGTCTTCATCGAAGAAGCTGTTGGAAGGTCCTCCTGACGCGGACGAGTTTTGCTGTTGTGAAATCTGTGGCAAGTATGGTCTGCGTTCAGAATTTGGTGCCTCGGGTCGCTTCTGTGGCTTGACGTGTGTTGGCGTGTACACGGGACGAAGGAACAAAGGTCGTGAAGTCTCTCGAACTGTGAAAGCTCTTGATGGGAAAGTTATCAAACGAAAGAAAAGAAAGAGCAGAAAACTAACCATTGTTAAACAATCATCTATGAACGGGGTACGTAATGTTTTGGTAACATTTATTCTGAGATGGTTTCAACAATTTCTACCTTTCTGCATTAATTGCGTGTGATAGCGCATATTACTGTAACGGGTATTGTGTTCATAATGTGCACTTGATAGATGTGTTTGATGCGCGTTTGGTACAGTACTGCTCAGGAATAGCCAAACAGAAAATGCTCGTTGGAACTGGAATGTTTCATTGGAACTGGAAAGCCAGCCTGCGCTCCCGTAACGCAATTAGAACGCGGACGCGGTGTTTGAAAAACATAAAAATTCAACATAATTTTTTTCAGAAGATGAAAGTTGGTCAAAACGGTACCCCAGAAACTCCTGGAACAAAACCCAAGGGAAAGCTGGAATATTTCAACGCTACCATGGGTACGTAGCTAGCTACACTTACAAGTAAAATCCTCAGATGTTGGATACTTTAACTTAATCGTCAAACTATCACGTTATACAGATTCCGCTAATCCGCCAAAGCCTTTCAATTGGAACGAATATTTAGAGAAAACTGGGGCACATGCCGCGGATATTAGTTGCTTTGTACAGGTATGTTTAAATCAGTGGCATAACCATGACCCCAGATCAGAAATGTACAAACTTTACATAACCAGGTTTCAACATGCTCGTAACTGCCGTAAAGATAGAATCACGATCTTTCTCAACGGCCAGAATATAATAGTTTTTAACCAAATATAAATCATAAGTATTCTCTATTTATAATCACTCTGCCTATTTTCAGTTCTAAACTGTTGTATCTCAGCTGTTGAGAAAGATCGTGACTCAATCTTTACGACCGTTACGACCATATGGAAACCAAGTTTATACAAGTGTTCATAAATGGTGTTGAATAAATTAGTGATTGCAGTAGTATTGAGTACAGAAAGCTTTGGGTTAATAGCGATGCACCTGCCTGAAAAATACAAGGAGAACTTCGACGCTTCGAGTGAAGGAAATACCCGACGAAGCGCCCTCGCTCGAGACGTCGAAGTTCTCCTTGTATTTTTCACAGGGTTCGTAGCGGTCTTTGAAATCCTTGAAAGTCTTTAAATTGGAATGCAGGTCTTTGAGATCTTTGAAAAGTCTTTAAATTGTGTGAAAAAGCGAAGAAAGTCTTTAATAATCTTTAAATTCTTTAGTGAGTATTTGATTATACGATTTCCTAGCTAATAAAATAGATTGATTGAAGCAAGATTTTCGCAAATATCGACCAAAATGAGCATTTTAGGATGTGATTTGATGGCCGGACCAATTACCGGGTAAAAATGGTGCTTACACTCGCAATTTTTCGACACCTGATTGCTCTCAAAGGTCTTTGAAAGAAATCAAAGTGTTTGGAATTTTTTTGGTCTTGGAGACTACGAACCCTGCTTGCATCCCTATTAATCCGAAGCTTTCTTATTATTGCCTACCTATCCTTCCACAAACCTTTCAGTATTGAGTACACCTTATCTATTCGCGTTAGGAGAATGTAGGCAAAGAGTTGTTTATTGGTCCTGCAAGTGAATTTCAAAAAGACATGAAATTAGAAGCAGTCGATCCGAAGCATCCCTCGTATTTCTGTGTCGTCACTGTGGCGGAGGTGAAAGGTGCACGTCTCAGACTCCATTTTGATGGCTGGTCAGAAAGTTATGATTTTTGGGCAAATGCTGATTCAGAATTTATCTTTCCCGTGAATTGGTGTTCGAAGCATGGGCAGATCTTACATCCACCTCGAAGTAAGTTGAAGGAGAAGTGAAAAATATGGTGCATGCGCAGACGTCCTTTCTAAAATTCAAAGCCATTTGTCACTCTGTGTTTTAGGTATGACAGCCGGCAATTTTTCTTGGGAGAAATATCTCAAAGACACGAATTCAGTCGCTGCTCCAGAACATCTTTTCAAAGAGGTAAACTTGACTTATGTGTGGATTTTACTAAGCAGTATCGTGCAGCAGATGATGCTGAACCTGGAGTTGTCAGAGTGAAGAAATAATGTTAATTCTTGTCATTATACAAAATATTTCTATTCAACTTTCCAGCCTTTTCCAACTCGACATGGATTTAAAGAAAACATGAAACTTGAAGCAATTGACCGCAAGAATCCAGACCTGATCTGTGTTGCCACTGTAACCAACGTGCTTGGCAATCGTTTCTTGGTTCATTTTGATGAGTGGGATGATACCTACGACTATTGGTGTTATGATGATTGCCCCTACATACACCAAGTTGGTTGGTGCCATTCACAGGGACGACGACTCACACCGCCAAATGGTTAGTCTTGTTTATAAATGAAGGATTTTTGAGCATGTCACCGCAATTAATTCTATCGATAAACCCAGACGTCATTTCCCACGTTCATTCTTCGCTCGGAAAGTAACGTCTGCGAACCCGAGCAGGAATTCGATTTCCAAGCGATCAGCATTTAACTAGCCAATCAGCATTTGGCTCTTTCGGTAGAGCGTTGACTAACTCTTTTCACATAAGCATCATGAGTCCGTAGCGAGAATCAAACCCACCATATCAGAGATAAAGGCGCTTGCTCAGTATATCTACAGTATATACAAAGAGAGTACTTCCTATATTGATTTAGGCCCACCTGATATTAAATTTGGCGACTAGATCTTATTCACTGATAGCCACTTGGGCGACTTAAAAATTTTTAAAATTTCAACCCCTGATCTGTATTTTTCTGTATTCTAGATTATACATTAATAGAAAGTTGCTTGATATATAAAGGTAAATGCAAATTTAAATAACGCTTTGTATTGCGTTTTCGAACGAATCTTAACAAAGTTTTCAAAGGAAATACTGTAGATTGAAAACTATCGTAACAAGATGAAAGCAAAGTTGAATTGAAATTTGAATTGAATTGAAATTTTTTTGAAAAATACTGAATGTAAAAAGTGCCAAACACAACTGGTTTACGTGAAATATTAATCGATTGATCAGACACCGATGTCAATTTCAGACCTGAAGTTATAAACAAAATGCATTTACTTCTGACGGATCATGTTTTTTGGAAAGCGTTAATTTGAATTTATCTTTTACTGCCGTATATTAAGTGCAACAAGATGCTCGCTATGACATACGTTTTAATTGGCTAACATAAAACCATAGACATACGTCATGGAAATCGAATTCCCGCTTGGGTTCCCAGACATTACTTTCCGAGCGAAGAACGAGCGTGGGAAATGATGTTCGCAGAATATTCTATTGATTGAGATGCACAAAAGGCCTGGTATTTACACGTACATCTTATATTGGCATCATCTTAGTATTTATACATGAGCTTCTATTAATAATATTTTCTATTCACAGATGATGAAGTTGACACGTTTGTTTGGTCACAATATCTTCGAGCCACCGGCTGCAAGGCAGCATCGCCCGATATCTTTAGAAATGTAAGTATAATCTTGAATCGTGTTAACCCTGAGATGTTTGATGCTGTTTGGCTAACTTTTCCACTAACTGTCGTTAACTTTAACTACTTTTCTACACAACCAACCCCAGCTCTGTTAGTTCTAAACTCTTCTTCCCATAGATCCAGTAACAGCCTCTTCTTCTGATATTGGCCCAGTGTTTTAGTACAGAAGTAAAATGGAAGAAAGCCTTCGATGTTCGCTCAGCGTCAGGCTATAGAATCATTCTCATGAGATTTTTTCCCGGACATTAGATTTTTCTCAAATATTTTAGTATCGGCCCTGATACTAAACTTGTACCACTATTAACCTAAATTTTATATTGAATACTAATTCTTCTTCGATTTCAAACACGATCGTTACCTGAATTTTCAATCAAACTTATATGACATTTACCTGAAATATATTATCCACAATTATTTTTTTTTTTTTTGGGGGGGCGTTATAACACCCCACACCCCTGGTCACTACGACCCTGTCCCTGTTTAACTGAACTACCTGTTTCCAGCGTCAGCCAACGTCGTTCAGAGTGGGCCACAAGCTGGAAGTCGTCGACAAGCGTAATCCATCTTTGATCCGGGTGGGAACAATATCCGCCATTGATGGTTTCAAAGTCAAGATTAGTTTTGATGGTTGGGATGAAATTTACGACGACTGGTTTGATTCTGATTCAAGTGACCTCCACCCGCGAGGATGGTGTGAGAAGAGTGGGTATCCTTTGGAAGCGCCGATAAGTAAGTCCGAATCGAATTACTCGACCCTTCGTCAAATGAGAATGAGAGTTGACCATCGACTCTTATCCACTGATTCAAATTTTAATGAGAGTCGATGAGAGTTTTCGCTACGTGCGCGGTAATATCCAGTCAACTCTCATGCAACTCTTGTTCTCGTTTGACCGGGGCATGCGAGTTGAGAAAACTGTCATGAAGACTCTCGCTTCTCAACTCTCATCAACTCTCATGCAACTCTTGTTCTCGTTTGACCAGGGTATGAGAGTTGAGAAAACTTTCATGCAAACTTTCGCTTCTCAACTCTCATGCAACTCTTGTTCTCTTTTGACTAGGGTATGAGAGTTGAGAAAACTCTCATGCAAACTCTAGCTTCTCAACTATCTTCAACTCTCATCCTTGTTTGACCAGGGCTTTAGAAAAACTGATTTGTGGCCTCGTTCACATGCGATCATTACTGTCGATGCAATGAAAGTGTTGATAAAATATTGCATGAATTCCTTTTCTCAAGTTGATCAATTCATACGAATTCAAATTTCTTTTTACTTCCTGTGTGTTTCCATTGGTCAATCGGTTCTGAAACGAAATCTAATTGGCTCATCTAAAAGTAACAGGAAGTTGATCAATTTTCTATCAAATGAATTGATCAACTTGAGGAAAGGAATTGGTGCAATATTTGATCAACACTTCCATTGCATCGACAGTAAGCAATCTTGTGTCGAGAGCTTTGAGCTGGGGCAATTTTGAGTTGAGAACCGGATGACAATGCCCCCTCTTGGCGGTGCTGCCTAAATCCTACTTCGCATGTTTTTCAGCTCATGCAGATAAGTTGAACACAGTCTCGTGTCCCACACCTGGCTGTCGAGGTATTGGCCATGTAAAAGGCGCGAAGTACACGACACATCACAGTCAGTTTGGATGTCCATATTCTCTGCAAAACTTGAGCAAAGAGTCTTGCCTCGTTGATCGCCTGGCCGCTAATTCTATGGCCGAAGATTCTGATTGGTCGTACGAGCGGCGAAAGAATTCGTTTGGAAAGCAGAGTAAAGGTAAATTAGTTAAGATAGATAAGAGATTAGATAAGAGTAAGGTGTCATGATATACAGGAATCCGGCAAATCGTGTGATTTCCCCGCACCATTCCAAGGTAAATGCGACGATTTTCGGAATTCCTGATGCATGTATTTTAAACGTGGGTTGTGTACGTAGTATTTTGTAATTGTCATTAATAAGCAAATGACAATGAAAGAGCTTATCTAATCTGTCCTTACAATTACAGCTCATCAGAACAGCAACTCAACATCAGAGAGCAAACCTCCATCACCAGGTTTGGGAGTATGCCCGACTCCAGGATGCAATGGCAATGGTCACGTGACAGGAAGATTCAGTACACACCATAGGTACAGTAGAATATCTTGTTGCAAAGTATAGACTGTACAGAGGTCCGACTCGGCAAGAAACCCCAGTGATCCCCCCGCCTATACAGCCAGTCCTGCCCCCCCCCCCAACGTCCAAGCCCCCAATTCTAATCACACTGACTAGGAACATGGCGGCCGATCACGCTGAGGTCATAGGAGTCAAACCTCTGTATAATCTACACTCTGTGGTGTTGTTTGTTTGCAACAAGTGTCTCACATGCAAATTCTTAAAGTGAAAAAAATTCTTCAAGCGACAATACCACGAAAATGATATACCAATAATTTTATCTCGAATTTTATCATTTCTCAGTGCCTCTGGGTGTCCTCTGAACGAAGTGAACCGCGAGAAAATGTACAAACCCATTCTTCCAAAGTCGCACCCAAGTTATCAAAAATCATTCATGAAAGGTCACAAGTCCGCACGACCAAGTATCATCTCCACACGAAGTACCAATAAACCTGAGTGAGTGATTAGTTTGTAAGCTTTTGTTATACTTGATACAGTACAAAGAGTTGGGTCGAATTTCAATCAATTTTGTTTCTTCTTTTGGTAGAATTCCTTCATATAAAACAAGAAGCAAGCACGATCAAGGAATTCAAGTCGAAAGTAAGACAACTTTCTTTTCCCCATGGTGACACAGTGGTTACTGCGTTTTTCAATTCCTGCAGTTGTCTCATTATCATTTCACTCGCATGTGTTTTCAGTTTCCACTGGTGTTTTCAGAGATACACCGTTTCCTCCTGCACCAATGAATGAACTTTACTACACCTTTAGGAGGACGGTTTTACCAGCTATCCAATTTAAATAAAGTTAATTTCATCATTTAGCATTAACATTTAACATGATATATTTTAGATGCATCAAGAACGAGGCCCATGAGCAATGGTCAAGGAAGTGGTCAGCCGTCTTCAAAGAATTTGCTATCATTTAGTTTGTATAATAATGTTTACAATAGCGGTATAAGTCCACATATCAATCACGGCTCACGCTCGAGTGAGAGAAAGATCGTACTAGGCTGGACCTGCGAACAGGTGGCGGAACATATCAGATCTATTGGCTGCGTGAATCAGGCGCAAGTTTTCATCGATCAGGTAAGGACTAGGCTAATTACAACGTAGTATTCCATCTAATTTGCAACATTAGATTCCTTCCAATTGCAACAATAGATTCCTTCTAATTGCAACATTAGATTCCTTCTAATTGCAACATTGAATTTCTTCTAATTGCGACATTGGATTCCTTCTAATTACAATTATATTCTTCTTTGTAGCAAATTGATGGCGAGGCATTCCTGTTACTTCAACAAGCAGACATCGTGAATATTTTGAAAATCAAACTTGGCCCTGCAGTGAAGATCTACAGCAGTATCTTGAAGTTTTTATAAATAAAGACAGCGTCATACATGCACAGATCCAAACATGATTGCGGAATAACGAAGCATTGGATAATTGCGCTTAGTTTCGTATAGAACTGAAGAAATTTCCTCGGTAAGTTGCCCGCTAGAAACCGAGTTTTGTACTTCCGTGAAATAGATAACACACTAAAGCCAACTCAAGCATACAACTCTATCTCACCTATACGTATTTTCCATATTTCACCATCAACAGTAAAAAAAACATCAACTAGTAGGTTTTTATTCCAAATGGTTCGAAACCAGTCTTTTTGCGTTTTGTTGTTTAACATTTGAGATATGTGTGCAACAAAACTTTGTACGTTTACGCAAATAGCCTTTTTGATGACAAATTTTTCGTTTCGAAAGCGTTTTATTTTTGGGTGCCAAATTGTGTGTGCAACATTTTCGAAGAAAGCATTTTTCTGCATTTGTCACAATTATCTGTGACGTCATCATTGTGTATAATATAATTTAATAACCTCTCAGCATTGTGTATAGATAAGGGTTTGTAATTGTATACGTGAAGTAATAATTTTAGGGTGAATTTTGTGTAGAGTAGTTAGTAATTGATATTCAATGATACATTCCAATAATAATTAACAATTGATCATTTTATTCAAATTGCAATGTTTTTGCCCAGTTTGGACAGCGCTCTTGCATCAAATTAATCTTGTTAATCGAAGCTATTTTACTTTATATGTGAAAAACTAGGTACGCAAGCGTACGTGTGACGTCATAGACTTTGATAATTGTTCAAGTATCCTGCTTGATCCAAGAGTAACGTTCAACCTGGGTTTTGCGTATTCGTAATCAATGTATAGTAACAATCCTACAATGTAGTTCATATTTTAATAAAAATTGCTTTGATAAAATGTTTTGTACAGAAACTGACTATATTACACCTTGGTCTACCCCCATTCTTATAACAATTCTAAAACTTTAATCCCCAAAACATCGTGCAAGTCCAAGACTAAATTCACAAACAACAACAGTGTAAATTAAAATGTCAGCTGCGTGCGAACAATCTGATTACAGAATCGCCGTGAGCGATAGGAAATTTTTGACCCAGAAAGAAATAACCTTTAAAGACTGGTTTACATTATCAAAGTTTCTGTGATCACAGTAGGCATTTTGCATGGGTAAATTCTAAGTTTTGAAGGATTTGAAAGAAATGTTTGAGAGAACTGACTCAGTCAATCCTTGAAAACCTCTAAGGCTAAATTCCTACTGTGATCACAGAAACTTTGATAGTGTAAAACCAGCCTTAATATTGTATATAAGTTTAATCTATATCAATTTGATAAATTCTTTGCTAAGAAGCCATGCAACGCTATTTGAGACCATTGAGTCCTTCCTAGCAAGAGTAATGGCACTATTGTGGACATGCAGTTCTACTGGATACATTGCTTTATCTTGAATTAGCAAAACGATGTTGTTCTAGTGAAGTGATACTATATCTAGTAAGACCAGGAATTTGAAATAACATCCACTCTCTCCTTGACTTTCTTCTCGTAGTCAGACTTGCTGAAATATTTCGACAGCAGAGGATCCGAAGTCAGATAGAGCTTGTCTGATGTTCTAAGAATTGTCAATAGACAACGCATATACGAATCTGGCGCAGCAAAATTCAACAAAATCTCCGAAATCTCGTGTTTCAGTGAGTTTTCCGGTTCTGAAATAGAAGAAGTAATTGATTATACAACTGATATCCAGTAGTAATTGATTACAGAACTAACAGAGCTAATCCATAGTTAAAGTTTAGTGTGTATACATACCAAACTTTAAAGTTGGATACTTCTTTGTGAAGCCTAACATTTTCTGCTCCTTATCCAGGATGTCAATGTCAACAAGACTATCAAGTGTTAGCGTTGCACAGTTCTTATCAACATTGTCTCTTTTCACTGCTTCCAGTATATATTCCGATACTTCCTTCTGTTTTGTGGGATGTTTACTTTGAAATTTGACCATCTCTTCAAATACTATACCATCCAAATATGTCCCTGTTCGTTCAGTATCGACAACCTGTATCAAATATGGAACTTTTGAGCTCATATGATATAATATCCTATACTATCCACATATGTCCCTGTTCATTCACTATATGATAACATACTATCCAAATATGTCCCTGTTTGTTCATTATCAACCTGTTAGGTCTCTGGTTGTAGCAGTTTTCTAAGGGTATTGAATGACCTGGCTATATTTCTCAACACAGTCCTAGTGGTATATTTGCTCTGGTGTGACTTTATCTGGGGCAGGGTATGTGTGTAAACTGGAGACAGTGTAAAGACACCCACCCCCCCTGCAACTTCTGGTTGTCAACAAAGTGCCAGTCCTGCCATCCTTGCAAAAACCTCTCACCTGGATAGCAAGGCTATTCTTGTGTTCACTGACCAATGAAATTTTACCCAAAGCCATCAGGTCAACCAACACAGCAAAGAAGCATCCGCCAAGTTTCCGAGAGGAGCCCTGTCTTCCTTCCACATCGCCAGTTTCTTGATTTTGCCAGAGGAGACAGTATGCTTGTGATAGCTAGAGAAATGGCAGTAGGGAATTCAATTGAACCTCTGCTAGGAAACTTGCTGTTTCCCTTCAGCATCCATATTAGAGATATTCATGGAAAATATATAGACAGTGTACACAAATAAAAATCTCACAACTTGTCAACAAGATGTGTTTACAACAGGCTTGTAGCAAGCTTGTTAACAAGTTGTAACAATGCTGTCATTTTATGAAGTTGCTACAACGTCACTCACAACGTGTTGATAAATTGTTGAATTGCAGGACAATAACAAGTTGTAATAAGTCTGTTGAGCTCGACAACCTTGTAGCAAGTTGTCACAAGCTGTTGATGTTGTTGACAAGCTGGGAACAAGCAATGCAAACACATCTTGTTAACAAGTTGTCAGAACAGCATTGCTGCAGGTTTGTTGCAACTTGTGTAGTTTTACATAGCCATGACCCAAAGTTTTTTTGATACAAGGTTTTTGTGATGCTGACAAAAAACTGTAATTGTGCTAATTACTTGTTATTGAAAACATACCTCGTGTGGGCTTTAACTAATTAGCATGCGAAACAAAGAAGGATTATACCATAATAATAGATATTATATTTTAATACAGATTATTATGCCTCGTTCACGCGATTAATTATTTTCGCCAATACAAAATTAAGAATCCAAGAACAAATTCAAAAATAACCAGTAAAAGCATGCTAAAAGCCATAATTTATAAACATGCGCGTTTTCAGCCACAGATGATAAAATGTTACCTGCTGTTCGCTAATAAAATCCAACATGACACGTTTAGGTCCTTGACTACAACACTGGTGATTGATTTGGCATTTTATATCGTTTGACAGATGTATTCAGTGTATTAAGACTTAGGATAAAAGCGAATTTTCAGAATACTTAAATATTTAAAGAAATAACTAGAATTTTTAAGGTATTTTGCAAGTTTGAAAAGATAAGAAATGTGGGCTGTATGTTTGCAGTGTCATTGTATAATTTAACGCGGCTGCCTAGCCTGCCTGTATTTCGAAGCGACGATATTAAATTTTAAACAAGGCAACACATCTAATATATTAAACACACTATTTTCTAAGAAACAAGCATATATCTAAAATAAATATTATTTTTAACAAAGACATGAATGACATTACTAAACGTTGACACAAGGGCCGGCCACTCGGAACTGTATGAGGTCTGGCCCTCATAGATCACCTGTCATCGACTCATCGGCAATGTGTAAATTCGTTTTCCAAGACTCTTTAATTAAACAAAATCGCCAAGTTTGCGTACGTTTAAAACACGATTGACGAGTTTTCCCCCTGGATTAGGTTAGAAAGCTCCTTCTCCCCGTAGATACGCGGCCAGAAGGAACATTTGCACCGTGAACCCTACCTTCAGAGGTCGTCTGAGCACAGACGCTCGGTCGAAATATTGCGAACGTTGGATCTCTAGTAATTTCCCAGCGACTTTCGTAACAACATCCATTTCGTGCATCATATGATGGCCTGCTATACTACCTGCGGAAAACGTCATATTTGCGTCGATATTTGTCGTGTTTTGACCACAAAATCCGACCGCAGCACAATACTTTTGTTGATGTTTCGGTTGAAGGGAGACCATGGACGCCCTCGTTTATTGATGTATGCGGTGTGTTCACTAATTGCATATTAATTTTCTGTGTTCTGAATATTCATGGTTGATTAATTAACATAATCAATTTGTCATGCTAGCTCATTAGCATATTGTCCGAACCTCCCAAGTGCTTGGTTACCTTTGTTTATTACCAGAACAGAGGTAACTAGGCAAGTGAGTTATCCTTAATCGGTGCATAATTAAGGAAACCAAAACCCCCTTGTGGCTTAGGAGATTTTAAGTTAATCTTGAAGTGGTAAATTGATAAACAGAAACTGTGGATTCATTGGCTCTTCGCTCGCAGGTAGTTGAATCCTTCTCAATCACCGCAGCTTAATTTTTGGCGTTATTGTCATTACCTACGCTGGCACAGATGACAGATCGTTCGAGTAAAGTTGGCAGAGCATTGGGCTAGTGGCCAGGCATATTTTTCAACCGTGCCCTGTGTGTATATACACTCAGAGTAACATCACAAGCATCATATTCACCTGAGTACACAACACCAACACAGAAAAAATCATGATTACTAGATTACATTGATATCGAAGGAACTAGATTCTGTTCCGAAATATCACATACTCGAACCGACCTGACCGCGTAGCTCAGTTGGCAGAGCATTGGGCTAGTATTCCAAAGGTCGTAGGTTCGATTCCCACCGTGGCCAAACGTATTTTTCAACCTTGTCTGGTGTGGATATATACTCAGAGTCAGATCACAAGCGTCCTATTCACCTGAGTACATTACACCAACACATAAAAACTTTTTATTCTGAGCCCCGCCCGCTAACAAAGGCAGGAAAACGTTTCTTTTGTTTTGCCTTACAGTAATTCCTACATTGTCTTTGCAAACCCCAAAGGAGCAGTTTATTTTTGTATTCCTAAAACCGAGTAAAAGGCGTTCAATCCGGTATAAAAGGCGTAAATAAGGTGGATGCAAATCAGAATAACCATGCTGTATGCAGGAAAGCGTTTTGTGTGTTTAAACTTAGTCTAGCAATGCCTAAACACAAGTACGGATTGTTGCTATCTCAGCTGTTAGATTGTGTTTCCAAACCTTTAGAGGAAGAGCAAGTCTGGGCTTTGTGCTTTGGAATAGGTCAAAGTTTATTGAATTACCCAGGGAATACTGCCAGCGATGCAATCGCGTTGAGCTGTTGTGAAGTAACATTTGCAGTCGAGACGATTTACCTGCGACGAGATGGGAAGATTCTGTTCATTCCTAGCAGTAATTCACGTAAAAACCTCGCACAAGAAAGCTATGAAAGTTTAACAAAGCAAATGAAACATCTAAGCAAAGTTTTAACCACTTGTTTAGAGAATGGCGGGCCTAAAGAGTTTTTAAAACGTCAAGTTGGCAGTGATCTAGAATCATTGATGCGCGATTTGGCCGGCTTTGGTAAATATACGCACAATGGTCCACAATGGGTGGAGATGGTGGTTGATTGTTGTAGAAGTCATGCATCAACTGTGGTGACACCCTCGGAGTATTATGCTGGCATTTGTGAGCTGTTGGTGAAAGAAGCGATGGAAATGAATAATTTCTTAGTGGTGGTGATGAACGAGATATCACAATGTGAATCCAGACAGGATGCATTTTCCACTTTCCAACTATCTCAGGTTCGTATTTATTTCTTTTCACAATCATCTAAATTTGACTTGATTTACACTACGCAACCTTTGCCTAAAACTGTCGCACAACGTAGGCGAATTGTGTACTTGATTTACACAGTACAACTAAAGTTGTAAGCAGGTTGCATGCGACAGTTTTAGGCAAAGGTTTGTAGCGTAAATCGGCCTAAAACAACTTCAGTTGATCTAACGATGTCTTCCTTGTTTCAGGCTCGTCCAGTCGTCAGTAACTGGCTACAGTGTATGTCAGAGATTCGTGACGATGCAAACCAGAAATATGAAAGTGAGGCTCTCCGTTCCCCAATAAAACCCATTGAAAGCTGTTATGACCAGAGGAATCCCTCACCGTTCCCTGCAATCTACCGGAGTCCTCCAAGATCCAAAAGTGTTCTTCCCAAAATTGACGAGGAAGTGCAGAGTCCTGGCAACGAACTTCCCAAGCCATCTCACCATAGCACACCAACAGTTATCTGTAATAAAACCCGCAAGGTGTTACGCCCGCCGCAGCGTCTGGTTAACCAAGTTACCACCTGGATTTTGGAAGGCGAACCTCAGGATTCGTCATGTACTTATGACGTCTCATGGTTGCCAGGGCAACGGCTAAGTCCTGTGACGTCAAGTTTGGGTTGGTTCCGTGAGGCAAAGCGCATAAGACGTGTACTAACTGAATTGCAAATTGATACAGCCATGGATGATGCAAGTTTGTATCATGCCTTACGAAACGGTGACATTTGTTTTTGCTGTCGAGAAAACAAGATTTCATTGTTCCACAGATCATATGTAAATTGCGAAGTTTGCGAGCGTAAAATATGCTCCTCGTGCATCACGCGTGTATCTGCATGCGAATTGGGAATGAGTTCACATGATTCAACATTAAGTTCACATGATTCTGGTGTGAGTTCACGTGACTTTGAAAGCTGTTCACGTGATGAGATTGATGGCGGAAATGGCAGCTTTTTTGGACAAATTCGTAAAGTGTTCAAGCCCAAGGCTAACGGCGGTGAGAAATATTCTAACATGTGCAAAGATTGTAGGGACTGTATCCAAAGGTACTTTTAGAATGTACGCATGTTCAATATAAAAATTATGTATAGTCAGTATAGAAATAATTACATGACTGCATTAAATAGTATAAAATTGATAAAAAATATTTGCAATAACTGCCAGGATTACTGTACTTTATGACTTTATTGAAGAGGTCGTATGGGTGTGCGATATGTGTTGAATAATACTGAGAAAAATATTAAAAAATGGAATGGTATACTCGTGACTTTTTTATTGATTTTGTTTTGAAACGGTGTGCACACAATCCTTATAGACAGTCGACAAAGGCTGAAATGTACTGGTCGTTAAAATGAAGAACTTTTTCTGCCCAGAGCTCGACTAAAAGCTCGCCAGAAAGGTTTAGAAATGCCAATTATGGTGTCCCAAAGGGTTCATTCTTGGGACTCATTCCAGCTAATTATATATTCCGTTATGTATACAGTTACTTCGTGTAGTACACGTGGTTCCCACGAAGTGCTTGCATCTCGCAAATATTTCGACAGAACTTTTTGGGATGATATATTGATTTCAAGTGAACTAACTTCCTTATATTTCCAACGGCCGATATGAAAGGCACTTGTGCTGAAGCATATAACAAGGAGGAGGGTTAATCGAGCGAAACAAACTAAAAGCGAAGAGGTCAACTCGTTTAACGTTGATTTGAGGCAAAATGAGCTATGTGACAAATCGTGCACGACCGTCAAAAGTTGTTGATAATTTAAAGTTTTCACGGCCTCGATCGCAAAGTCCAACTTTAGCTGACAGATATGTGGATAGGATCTCAGGTATTTGTAGGTCTATTCCTTAAGAATTCACAGACTTTAATAGGCCCTAGTTAATATCCATAAATACCATATAAACATTGTGTTGCCATATGAAACGAGTTCGTGCCCTCTATAACAATTGATAGTCTGTTTTTTATCACATGGATGCTGAAAGCAACTTGAAATTTGATATCTGGTGTTTTCTATTATGTGTACAATATTGTCTATAGATTGGCTGGGCTGCAATCGTTATGCTGTTTGATTACAGTCTAAAAGCTTTGTTGACATAATTCTGCATTTTGAACATTTGACAGTTCGCTTCGAATTCGTGCGAGGCATGCTTCTGTATTTTGAAGTCGATAAACAGATTTGGCGCTCGGCGATAATTTGATTTACAATTAGAAAATTATGAGCTATTCAGACACTTGAAGTTTTATTCAAATGATTGAGTAATTGAATTACATATTTTTGGCACTAAGACTCGATTTTTTCACGATAATATTTGATAGATCATCGATCAATTTATATGATCGATAGCTTAAAATATTCGCCAATAGACACGTGCAAGATTATTGCAAGTTTACGTTTATAGTGCCAAAATACAACTATTAAATTTAAACTCTCAAATTAAACCAATATTTAAAATATTTTCTAAATTTGGTTAGATTATTCCAAAAAGTGATCAAAATTTGGTCAGATTCCAAAAACACGAAAATGTTGTATTTTGTCGCGATGCTTGTAGAATATTGTAGAAGTCCCAAAATGCAAATTTTAAGGTGTTTGTTTGTAAATGTATTGTCTAAAAAGCGTCGTTTGTCAAGCTTCTATGATCATGCTATATTGTTCAGGTTTAATACGCCGCTTTCAATAAATTGCAAGGTCAAATATAATCTGGAGATTTAGAGTACACATTAGGAATTTTTGAAAAATGAAATGGATTTTTTGGCCTAATTTTCTAAAAATGATCACCGTCACTGTAATCGGAGATTGCTGCTGTTTTACAGTATTAAAGATTATTTTTCAAAGCTATTGCTTTTTTTTTGGAAACTGTGTTTGATTTGGCAAAGGTGTTCCGCATGTCTATGTCAATATTTACAAAAAGAGTTGCCATATAAAACATTTTCTATATATGCTGGAATAGTATACGAAATTTGTATAAAACGTATCTTTGTAAAAATTGCTCAAAATTAGACTTATCCTAGTAGGGGATGTTATTAAAAATTATAAATCTTAAAAAATTAACAAATATTTCTCAGACTTGTAATATAATATAGCGTCTGAAAGCGTTCACCGGATTTTATAATTTCCGGTTATTAGTGCGAAATTTATTTTAGGAAGACGAAATAAATACGTCTTTATAGCGACGAAAACTGTATGAGAGTCGTTTTATCATGCCAGGAATGCAAGAATACTTTTGCCCGGCGACTGCAAAAAGACAGGCTTTGTAATAGCGTAATTTTCAAGCCAGAGTTCGTTGCTAGTATGTCCCAAGTGTGCAATTTAACGGCAATTTGTTTATATTTACAATTCAAATTTTGCTAGACTCGTCTGTCCAAAGGCCTTTGTAAACAAGCTATATTAAAACTTACAAACAAGCATTGTGATAACTATTGTCCGGTTCTATGCGAAGAATTGTTAGCGAAGCTTAAAGCTTCAAACTTGCAAGCAATGTCGGACACTGACAGTACGGTCGAGGGAACAGAGTATGATGCGATACGCCGTTCTGTTTCAGACCAACGAGACGCTGTCCAAAAGAAAACTTTCACAAAATGGGTCAATCATCATTTACAGAAGGTTAGTTTATGTTTTTACTGTTTTTCTTGACGCATTAAATGTTACTACGAATTGTTATTATTACAACGAATTATCCAACAGTGATTATATTGTACACTCACCATGAGGTAACAACATACCATTTGACTTGTTAAATTAAATGAAATATCCAATTATACATTGAGGCATGTTATATAAAAAAAGCGGGTAAAAGACTTTAGTTTGACAATATCCCTCCCCTGTAAGATATATAGGGGGAGGTAGGTTGTCAAACACTTGAAATATCGGCCTTTTACATGTAAGATAGCGACAAATTTGCTATCAAGATGCACAGAAACTGATTAACATTTGTAAACAAAACACATGGCATGTGTGTTCCCACGTTGCAAACGGTGCCAAAATGTCTCTGTGGCTTTTTACTACTAATTATTTGTTATACCGTATGTAGAAAGTGGCAATTATGTAATAATTCCATTTTTAATAAGAAATATGCCTATATGCATTTCACAATTGCGTGAATTAATGGAATGTTTTAATCACACGTTGCCAATTGCAACAGTAGCTGGCAAATGATGGACATAGAAAAGGAGCCACGTGGGGGCATGAGGGGCATCTACTCACTTAGTGTCTTCTAAAGACAAATTTAAGGGCAAATATGGTGTTCCTCCAACAGTGCTTTCAATTTGAATATGTTGACAAGTCCCATGCTGGTGAGGTCTTGCCTGTCTTTGCCTTATTTCAATGTTTTAAATCCTTTAGCACAATGTGAACTGGATTTATATCAGTTCTTCCTCTCAGGACCCACAACTATGTACCCCAGACAGGTTGAGCTGTTGGCAAAATCTAGTTCTTATATTGTAAGATATTATAGCATTGACACTCCCTCCTCACTCCAACCACATCAAAACCATGCCTATGCAGTTTGGCAAAAGTAAGGCCCCCACCTTTGGAGGGGCAGCAGGTGCACAATAAACCATTTTCCTTAGCTTGCAAACTGTCATGATTATTGAAACTGTGTTTAGGTGAATGTTGTTGTTGAGGATATGTACCTGGATTTCAGAGATGGAACAAACTTGCTACTACTGCTAGAAATCCTTACTGAAGAAAAACTGGTAAAAATAGTCTTGTAATGATTGTATTGCATATTAGTTAACCTGAAGCTACCAAAGTTTGCTTCTTCTTTTATTAGCCAAGGGAGAAAGGTCATCTCAGATTCCACAAATTACAAAATTGTCAGACTGCCTTGAATTTTCTTGTGAGAAAACAGGTATTTATGAAATATCCTCAAATGGTTGTGTCAGTGTACAGTAGGTAGTGACAATGACACCAGAACACTCCAGTTTGAGAGGGATTTAACTGCCTGAAAAATTCAAGTGAAACTTTGAAGTTTTGAGTGGGCCCTTTAGGAACCATTAAGATGTAATGACCCTAGTGCTCAAGGCAGGAAAAAATAATTTTCTTCCTGGGAGCACAACCCGGAGACAAAAATTTCCTGCTGACCAACAGAGTATTTTTGTGCTAAATCTGCATGTGCATAAACATAGAGTGTTCTAGCTGACCATGGTTTTAAATTCAAGGAATAATGTCTGTCAACCATATGCTGTTGCACCCATGGTGGGACATGGGTGTTAAGGTTTCCTTCAAATTTTCAACAGCAAATCTTCATTTAAACAAATTTCCAGCAGCTGTTTAACATTTCCTGCAAGCAGTGCTCGCCTATTTTTTATTTCGATGTGTTGTCTACCACCTACTGGTGGTAGAGTTTTCTACCACCTACTGGTGGTAGAGTTTTCTACCACCTACTGGTGGTAGACACATCAACATAAAAAGTACATGGAGCACCAGCTGATTTACCATGCCAACACTAGTCAAGGAAAAAGTGTTGATGAATTTGAATAAAATGCAAATGTTTTCTTGCAGGTGAAAGTTGTGAACATTCATCAGAATGACATTGTGGATGGCAACCCAAAGATTACTCTTGGACTTATTTGGATCATCATTCTGCATTTTCAGGTACAAGGAATATCAGATAAATATTCTAGTAATTAGCCTCCTATCTAACAGGACCTTCTATTATGACACCCTCTCCAAGTATGCCCCCAGCTGATAATACCCCCCTTCCTCTAATAAGCCACCCTCTCTATTAAGCCCCCCTCTCTATTAAGCCTCCTTTTTCTGATAAGCTCCCTCTATTGTAACCCCCTGTTTTACAGAGAAGAATTTACTAAATCCCCTCCCCCCCCTCGAACATATACTGAAAAGATTTATTGATTTGCCTGTATTAAAGTACATGTCAGTTCATTTCAGATAGACCTGTAGTCTCCATCTCTCCCCACTTTCTTCAATGCTTATGTGGACTTACCTTGATCATTTTGTGTGTTTAGATATCTGATATTAAAGTAATTGGTCAAGTCGAGGACATGACTCCAAAAGCAAAACTTCTACACTGGTGCCGCAGAGTTACCGAAGGGTAATGCAAGATAGATATCAAATATTAATGACCACCTGCCTACGTTTATTACCCTATATGGTTATTTGCAGGTGGCCAGCCATGCACATTTGCTAACTACTTGTCAGTTCTCTTTGTTTTTATGCTCATTCCATTTTTTATATGCAAAATAAACGTCTCACTTGACCTTATGTTTTCATCTGCAGTTTCTAAAAATATTTCATTTGGATCTTTCAAAGAATAGACAGTTCATGTTTGAGTTCTTTTTCTAGATATCCACAGGTTGTAGTTCTCAATTTTACAACTTCATGGAAAGATGGCCTGGCTTTCAATGCAATTATACATAGATACAGGTAAATCCTAGCACTATATATAAAGAAGTATTTGACTTTCTTACAGGTTTTCATGAGGAATATCTTGTTAAAATTACAGAGCTATACTGTAGTATTAGTTAGTACAGTTGTTTTTGTATAGTTTTAGTTTTGTTCTTATACTAGATAATAAGTCGCTGTGTATTTAAAGACAGTTTTAATAATTAATTGTAATATAGTCAAAATACATCTACATAGAATGTCCACTAACCATGTATATTTGAATGTTGTTTTGCAGACCAGATCTTATAGATTTGTCCACTCTGAATCGCAGCACACCAGAGCACAATGTGAATAATGCATTCAATATCGCTGAGAAAGAGTTGGGAGTTCCTAGATTACTTGATGTTGAAGATGTTGTGACGGATCATGCTGATGAGAAATCCATCATGACTTATGTTTCATCACTTTATGACAAGTTCCCTAGAGCTGTCGCTTCATTTGAATCCAGAGAAGATGAGGTAAACATGGAAATTGTGAAAATATTAATTATAAAAAGTGTACTAAACTCTACATCTTGGTGTTTGAACTACCTGAAAAAGATATCTCAAACGTAAACGTCTAGTGTAGGCAGTATTCTACAATAATTAAGCTTCGATGGTTTGGGTTTGAACTACCTGAAAAAGATATCTCAAATGTGGAGGTCTAGTGTGGGTAGTATTTTACAATAAGCTGCCATGGTTTGTGTCTGTGAAAGATATCTCAAATGAGGAAGTTCTGTCCAAAAGTTGCCAGCCTACTACTTTGTCATTTTCTTCAGGAGAAAGTTTTAAAATATGAAGAATATTGCAAATACAGCGAGGAGCTCGTTGTTTGGATAAAAAGAGTCATGATCCAGTTGGAGAGTCGAACATTTCCTACAACTATCCAAGGAATGAAGGTAGGTCGTGTTGGCGTGATGTGAATAAAAGCCAGAATTTATGTCTTCACTCTACGTGTAACGCTGTTACCGTTGTACAACCTTGGCTAACCTTACGACAGCTCATTTATTTGTCGTTGAAAACGAATAACAAAATACGCAAGAAGACGCTCCATTTATTTTCCAGGATGTCATTCAAGATTTTGACCAGTTTTATTCAGAAGAGTTCAGTCGACTAGAAGAGAAACGAAACTACGTGAAAGAAATTGTCAGAGATCTACATGTAAGTCATGTCATTGTGACCATGAACGTAGACACGTAAAAATCTCACAACTTGTCAACAAGATGTGTCCGCCACAGGCTTGTAGCAAGCTTGTCAACAAGCTGTAACAATGCTGTTATTTTATCAAGCTGCTAGAAGGTTGTCACTTAGAACTTGTTGAATTGCAGGACGATAACAAGTTGTTGGAACAACTTGTAACAAGTTTGTTGAACTCAACAAACTTGTAGCAAGTTGTCAACAAGCTGTTTTTTTGTTCAACCGTTTTTTCTACTAGGCGTTTTATGGTCCGATGTCAAGTTGGTTGGAGTTTCCTCAAGGATGTCATCCTAGGGACATTGAAGTGGTAAGATACTAGGCAGGAACGGTTACTGTAATTAGGGTAAATATTGCCGACATTTAATTCTAGGTTTCTTTTATATATTTCTTGTTTCTTCTACGCAGCTTTGGTTACGTCTGTTGCGGTGCATTGAGGAACGTGGAGGGACACTCCGGGCTGAAATGTCAAGGTACTGGCAAGTTCAACACTTTACCAATGGCCAGCTTTCTCAACGCAAAAGTAATCTTATTAAGCATCATATTCATTTCTATTGTCCTATAGAGTACAAAAAGTTTATCAGCTGGCAGACCAGATCATTCATGAGGTTCGTTTTATTTCCATTCTATTCCGCGTATTTTATGAAGTTCAACTTTAGAAATACTATATCAAGATCATCAAGCATTTCATGTATTTTTAAAACATAGGCTGAAGAAATGGAGAAAACGTTGCCGCAACTTGAAACAAAAGTAACGGAGGTTAGTTTGTCTTATCCCAACACAGTGAAGTGATGGTGGGTTACCGTGACTGGGGTTAAATATCGAAATCTTACTTTTTCTAGGAAGAGCGTGTTTGGAGTACTCTCGATGTACGCGTTGCCCACGAGCGGTTTAGAAACTTGGAAGTCACATTGAAGGTAATGTATTCTTCTACTAAAATTTGATGAATTGTTAGCGTCCTGACGTGATTCTTCATACACAGTTACTGCTGTTACTTGCAAGATTTAGTCATCTTCTGTCTGTTGCAAGATTCACTTTTCTGTTGTAGATATTTGAAGACAAGCTGTACAAGATTTATCAAAATTTCGAATATCTCATCACGGGTCATTATCAAGGTCTGGAAGAAATACGAACAAGGTAAGGAGAGTTTTCCCTTGTTGGACGTCCGGAGAGACATTTTAAAACTGATATAGAGCTATCCAGTATAAATACAATTAGTTTACTTTAGGTTTCTTCCTGTAGTAACACTGAATTGTTTCTCTAGAATTAATCAAATCCAGACACGATGGAAAGTTCTGTTAAGCCGAGTGTCCAAGTTCAATGTTCAGTCTTCAAGGCAATTCATGCAGTTTGATGTCTCGTCACATGAGAGAAAAACTAAAGCTGATTGGGATGTTGAACCTGACTCAACTTCAGAGAAACGACAGAGAGTTATTTCACCTCTTAAATTTTCCAACATTCAAAAAGTTTCCAAGAAAACTCTGCAGCAACAACGAGTACCTTTACCGGAAATCTCTAAGACTGCAGTCAGTCCTGTTCAGTCCTCGCTCGAGGTCACACTAAATGGTAGTTCTCCCGAAAGCAAGAAACTAGGTCATGTTAATGTGATTTTGATTGTTGTTAAGGAGAAACTGGTAAGGAATTACCCTGGGTTCCAGAGGAACTTGTGGCACCTAGTGTAGTAAGGAATCTGCTGGTGTAGAAAGTATGTTGTAGTACGTGTTTTGTAGTGCAGGAAACCCATAAGGGAAACTTATGAAAACCCATAAGCGTTCCAGAGCATCAGATTGTGATCAGAAATGTTGAGACTTGTAGGAGGAAATTTCTGCCTCTTAATTCTATTTGTTTTCCTTCAAATACATGTCATGAAAAAGATTAACAGTGTCTTCTCATTGTATCCATCTGCTGATAGTGCTTCCATTTAGTGAATGCCACCTGTTGATTTACCACTCTACCTTTCTGCAGCAAGAAATCCAGGATGCTTCCTATGGCCAGGATGTGAGCTCAGTTGAACAACTGTACAAAGAACATCAGAGTAAACACAAAGAAATCATGAAATTGAGGGAGGACGTAGAAAAAGCATGCAAAAGCGATGCTGAACCAAATTCCAAGCAGCCAACAGCCGAGCTCAAACAACTTTTTACAGAACTTGTGGTAAGTTTTACCTTATGTATGTATAAATATCAGAGGGATTGAAGTTCTTAAATTGTACTGGAATGATTATTTGTTTTGTTTATTTTAGACGCTCTCTGTTCAAAGGACTCGTAATTTACGAAGTCTGCTGACGTTCATGAGCGAAGCAACGAAAGAACTCATTTGGATGAATCAGAAAGAGGAGATTGAAACGTTAAGGGACTGGGGCGAGCAAGATTTGAATGTGGAGGAAATTGAAAAATATAGAAAGGTAGAGATGTGCTAGGAGACGGTGGGGGAGTTGAAGAATATAGAAAGGTAGAGATGTGCTAGGAGGCGGTGGGGAAATTGAAAAATATAGAAAGGTAGAGACGTGCTTGGAGGCGGTGGGAGAGTTGAAGAATATAGAAAGGTAGAGATGTTTTAAGAGGCAGTGGGGGAATTGAAGAATATAGAAAGATAGAGGTGTGCTAGGAGGCGGTGGGAAATTGAAAAATATAGAAAGGTAGAGATATGCTAAGAGGCGGTGGGGGAATTGAAGAATATGGAAAGGTAGAGATATGCTAGGAGACGGTGGGGGAGTTGAAGAATATAGAAAGGTAGAGATGTGCTAGGAGGCGGTGGGGAAATTGAAAAATATAGAAAGGTAGAGACGTGCTTGGAGGCGGTGGGGGAGTTGAAGAATATAGAAAGGTAGAGATGTTTTAAGAGGCAGTGGGGGAATTGAAGAATATAGAAAGATAGAGGTGTGCTAGGAGGCGGTGGGAAATTGAAGAATATAGAAAGGTAGAGATATGCTAAGAGGCGGTGGGGGAATTGAAGAATATGGAAAGGTAGAGATATGCTAAGAGGCGGTGGGGGAATTGAAGAATATAGAAAGGTAGAGGTGTGTTAGGAGGCGGTGGGGGAATTGAAGAATATAGAAAGGTAGAGATGTGCTAGGAAGCGGTGGGGAATTGAAGAATATAGAAAGGTAGAGATATGCTAAGAGGCGGTGGGGGAATTGAAGAATATAGAAAGGTAGAGATGTGCTAAGAGGCGGTGGGAGAATTGAAAAATATAGGAAGGTAGAGATGTGCTAATAGGTGGTGGGAGAATTGAAAAATATGGAAAGACAGAGATGCGCTAAGAGGCGGTGGGGGTATTGGAAAATATGGAAAGGTAGAAGTATGCTAAGAGGTGGGGGTATTGAAAAAGGTAGAGGTATGCTAAGAGGCGGGGGAGGTGACTATGGCGGGTTGATAGCTGTATATTCTTCGTTTCTTTAGGATTTTAAAACCGAGATTGAAATGCATGAAATTGAACAGAGATCAGTGATAGGCAAGGGTGAACATATGTTGAAGTCTGGTCATCCTGCGCCACACTCAATTGAGGTTGGTGTTGTACACTATGTATCCTAGATATGAAAGGCTTTTGCCTTACCCCTCCGCGAAAATGAACATACGAGTCATTAAAGAATCTTGTGTCTTGTTCTCGTATCTTGAGTTCAGAAGATGTCTACCGTATTTTCGTATGGTATGTTTTCTCTTATATTTCGAGAAATTGTCTGCCGGAAAAGGATCTTACACCTCTCTACCAAGTTTTGATCAGAGAAGAATTTGACTCTACCAAACAGCGCACGTTTTCTCTGGGTACTCTGGTAACACTAGACCGTTGAGAGGTGGACGTCTGGACCTCTAGGTAGGACAAAAACGTTACCTTCATATATTTTTGCAGGCTTATGTGACGTCACTTCGTCTTCAATGGACCTGGGTAGTTGAACTGTGTCGGACGTTAGAGGAACATCTCTTGAATGCGCATGCGTATTACCAGGTTTGTAGATCCTTTACCTAGTTCAAGTGAACTGTGGCATCATGGGGTATCCAGATTGTTTGTGTTTTATGAACCCTTTATAATAATAAAAAAAGATAAGAAAGTTCTACAGCTATGTGTGGAGATCAAGGGATCAAGCAGTTCTGTTGTTTCTAGTTTTACTCCGAAGCGAAAGAGAACAAGTTATGGATGACTTCAAAAACTGAAGAACTGAGAAAACTTTCTGAAAGAAACCACAACGAGAATGCAGAGATGATAAGAACATGGAAGGAATTGATGGTAGGTAACGTACAATATCTTGAACTTGCTTGAGTGAGACAATAGTGCAGCTGTATTGTCAGCCTCGTTTTCAACCTATTGTTTTGTGTACACTCAAGTCTTCATTTAAAACACGGAGAACCATCAGTACATAATTATATGCGGTACAACGTGTTTGAAAATATGCGGTAGAACGTGTTTGAAAATGTACATGTATTACACAAAAAAAATACACTGTAGGTATTTCGTAGGTGCTAATTTGGTTACAGGACACTGCCTACACTAGAGCAACAAGCACTTAACTCTTAAGAGAGTGTAATTAAAATCAGTCTAGTATAGGTTTAGTTGATTAGGGTAATACAATGTGTGGAATTGACTTAGTGAGGTGAGGTTTCGCGCTGTTTACGAACCTTACGGCCAGGTATACGCATTTTGGAAAGGCCTTACTCTTTATCGAAACCTAAGCCCCGCGGCTAATCACCGGATCCGCTCAACCAGATCAAAGTACTATAGTACTTGGATGTATAGAAAGATGAAATAGTAGCAAATCAAATCAGGTTTCGAGCTGTTTTTCCCTGTATGGATAGAAATGAAGAAATCGTTTTGTGTGAACTGCAAGCAATATTTGCATACTTTATTTCTTGACTTCGTCAATTATATTGACTTCTATCTATATATTTAAGTGTTTGACCCTCAAGCAGCATAATTTAATGATAATACCAACCGAACAACACTGGATTCTTGCAATCTTTTGCATTCACGTACAGTATTAGTCAATTTGCGGTCGGGGATTAAACGTTGAGCAATTTGTACAAACAACAATTCATGCTGTAGCTGTCTCTTTTCACCTGCTGATGTGGTTTTCTTTTGTCAACTGGTTTGAATATTGACCCGTGGTGTGACGGCGACTATTCATTTGAATTTTAAATTTTTCTTAATGTGGGGTTATTATATGTAACGAACAATGCCGTTTACATAAAACTAGCGTGCATATAATTGCAACTTTAATTTGCACGTGGAGAAAAGTCGCCAATTAAGTACATTTAGAACGGCGATTTGTGTTCGAAAAATAATTGGGAAGAATCGCGGATGTACAATCATGGGTTACTGGATCTTTGGCGCCAATTGAAGACGGAAATTTGAAACAGATTGTCGATAAGCACTTACATTGTGACCTGATTGTTCGTGTCATTTAATGTTTGTATTTATTACGTCGACTTGTATGTAATCTATATCCTTTGCCATGTGCGGATTTATAGATGAACTTTTTTTCTACCAAGATATAACTGGATTAATCTTTTGGCTGCCTTTCGTTGACCCTTACCAGAACATGACTCGTGTTTTGTCTTGGAGATAACGTTATTTATTGTACAGTTATGTCTCAAGAGAGTTTAACATTGCAAGAAAATGTTACACTTAGCCTAGTGGGAATTGGTATTGCATTGTTGTTTTTATTATGTACATTATATCAATCCACGATTTCTGTGAAGCGGAGAAATGCATCGAAACGTAAGCAAAGATCAAGTGAGGCACAGGAAAATTCTGATGAAGCATATAAACCGTATTGGTTGTGGGATGTCACGGGGTATCTGCGTTACCCTAGAAGGTTCGTATTTGCCCTTTCGACTTCCGAAGTATATTTCACATTTCGACGTCTAATCCCTTGTTTATTCTACAGAATATGGCAAAAATATCGCTACGGCCGCGTTCTTCCTGGCAGCTCACCAAAACACATTAACAGCATGGCTTCAGATTCGTTCCCGCTTACAAGACTTGTGCCTACGACGGATCTTGTTGTAGCTTATTCAAAAGAGTTTGTAAGCGAGTTTTCTAGCTCGCCTAGACCCAAAGGGAAACGTAGTCGTTATGCTCTATTACTTAAAAGCGCTACTCCCGAAGCGAAAGCAGATATCGAGCGATATTTTGGGTCTGTAGTCGAAGATATTTTAAGCGTGAGACAGGTCAGTTCATTTGTTTACATTATGTTGTCTGGGGCGGTCACGCTTTGTCCGTTTTCATTTTCCGGCCAGATTGCGTTGCTTTCCTGCTGGATCTAAGCTTAATCACTGTCAAATTATAACCATTATAACTTATATTTTAATTTTTTATCAGGTATATGCTTTCCTAGTGTTATTTTAACTCAAGCAAAAGGTTATCAACATTTGTCAACAACGTTGTCAATTTCGTAATTTCTTAGATTTCATGTGTCACTTTCACCCCAGACGAGCTACAGTAAAATTATCATTCACTCGATTGCTTAATTGTAGTTGTGTAATTATCCATGTAATGATAGAAAAAAATGTACTTTTTGTAATAAAATCAAAACCACGACTTTTTAGTTTGTAGATTCCATCAGTAGATTGTGCAGTGGTATTTATAATCATTCTGTAAATGTATATGTTTATTATTAATCGACGCAATATGGCCAATTTTTGAACATATGTTTATTCTTATATTTTGGCTTTGTTATACATTGTATTGAACTTGAAATGTAAATAAGGCAATGTTCAATATATTAACAAATATATTAGCAAATTCCATTATTTAAGTGTAGATTTTTTATGATTTTCTTTGAAATTTGTACAGTATTGTACATTTCAGTACGAATTATTAATTGTAGTAAAATAAATATATAATTTGCATATATAATATCTGTTTGGCATTTTGATTATATTTAAATATTCCATTTTCCTTGGGCAGATACATTAGTGTTCCATGATGGCTTGTTGACACATGTGTGTTTTTACATCAAAGTTGTCACCTTAATGGATTTATTTAAATATAATGTTTATTTTTATCTATATAAGGTCTACAAATATATACAATTACAAAAATATGTCCATTGTTTAATATAAATGTGTGTGGTTATTGTGGTATGCACTGTTTGTTCCAACAAAACCACAGTAAATAAAATTGCAATTAATACAGAGTAAAGGGCTCTGGTTTGGACTAATAATGATGGTACTTGGAGTTGGTGGTGCGATGAGAGGGGGGGGGGCTACATAGCTTCAACTATTATTTTTCATGTCTATGCATTTATATGGATAATGTTTATTTCAACAACAGGAAACTGGATGAAAGAGAGATATGGTTGGTTTTGGGATTTTAAGCTCTCAGGCTCTCAGAGAAGTCCTGGTTTTGAGTGGACAGTTTGAAGCCACAGAGTTATAAACCTGTAGTGTACACTGTATTCATTAAAATTGTTATTTTTTTCCTTTCTAGGAACTGAAACAAGAGTTGGTTAACAGACACGACAAGCTGAGCTCGTTGAAGCTTCTTGGGAAAAGAGTGGTTCCATTAAAACAACGATCAAGACCGATCACATCAGAAACTCCAGTGCAAACAATATGCGACTACAAACAGATGCAGGTAGGCATTGTTAAATTGATAAATGCATAGATGTCCCCACGTTGCCATTGAGTTGCACTACAAAAATTACTGACGTTTAATTGTTTGTTATAGCATGAAGTGAAGCAAGGAGAAAAATGTACTTTACTGGATAACTCACAACAACAGAGCTGGAAGGTTAGTTCTATATCAAGACCTAACTATAGCATACCTTTTACCATACCATACCATATACCATACCATATACCATACCATATACCATACCATACCATAATAAAAACAAAAATACATAATAATAAACTTTGCAGGTATTGACAAGCCATGGTAAAGAATGTGTTGTACCATCTGTGTGTTTTGTTATTCCTGCACCAGATATGGAAACCAAAGATTATATGACAAGGTACTGCAGTTTTTGTTTAACTTTTCAAGATGGAATTTTTAAAATATTCTCTGTCAAATAGAAATTAATGATTATGTTATTTGACATCTGTAGCCTTGAAATTGAATACAAACATTTATTAACATCATGGAAGGCTAACTATTCGTCACTTCGTCGAACTTTGAAAACTCAAGAAGTATCCTCCAATGTAAAAATCCTGGAACTGCCAGAAAAGGTTTGTATCATGTTAACCCATTAAACGCCAGCACTCTCCCCTTGACGAGTAAAATCGTCTGGCATTAGACAGAGTAAAATAATAAAGTAGGGCGCATCAGGGTGCAATGCAACTCAATGGGTTAACACCCAGCTTGATCCCAGTAACCTATCCTTTCACCAACGCCATGCTAACCCTTATCCTTAATTGCAACACTAACCGAACCCTATTCCTAAATTTAATCGAACATTGACTCTCACGCTAACCCTAATTAGACCAATTCTGATACATTGAAATTTTTCCCAGGTGAAGCTCCCCAACTTAAATGACTCGACAAGCGAAGATTTTGAAAGATTATTGAAAGAAGTGAGGGAATGTGAAGATCTGGACTTTGATTTGGATTCTTCAACTAGCACAGCCAGCCAGCCAAGCTTAGTTGAAGAACCCATGATAAGAAGTCAAGATGATGTCCGAACCTTTGCCGAGAGTCCCGCCAGCCAGCCAGCTGATTACTCAAATGGCCAGGTATGTTGGGTTTCACCCATAGAAATAATAGTCTAATATTTCTATGGTTTCACCATAGTCGATTCTGAGAGGTTTAAAATAAACAGTTATTCTATTCCAATCTCGAATGGTCATTGCCAGTGTGGGTAGCAATGTGAGCAGTCTTTAAGGAACATTATTGCATTCACACTTGTACATCATACTTGTAGTTTAAAATTATTTTTACTTCCTAGGAATCTGCCATCGATAACTTACTTCACTGGGTTGAAGCGACAGAAAAGATTTTAAAATCAAAATCACGAAATGTTCCTTTGGATATTGATGCTCTAAACAACGAGTTGCAAGAAATTAAAGTTAGTACAGAGGTTTTGCAAAGATTGGTTGTGTCAAAAATTATTTAATAATTTTTAATTTTCTTAAAATTTCTGAGAATTTTGAAATTAAAAAAAAATTTTTTTTTCAAATTTTAAATTTCTGAGAATTTATTTGCATAACATTTTCTGAGTCAAATGCGTTCTTTCATCCAGGAAATTCAGACGGAACGGTTGTTCAAATGGGAGCCCGAGTATGAGACCTTGCAAGATAAAAGATTAAGTGATCCTGTTTTGTTGGAGAAATATGAAAAATTACAAAAGAAGTGGAATGGTACTTGCCACAGACTTGAAGATCATCAAAAGAGGTTTGTTATCAGACATAAGTCGGTTTGAACACAGTTATTTTAATAGATGGTTTGGAGACTTGATGAAAGTACAATATAACTCATTATAACTATGTTATTGTCCAGCTTTATGTAAGACTTTGGTCCTATCTCGTGTATTGTATTTTCGCTCAAATAACCAATAACAAGTTTGTAGTTGATTTATCCATCCGTAACTTGAACAAATGCTCAAATTAAACATTGCTATTGGTTGTGCGGGAAAAAATTAAGTTAATGAGTTGTATTGTACTTTCATCGAGTCTCCAAACCAAGTATTCTATTAACTGTGGTTTGAATGATGTAACATACAGTAGGGCTGTAGTAAGTTTTGTTTTTTTATTGTAGGGTGGAATTATTGCATACTGTTGTCGAGCTCGTTGTTGATCTGGAAAAATGGATAACTCATGTTGAGGACGTTTTAAGCCACCAACCTGGATTGACAAAGCAATCTGAAGAGTTACATCAACAATTGAAACAACTGAAGGTACATATGAATTCAAAATGAATAACAGCGCCATCGTGTCAATATGTAATCTAACTTTTCTCTCTAGGAAATTCAGACAGATATGCAGCCACGACGCGAACGTATTTATCAATTAAAACAAGCTTCTCTGAAACTCGCATCACCTGAATGTGAACATGCAGCTAATGTCATCACAAGATGGGAGAAATTAAGCACTGAGATCCAGGCTAGGTCAGGAAGATTGCAAGCCGCGGTCGAAGCTCTGGAGAATTATCAGGCAATGTACGACACTGAGGCATTGTGGGTCACACAGATGGAGGAATTGCTGACGTCAGATGAACTAAAAAGGATTTCTGGAGAAGTGAGCGAGAGCAAATTGCAGCGGTTGTCAGCTTTTTTCTCCGACGTACGAAAACATGGCAAGAATATCGAGACAGTTGTTTCTCAGGGAAACGAATACGTATTTGACAGTCAGGTACCAACTAGAAACCTTCTTTCATTCATTAGCCAGGATATTCATTAACTAGGGCTTTCATTCTTAAGAAAATCCTTTATCTCTTAGTGACTATGATCTTTGTGACTATATGTCTTAGTGAATGGCAAGTATGTTAATTTCCTGTGGGCATGAGGCTGCCCCTTTAACTAATGGTGTACCACGCACGTAAAAACGCACAAGTTGTAACAAACCTGCAGCACTTGTAGCAATGCTGTTCCAACAACTTGTCATCAGGATGTGTTCGCACTGCTTGTTCCCAGCTTGTTGACAATTTGCTACAAGGTTGTTGAGCTCAACAGACAACTTGTTATCGTCCTGCAATTCAACAATTTGTCAACAAGTTGTGAGTGACAGCGTTGTAGCAACTTGATAAAATAACAGCATATTGTTACACGTTGTTGACAAGCTTGCTATAAGCCTGTTGCGAACACATCTTGTTGAGAAGTTGTGAGATTTTTTACGTGTATAGCCCTTGTTGATGATAATGGTGTGCCCAGGTTGAAGCTCTGAGGTCTAATTATTTTTTGGTATGTTAATGTAGGACTTTGAAAACGCATTGAAACGTTATGCTAAAAGTGCTCAAAATCCCCCAGACGATGCAACGTTTGAGGAAGCGAGCGCAGCCCGAGATGAAATTAGGAACCATGTAGAGTCCATCCAAAGTAGGTACCAGGCTCTTCAACTGCACGCGGACGACACACGCGACCGGATATCACGTGCCATGGAAGAGAATGGCGTCAGCCATCCAGAAATCGAAGATGAGACGACGAGATGGAATTCTAGTGTACAGCGGTTATTAGACTGGGTGGAGTCGCAAGAGGAGTCGTTAGCCAATCAGAGCGCACCGTCGTTGGATAAGACTGAACTCCGAGAACAGCTGGACAAACACAGAGTAAGTCGTTTCATTTTGTTTTGTGAAGATTTTGTTGATGGCTTTCAGTAAGTGTTACGAAATTTGACTCTTCTAGACATTTCTTACAAATTCTTCGAATTTACCGATGCAATATTTCTACTGTGATTACAGAAACTTTGTAGCACACTTTGTACCAGGAACTTAATTGCTGAATTCTGGCCTCGACCAGAGTACAGTTGGGTACATGGGTTGCATACTGATTGAATTTTATTATATAATCAGAATATTAATTGACTTGATTTGAATCTTTCTGTGTTGGTGTAATGTACTCAGGTGAATATGATGTTTGTGATGTTACTCTGAGTGTATATCCACACCGGGCAAGCTTGAAAAATATGCCTGGCCACGGTGGGAATCGAACCTACCAAAATTGACTTAATTCGTTTAAAGTATTACAATGGACAAATTTAGTAATTAGATATTTTGTTTCAATATTTTTACCGCCAATGAGATCGCATTACATCACGCAAACGATGGCTGCACGTGCTTACGTCACAGCAGGTCGGCCCAGCAGAATCTAAAACTCTGCAGTGGTAAAAAATATCTCAAAAAAACTTTGATGTCTCGCTGGTCAGCAAGCTAGTTTGCTTGAGACATCAGTCTGTTTTTAATCTTTTCCAACATTGAGATTTTAGTTAATTACTGCAGTACATGAGGCATCATTAAAGCTCCACTTGCATATATGTACAGGCACAATTAAGACTTTTAAATTTTAAACAATGTTTAAGGTAACAAACTCGAAAGTAAAGTACATTTTTGCTGGCGAACGTTCAAACTTTTAATAGTTAAAAAAAATTCCGCTCGCGGTCACAAAAACTAATGAGGCTTGTTATTGCTCAATGATACAATATTTCTCAATGATACAAAGGCCAACATGTTGCAAACATAACCCATGTATTTATATAACTAGCAGTCCAATACTAACCAAAGTATAATATATCATAAATATTGTTGCAGTCATTGCGGTTTGTACGTGGACACTCTTTATAGGTCTTTGTCTAGGCAGATGTTTGGTCACGCGGGCCATGCATTTATGTCATATTTGAACGTCTACTGCTCTTCTAGAATGGCCATATTACTCCACTCAACCTTTAAAAATATACATATTTATTCACTGATGCAAAACGTTTGAAGACAAACATATTATTTCGAGGTTTCCTATTTAATCGGGTTTCATGGAGTAAGTGTGTGTACGAGGTCAGTTTGAGCGTTTTTCATGCATTCTTGATCTTTGAAGTATCGACAAACTACTTCACGCACTATGCGGTTTCCTCTCCTGTGTTTTGTGCCTAAATTTTGACTATAATTTATGCATATCTCATTAGAGAAGCATTGAATTGACAGGAATGTACGATAATAGCTCACGAAGAAGTCAGAAGCGTGCAACAATGGCAGCTAGGTTTGTAAAATTACGTTTTCTCTTCTATAGAAACTTTCCAAAGATGTCTTAGCAAGCCAACAGCCTGTAGAGAATACCTTGCGGCAAGGTCGGAGGTTTTTGGAAGGTAATACAGACTATCTTCCGACCTCTGCCCGTACTCAACTCGATACGAAAATGGTGAGCTTGGAAATACGTTGGATGCGACTACAGCGCGAGTCTGACAACCGCTACCGAAGACTGGTCGTGATCCACGAGAAGTTATCAACGTTTGAAGAGGTTCTACATCCGTTTGTTGTAAGTAGAACATTTAATCTATCTTCTTGTTGTCATTTACCCGCTTATGTCACATTATTATACCTACAGTCACATAATTGAACCCTAAAGACCATTGTTTTACTACTGTCATCAGCGTTATAGATATGAAAGAAAGGCCGTTCCTTAATCGGCTTTGATGTGGCGAGATTATGCTTTGATTCCCTTTGAACTCATTTCGTATATGAATTAAGCAAATTTTAATATCTCAAAATGTCAGTTAGCATTTAGACAGGGTGTATTCATATTCATTCATGGGAACATGTGTTTTCCTGTGCGTGGGTCAAGTGCCTGAAATCTAGGGCATCAAAAGTGAGGTGTTATTTTTCTTTCAAAAAGTTCATATATATTGTACGATTTCTTCAATCTAATATATGCAAAGGCCAAGCCATGGCCTTACAGACTCCGAAACCCTGCTGTGTTATTATCCTCGAGAAATCTTTGTGCACTGTGATTGGTTCAGTATCAAATATTGTAAAAACACACACACAGCATTTGGGCAAGTCACAGCATCGTACTGTGACCCTTAATTGTTCTGTTTATGCAGTTTTTGCTGTAGCCGTATAATCTATGCATGTGATTGTGTGCTAACTTGCTGCTTATTCCCTCCTTCATGTTTGTTTATGTTTGTTTTGAGAAACGAGCCGCTTAACCACACGACCGACCGCATTGTTTGGACAAGATTAAAGATTAAACCCTCGAAAAAAACTTACCAACACTCCCCCTTGCTCCCTACCAGGCTGACTGTCGTGAGGCTGGACTATACCAGCCGTGTGACTGTCGCAAAGTGAAACTAAACTGCAAAGTTATTTAGTTACAATCTGTTATAATGAAGAGGATATATGCAACTATGTTCAGCGTGGGAAGATAAAGAGTTTGTTTACTTCATGTGACTTGAAGCTTGACCAATTTAATCCTACATGACGAACTTATAATAAAAGTGAAAGAACCTCTGCTCAAAGGAACTATTTTTAGCCTAAATAAACGGAAAGTGTGATTTTGTGTGAGGTGTAACTTCTTCTGTGTTGCGCACTTGCATAATTTAAGGCCTTAATTAACAAGTAAAGCTGCTTGCATATTAAGTACAATTTAAAGGATTAAGAGACACAGAATAGCAGTCCAGTTTATTTTATTCAGTCGCTTGTTTCTTCTTGTCTCCTTTAAGAAACTAGTTGAAACGAACAATGTTTATCGCCAGGAATCCCACGTTTGAGATAACTTTTTCAGGTAGTTCAGACACAAACCACGACAGCTTATTGTAGAATACTACTTACACTGAACCACCACGTTTGAGATATCTTTTTCAGGTAGTTCAGACACAAACCACGACAGCTTATTGTAGAATACTACCTACACTGGAACACCACGTTTGAGATATCTTTTTCAGGTAGTTCAGACACAAACCACGACAGCTTATTGTAGAATACTACCTACACTGGAACACCACGTTTGAGATATCTTTTTCAGGTAGTTCAGACACAAACCACGACAGCTTATTGTAGAATACTACCTACACTGGACCACCACGTTTGAGATAACTTTTTCAGGTAGTTCAGACACAAACCACGGCAGCTTATTATAGAATACTACATACACTGGATCACCACGTTTGAGATATCGTTTTCCGAGTTAGTTTAGACACAAACCACGACAGCTCATTGTAGAATACTACCTACACTGTAAAGTTTGAGATATCACCTTGTAAACTGTTCGCTTTTTCCTAACATCTCGTGTCTAGGCATGGCTGGGTCGAGCAGAGAAACAAGCAGATGCCATAATGACCGAGGGCTCAGATCTGGATACGGTCGAGGAGAGAATGGCACGTCATAAGGTACGATCAAATGACCTCGAGGTAATTCCCGGAGTGACTATCTTTCCGAGAACTCCTTTGTTTAAATTCACGCAAAGCTGGCTTAAGTGAATGAACAGATTACATTCTCGGATTTCTCGACTAAAACTCAATCATCTTTCGAATAAACGATTCAGACAGCATTCTTGAGCAAAAAACATAACCGTTTTAAAACTGGCGTTTAATGGCGTATTGACGATGTAAAGTACTTTCTTCCTTTCACAGATACACTTAATTATTCACTACTATTTCTTCAAAAGCATAGTGCAAAAAAATATAATGACGGACAAAGATTGAGTTTCAAAGCTCAGTTTAAGATTGATGTTTTACTGGTAGAGTAGTCACTTGTATAAATCCCTATTCGTCCAGTACATGCATACCTAATTTATATTCGCTTCAGGAAACCATTATTTCCTAAATTATTCATATTTCCGATTGTTCAGGATTTCATTTGTGATGTGAAACGACATGAAGTCGATCTGAAGGAAGTGAATCATAACGGAGAAGTCTTTTTACACGAGGCCAAGGTATGAATTTAATGTAGGTCGGTTATATTTAACGTTTTCTATGGCGCCAATCATCGTGGCAAACTTCACACGCATTGACAGTTATGGGATGAGCAAATCATACTAAATAGTTCTGATTCCAAGTACCACCAAACACAAGCTCAATACATTTTGCGAACGATTTAGTGACTCTGTCTCTGCTATAACTGAATTTCGTTGTGAGTTGGCCACGATGTGCTGGACTGTCCCACTTTGTGTTTTACGTGAAAACGCTAACTGGATTTAACTGGAAAGTTGCTGTTTTCTCGAATTTGTTAATTAAGTAGTTTCGTCTAGCATTACGTAGTGTGATATTGAAGTATACATATGTATGTTAGAATTTGATTTTCACATGAAATAATTCGAACGTATTTGCAATTCATTTTGAGATAATAAAAAAGGTTCGTATAGTTTGGACCCAGTAGTGTAAAGTTCTGGAAAGATAGTTGAAATTATGAACCAATCTGTGAGATGTGTTAAAAGATGCACAGGAACAGGCACTTGTAAATGCCAGATATACCTGACTTTGGGTCCATTCACGCATTCCTGCTATAAAGATCGTTCACTTTTCTACGAAGATATTTGTTTTGCGGTTTATGGTGGAGAGGGGTCTTCGGGAGGAGAAGGGGGAGCCTCTTAGTTCCTCGGTGTCTCTAGTGCAACCTTGCAAAGTCTAGCTAACCGAGACGACTCAGACGTGTTCATACCCATTCTATTGTCAGCAAAGTTGTGCATGATTTTCAAACATTAATTTAAAATATTGACGTGTGCTTAATGTCCTTAATAGGTTTGGGGTATTGTGACGTCACTCACTTTAAGACACATTGATTTGTGTCAAAATATCCCAAATGACATGACTAAGATCTGTTGGATGATTCGTTGAATAAAACTCTGATCATGGCTTTGATAAACATCCAAATGAAATTTCAAAGTTGAATTAGCTTAGTTTGACTCCTGCAGTAACAGTATAAAGTTCATTCAAATTATCTTTTTATGGTCAGAGAAAAATTCGTGACATAATTCGTCCCACCGGGCTGGCTCATATGGCCTTGCCCCTAGCGCGATTTGTTGTCTCACTTATTCACCATTAATAATAATAATGATAATGAGCTTTATTTCAACAGGGTAACACTATCGTCTATCGGTAATTACACTGTTCTCCATGACTTCCATTTGACGCATATAGTTTAGGTAGAAACATTTCCTCGGGCCTCAGACAGAAAATTTGGAATAGTCTGTAATAAACTGTCTATACTTCGTCGGCTAAGACTTTGTCAGAAATTATGTCTTGGGTGAAAACTAACAGCTTAAGTTGCAAAGGGTAACTTTCAATGTTGAATTCCATTTGTTTTTAATTAATTTAAAAATTAAAGACACTTCGAAGGTTCCAAGACTTTCCTCCGTTGGTCTATACCATAGTTAAACAATCCCTTGTCTTTCACTAGAAAAGTCCAAGACAAGTACGTATATTTTCAAGTACTCTTTGATTTACCTGCCAGAATAATATTGTGAAATTCAACTGGGAATGCTAGCACTCGTCTTATTAATATATCTTTTTTATTTCAACATAAAGTTTGCTTTTTCGGTGATTTCCATTTAAATTACTTTAGAATTTCAACGGAAGACGCTCTTTATCGATTATAAGTAGTTTCAAAGATTTTGCATATGTAATAAGCTTTAACCACACGCGGTGGCAGCCAAAACGGGGTCAGTTCCTAGTGTTTTGAATGGTAAAGCTCGGTTAAAAATATCAACAAATTTGTTTTGGCTGAGCTGTCAGTAAGAGGTAAGTAAACAGGCATTCTAGTCAGGAAACTTGGTCGGAAATTGCTAGGGCAAACACGAAATCACAGCGCACTCGTACGACATAGCCTGACTCTCGAATATTCTCGATTAAGCTTGAAAATTGTGAGTAATACTAGTTTGTCAAAAACATTGCAATTTGTTGACACCCATTCACAAACAGAAGTGAGTTGTGAGAGTGAAGATAGAAACGATCTCTGTTATCTCTGGAGGGTAAATATCATTTAAGTTTACTAAGTTTTGCAATTTAATCCCGATTCGCTTCGCTTGTTGCTAGCTTTACTCTGTAATTATGTTTTGAATTTTGTAATCATTTGGAAACTGTTGTGTTTTCGTCTTTGTCATGTCGTGGTAGCCTGTTGTTTAGTTTAGATATTTATTAATTAATATAGGCTTGACTCCTCGCTAAATGCTGAATAATGGTTGCTTTTAATTAAAAGAAAAAATATTTATGTAGCTATACAAGTATTCTGTAAAGGGTTTGGTGTGGTGATTTGCATGCTAGATTCCTTCATGTTATCAGGATATTTTAAGAATGTCGTAATAAATTTATACTCAATATCAGAATATCTACTAGCACTATTTGTACCAGTCATGTTTGGAAGTTATAATATGAGCTTGGATGTTTCTAAAAAAGCTCTTGCCTTATATGGTGCGAGATTTCCAGCAAACAGGATATAGACCTGTTTAACAAGGGTCTGGTTTTGATTATATTAAAGTCATTAAATGATGAGGTGATGACGTTGTATGTCTGAGTTTATAGTCTACATTCGTCGAGAATTGAGTTATTTTCTTTAACCAAAACTAATTCTCCAGAATTTCTTGAGCTACGAAACGTCATTGTTTTTTTCGTTTTCAGTAAAGTTCATCCCTTTTGAACTGGTCAAAATATAATTATATTAAGGTTACGTTTCGGGATAAGAAAAAGGTATTGCTCTCAGCAGGGTTTTCAGTTGAGGTGTGATTTCCTCGCGTACGTTAGTACCACAGCACGCAAAATGTGTGATACACACGCAATATAAATAACGTTAAATCCCCTCCATTCCATCTTGAAGAATGAACATTTTCTCACTTTGATAACTGCTGATTGATCATCACCTGCTGCACAATATTGCGTAGTGGAACCCTTCATTTGTATTTGCTGACATTTATTTTTCCTCCCGTGTTTAGCTCTTCCAAGTAGAACTTGAAAATTACGTCACTGCGGTTGAGAAACCCGAGTTGCTAGAAGGAGTAGCCAAAGACGCGCAAGAGCAGTCCTGGGCACTAGAAAATAAGCTATCAGATATCAACGAACGTTATAACAGATTATTAATCTTGCTGTCTGAGAAAGGTTCCGTCTTGAATCAGTCTTGGTTACAGCTCCGTGATTATCATATCAAAATTAATCAACTCCTACCGTGGTTGTCATCTTGTGAACACAGACTCGCGCTCATTATGCAGACTGGAAACGATGGCGACGATACCAGCACTAAACTCAAAGAATTGAAGGTATTATATTTTATAAGTCTTTATTTCATAATCTTGTTAGATCACATGCAGCATGCTGCTATATTTGAACTTGCACAAGCGCTTCCCCCTACAGGGAAATAGTTTACTCATTTCGCTTTCTTTCCTTTTACATTCATTCTGAGAGTTCATGTCGTTTATAATTTATAGCGCACGACTATTCTCGTAATCCAATATAATTGAATCTAATTAACATCTATCGCGCATTCCTCACGATCAGATAATGTGTTTTGCGCAAGTAATGTGTTTGGACAAGGTGTATACCGTGCGCGTAAATTTTCATGCAGCTCCGAAAATAGATCGCAGAAAGACAACTTAACCAAACATTTTTCAACACTTGTATCACTCAAGACAAACGGTTGCTATAGTATTGGTGTGTTGCATGTGTTCTCTGGTACAGTTGCGGTTTTTCTTGCACGTTATCCGCCCGCACTGCAGGCGAAATATCCAGCTTAGTGATCTACATATGCGTAGACTGGAACCTTCCTTTACGTAAGCACTCAAGAGGAGCTCTCAGAAAATCAGTGAAGTGATTCCTGTCAATAAAGATTACAACTTCTAGGAATTTGAATTTGTTCGAAACTTCGCATCGAGTTTCACAAATGTTCGTCGAATAATTTGCCAATATTGCGCAAATTATTACCCAAGTATTTGCAAACATCGTTTATAGTATATTATATAACATACATCTCGTATATCGACCATATTATTGTTCTAATTCTAAAGTAAACCTCAATGCGAATTGATTATGAAATAGGAGAAAACTCTTGATATCGAGTTACGACAATACATTTCATCACCAACGACTGCATGCTAAAATAAACTAAAGGATGCTTCTCAATTAAGCGGTTCTCATGCGCATGGAAAGGTTTAAATCTTTCTAAATTTTGTATTAGTACTAATTACTTCAACAAATACATAGCAAAGCATACAGAAAACTGCTGTTGTCGTATTTAACTTTTTCATAAGCAATATTTAAGTGGATTTAACGTTTCCGTGTCTGTACGCACGGATAGACAAAGTCGTGGAAAGTAGCTTAGTTAGCCTTTAGCTTTAACACCATAACTAGTGTTATTTTGCGTAAACAAAAATATTTTGTTTCAGCGGGACGGTGTTTAACTGTTAAATGTAACACGCAATGGACGCGTGAAAACAACTTATACCATCAGTATATTTTTAGCTAAGTAATGCAGTACCTCGTTGAAAATTTCATTACATTAGACAAGACTTTATGTCGTGCATTTAGCGATAGCGATAGCACTACAGTGTTAGCGGAAAGCATGTATAGTTATTAGACCATGTAGTCAGGCGCTGTTCACACATCTGAACACCTGCAAAGGTGGTGCAGTTTAAAACCAGTTTCGCCAGCCGTACAGTTCAGACAATTCAGTTGCCAGCTGTAAATTTCTCAGGTATACCATCAGTGCATTTCTGGCTAAGTAATGCAGTGCCTCGTTGCAAATTTCATTAGACAAAACTGTGTGTCGAAACTTCGTGCATTTAGCGATAGTTATAGCACTACAGTGATAACAAACATGTCTAGTTAGACGCTGTTCACACCTCTGAACACCTGCAAAGGTGGGTGTACTTTAAAACCAGTTTCGCCAGCCGTACAGTTCAGACGATTCAGTTGCCAGCTGTACAATTCTCAGGTTATTCAAATTTGAATTACTAACAATGTAATCAAATTAGAAGTAAAGATACTTGTATATTTTTATTTTTTGAACGGATTGACCTATCTATACGGCATATTTAAAGTTTGTGGCAACTAGATATAGTACCAAATATATTTTTGCTCGGTTTGTAAATGTAATTTGTTCGTAGATTTCATTCACATATACCAGCGTAGGCTGCGTAGCCAGTGAAAGCATGTCTTCTCAAATATTTGTTCCTTCCCAGTCTTTAGAAGGCGAGGCCCATGCTCATTATCCGGAAGTGGTTGCTGTCAAAGTTGCCGGCCAGAACCTTCCAACTTCCGGTGCTCAAGCTTCGGCCGCGTCACCAAGGAAAACTGTTCCTGAACGATACGACGAGTTGGTGTCAACGATGACGTCATACGAGACTGAGCTCCAGACCTCCACGGTCACGACGAAGACGGTGAAAGAAGATGCTAAGAATTTACTGAAGTGGTTGGTTGAGATTAAGAAACGGTTGGAGGGACTGAGACCTTTCCAAGAAGATATCGAGATACACCAGACTAAAATTCTTCAATTTAAGGTACGCGATATTTTTCGAGACACTCCGAAATAGCCATCACTTAACGGAAGAGTGACAAAACGTAACAAAGCAACGGTTTTACTAACACTAGCCCTATTCCAAACACAAATTCTAACCATAATCCTTACCCTAACCTAATCCTACTCCCAAGTTTGTTTCTAAACCAATCTTGAAGAAAAAAGTTTTCACGAAATGTCATTCTGAGTTCACCGAAATAACTTCTTCCATACTTAACCTAGACTGCGGTGCAGACGCAATTTCCCGCAACGTCTGCACCGCAGGCTATACTTAACCTGGAGTTTTATTTGAAGTGGGCAAGGCTGTAAACTGATAGATTCTAAACTTGTGCGCAACTCCAAACATAACATGTAAATAAAATGCCAGTGTTTGCTAGCGTATGCATTAAGAACGCTTTAAACGAATACTAATCATAAATTATTTATTGGCAGATCATTCAAAACGACATCAATCGCCATCGCTCGAGCGTTGAGGCGATTAACGAACTTCATCGCAAAAAGAAAGTGAAAGCAAAAGACATCAAACTCGATCAGATGAACAACATGTGGCGAGAAGTGATGACGTTATCAACTACAATGTACACCGAAATAACCACAGTGTTTGTAAAGACGTTGAAAAAGTTTGATGTGTGGATCGTGACTCGTCTCAAGAGACTGGAGAGTGGAGAATTGCTGACGAGTGATCTGTTGGTGTTTGAGGAAAATTTATCGGTATGTATATATTGGGTAACCTGTAGCAAATACCCTAACGCTACAATGTTTGTATTTATGTAGTTCCTGATGTCTGAACAACAACGACAACAAGAACGACAACAACAATAACAACAACGACAACGACAACGACAACGACAACGACAACAACAACAACAACAACGACAACGACAACGACAACAACAACAACCACAACCACAACAACAACAACAACAACGACGACGACGACGACGACGACGACGACAACAACAACAACAACAACAATCACAACAACAACAACAACAACAATCAACGACAACAACGGCGACAACAACGGCGACAACAACGGCGACAACAGCAGCAACGACGACAACAGCAGCAACGACGACAACAACAGCAACAACGACGACGACAACAGCAACAACAACCGCAATTAGTCTCTGATACATGTACGCTGAACGTCCCTATTTTGTATATGCTGTAGAAACTTCAAAAAGAGGTCGACTCGCACGTGTCAACGGTTCAAGCAGTGAACCAAAGTGCTCACGAACTGATCACATTAGACAAGGACCCACGTCGCAAAGAGTCTCCAGTCGTCAGCAATTTAGACAGCGTGAACAGAGACTGGCAGGCGTTATCTGTACAGCTCATGAATGCGACCTACAAATACAATGAACTACGGGAACAAATGCTGAAATACCACACGGCAAAGAAGTCGGTTGTATCGTGGTTTGAATTGATTGAAGCAAGGTTGATCCATTTGCCACCTTTTGGAATCGATCCGAAGTCGATCAAGAAACAAATGTCAGAACAACAGGTGCGTCTGTTGAAAGAAACGACCTCCATAATTTTGCCTTAGTTGCAATCCAGTTTCAAGCACCATAGGATTTCTCCTTGGCCCGTACTGACATCTAGGAAGAACCTGACCTCTAGAGATGATTCTTACTGGAGCTCTAGGAAGAACAGTTTAGAACTGATAGAGCTATCCAGTATAAACAAAGTTAGTTTAGTTTAGGTTTCCTCCTGTAGTAACACTGGATCAATACGAGATGATTCTTACTGGACCTCTAGGAAGAACAGTTTAGAACTGATAGAGCTATCCAGAATAAACAAAGTTAGTTTAGTTTAGGTTTCCTCCTGTAGTAACACTGGATCAATAAGAGATGATTCTTACTGGACCTCGAGGAAGAACAGTTTAGAACTGATAGAGCTATCCAGTATAAACAAAGTTAGTTTAGTTTAGGTTTCCTCCTGTAGTAACACTGGATCAATAAGAGATGATTCTTACTGGATCTCTAGGAAGAACAGTTTAGAACTGATAGAGCTATCCAGTATAAACAAAGTTAGTTTAGTTTAGGGTTCCTCCTGTAGTAACACTGGATCAATAAGAGATGATTGTTACTGGATCTCTAGGGAGAACTGTTTAAAACTGATAGGGCTATCCAGTATAAACAAAGTTAGTTTAGTTTAGGTTTCCTCCTGTAATAACACTGGATAGAGCTATCCAGTATAATTTAAAGGTTACTTTGTATATAATACTGCATCAACAAGCGATACCCCTCACTGGACCTCTAGGGAGAATAGTTTAGACCTGATAGAGGCTAATGATGAAGCCAATGTACTGAATATTTTTTAATATTTTTATTAGTCAATCCAAGATGAAGCAATAAAGTACAAAGCGAACATCGACATGCTGATGGGAATGGGCAAAGTGATAATCACCATCACGGCCAAGCCTGGAGAAGAGCTTATGAAACAGCCTGATCTACCAATCACACGTGACTTGCAGGCATTAAACGATCGTTACGATAATATATGGCGTGATATCGAGAAAAGAGGGATAGACCTGGAAACTACACTAAATAATGCAGATAAATACTTCACAGCATTGAATGAAGCAACGACATTTTTGGATGAATGCGAGAAAACATTAGCACACCAGCCAGCCATTGCTAATGATCTTCCATCCATCCAGAAACAACTTGTTTCTACAGAGGTCAGTGTGCTAATATACTTTAACTAAAACATAAGTAGCAAAATGTACGGTCGATATCTTTTTCAGGTAGTTCAGATAAAAACACTGCAGCTTATTGTAGAATACGACCTACACTGGACGTTTGAGATATCTTTTTCATGTAGTTCAGACACAAACAACGGCAGCTTATTGCAGAATACTACCTACACTGGACCACCACGTTTGAGATATCTTGTTCAGGTAGTTCAGACAAAAAACATTGCAACTTATTGTAGAATACTACCTACACTGGACTACCACGTTTTTGAGATATCTTTTTCAAGTAGTTCAGACAAAAAACACTGCAACTTGTTGTAGAATACTACCTACATTGGACCGCCACGTTTGAGAAATCACGTAAAATTTGCAACGGCGTTTGTTGTTATTTCAGAATCTGCTTTCGAAATTGGAGAACTTCACGCCAGTCAAAGATGCATGCAGCAGTGGAGAAGATTTGATTCGTGATCGCGAAGAAGCACCAGGTTGCGAAGATGTGAAGAAACAGATTTCGTTGTTGAAAGAGAGACAGGACTCCGTCTTAGAGAGAGCTCGTGCTCGTCGAGACAGATTGCTTGGTGCTGCTGATAGACCTATCTCTGAGTTCAGAAGTGAAGTGCGAAATATCAGTGCTTGGATCCAGGAATCGTGGAATATGATGTCTGCAATATTGCGTGGTGAAGGAACCGCTGTCGGAAACCAAAGAAAAATTGAGGTATTTTACCGTTTGACAATGAAAGCCATTAAACACTTAGGACTGGGTACATGTATTATATACATCAGCGTTTAGCTTTTTACACTTCAGTTGGTTGCATTGAAAATATCATTAGCTATTGTTCTGTACGACCACTTGTTACCATTTACTTTGCACTAAAGTGATTAAAACAAAATATTGTATGTTATAGCACAAACGCTTAGCTTTTCGTGGTTAAACAAAAGTAAACCATGGTTGCATTGTCAATATTTTTATGTTGTAGCAAATTGACATCGAAAACGAGAGGATGAAGCCTATGATGAAAGAGATTAGGAAGAATGGAGAAAACCTGATCAAGTATATGAACAGCAGGAACCAGAATCCCCAATCTGTAGTCACCATGATGACGAAACTAACTAAAGCTTGGGATGAATTTCAAGAGAAGTTGCTGTTGACTAAAGAGACTGTGAACGAAGGCAAAACTCTACCTCAAGTAAGGCTCTTGTGCTTATGTACTATTGACAATATGAGCTGTTGTATTGGATATACAAACTCGAGCCGCAGACTACTAAATATAATGAGTATTTTCTAACTCCGGTAACGACATGCTGATGAGCATCTGTTGAGCAACAGTTTTTAAACTTTTTAGAAGCCGATTTACACCACACAACTTTGGCCTAAACTCAGTGTCGTAAACAACCTACTTACAACTTGATTTGTACTGTGTAAATCAAGCACACAACTCGTCTACGTTGTTAAACCCACCATAGTACAATGTTGTACTGTATTCTGTTTCTTAATTGTACTATGTTGTGTTTACTTGTGCTCTGCTGGTGACTGGCAGCTGACAAGCGGCTCACTACTATCTGCTGTGATATGTTATGAATTATTGTTGTGTTTTTGTTCAGTATTGTTCTTAAGACATAATTATTGACTTGTACGCAGCCAAATCATAGAGCGAAATTCCTGAATATAAATCATTTATATTATCTTTGATTAGGAACCAGAATTCTTAGAAAAAGCTGTGGCCATCGAAGCTTTCTCTGAGTTCCCCGAAGAGGACATTGACACGGAACCTATGGACACCAGTGAACATGTCGAAGAATACACGGAAGAGCAAGGACGAAAGGTGAAACGTATCACAAAAAAGACGGTAGTCAAAACAACAACGACTAAAGGATATTCCTCAGTTGCTCCTGAAAATGGCGCAGAGCCCGAAGAACATGTCGAGGAATTTATTGACGAACAGGGACGTAAAGTGCGTCGAGTTACGAAACGTGTTGTCCGACGTACACAGGTACGAGAATATGACATATTTTCTACTCTATATTTGATACAGACTGTGTATTAAATTTTGTACAAATTTCTATCATTGACCCGTAGAGAACACTGCTCTCAAGAATATATAGACCATTTTTACGCTGAAAGTAAACATTTGCGGCAGAGTGAGACTAGATCCATACAGCTTTTCTTTTCAGTGTTATTAAAGATGTCACTTTTACTCTTTTTAGGTTCCTGGAGAGGTGGAACCGTCCCGTGAAAGTGGTTTGGAATCCCAGCCATTCAAACTACAAGTGAAGCCACGAAACGGCTCGAAATCTCCAGATGTCCACGAGTACACCGATGCCCAAGGAAGAAAAATCGAGAGAATTGTTAAGAAGACGATAGGACCTCTCAGTATGCCAGAAGAGAAAGAGCCGACGGGAACTACACAAGAATCTGTTGATAAAGATGGCATAAAAGTTACTCGAGTTATCAAACGGACAGTGGGGCCCGCCAACGGTCACCTACCTCGCGAGGAAAAGGTTAGCCGCTTTTTAGTGACCTAAACTTCACTAAACTAACTTCATTTTTACTGTAGATACAGTAGCTTTATCAGTTCTGTTTCCGTAAGGGTCTTGTGAGGGTTATTTTGCTAGTTTTACTACAGGAAGAACTGGAGAAATATATACAAACATGAAGCACTCTTCTATCACATATCAGATAACTGCATATTGTAATCGTAATCACCTTTCGTTAGTCAAGTGATGCTGCCAATGTGAAAATGAAATTCCAAGCACATGTGAATCACGATATCTCATTGGCTGGCAAAAAATTAAATTACCACGCTTCGATTTATACGTTTTAACTTAAATATCAATACAGTATGCATCACTGGCGCTCTAATAATATTCACCCGCTCAAAATGATTACTGAAAAGAAAAAAGCAGCGATCAATGCCTTAAAGTCGCTGGTCATTGACCGGTGACTGGCCGTTATTTGCAGCGCTGCATCATACTGTACTATTTAAATGACATGACGAAATTTGGCTTCATTTGACAGATTCCCACCGACCAAGAGTTCATACCAATTGAGTTTAATATCCCCATACAAATTGATCAGGAAATGGAAACGGAACCTGAGCTTCCTCAAGAGACTGTTGAAGAGTATATTAATCCTCAAGGCAGAAAAATGAAGCGAATTATAAAGAGGACAGTTGTGATTCGTACAGTGAATATCAATGGAAAACCCGAGAGAGTCGAGGAGCCGCATGAGGAGGTGTACGAGGAACCTGTGGCCGACGATGAGCAGCCTAGCGGAGACACTGTTGATGAACGCATTGGCGTCATGCGAGTACAAAAACGAGTCGAGCTTCCTGATTGGGAACCGGTTGAAATCTCACACAGGCCTCGCCGTTATGAACCTGACGAACTTGATGAACCTGTTCAAGATAAACCAGCGAAACTTGTTTTCGGTTTACGACCCACTAAACCTTTAAGTGAAGAAGTCATCAAACCATCGACTGTAGATCGTTCTTTCACACAACCTGATTTCGATGAACTGTTTATGCCCGACGAAGAACCGAGCAATGCCGATGGTAGACCCGAAGGGTTGAGTGGACCTTTTGAATTGGGGGAACCCAAGGAAAGTACTGTCAGTGTACGCATGCACGATAAGGAGAATCCGCTGAAGTTTAAGATTACAACTGTGAAGAAAAGCCGAGTGGGTCATGTGGAAGTTGAGCCTAGGAAGTCGAATGAATATCTCAACTTTGATGAACCGAATAAGGTAGGCTTTGTCAGTGATGGTTTTCGTGTATGGTGCATGTACTTCGCTTTATCTTGAAATAATTACAGGTAGTTTGCCTCATTAATATTCAGTACACGTCAGCATGTACAATCTACGCATGCTCTGTTAAGACTGTCTATTTGTGGCCGCAGTTTCTGATCGTGCTGTTCGTGCATAATGTTTTAGACGGATGATTTTGTGGACAACGATGGCCGTTCAGTACGTCGAGTCACCACGAAGAAACTCACAACAAGAACCGTAGTAAACGGCAACATTGGGGAACCCCATGAGACCACAGTTATCCCAGGAGATCATCTGGAGTTCCAAATAAGTCCCCAAGTGCAGGGGACACCTGTTGATGTCGAGGATATCAAAGACAACGAGGGACAGCAAGTCACCAAGATCACCCGCAAGACACTGGTAACGAAACATGTGACCAAAGATGGCGTCAAGACCGAAGTGTCTGAACCAATCGAGCAAGAGAAAATTACCCCTGTGTTTATCCCCAGAGAGCCAGATTCAACTGTAAGTGGTTAGAAAGAATATCTTAAATAATATCAAGTCTTGTGACACGAGTGCTTCCAGTTGGTCTCTTACCCTGTAGTAACACTGGACTACTACGTGATTACATTCACTTGTCCTCTGGGAAAAACAGTTTAGTGTTGGCTTCCTCCTGCAATAATAATGGAGCAATAAGAGATCGCCCTTACTCTTCATCTAGGAAGAACAGTTTAGAACCGATCGAGCTATCCAGTATAAATAAAGTTAGTTTAGTTTAGGTTTCCTACTGTAGTAAAAAACTGGATCAATAAGAGATTACTCTTACTGGACTATTAGCAAGAAGAGTTTCGGACTGACAGAACTATCCAGTTTAAATAAAATTAGTTTAGTAAGATGACATATCGTTCTTCCTCCACCACCAACTGAAAAGAATTTTGTTTACATTTCAGGACGAACCTGAACAAGTCCACGAGTATGTTGACGAGAAAGGCAGACGTGTGAAACGCATTATACGTAAAACATACGTCACAAAAACTGTCACAATCAAAGGACAGCAGGTGGTCGAGCAAGAGCTTGGGGAGGAGTATCCTGAGGTATCTGCTGACGAATTGGAACCAATTCTTGCAGGTAAGTTTGGACTTACTGTGGTCGTATTCTGTGGTTGTCCTTGGCACGAAAATTGCATTAAAAAATCTAGTTCGAAAACATTCGAAAATGAAAATATTTACTGGAAAATATTTTACTGTCTGCGTTTGAGTGCATCTTTAGAAAGAAAAGAATTGAGATTTGGGTTGTTGAAACTACACGAGGCTACTGTACTAAAAACACGTCAGTAATGTTATGAGCTATACTTATTGTAAGCTTTGGCGTGCTTGTACAGTAATTTTGATCCTTGTTAGACAAGTACTGATTTGTGTGTAGCACTAATATAATGCTTTTCTCTTTTGTCCATTGTAGGAATTCCGTTTGAAAGTTTACCCATTGATGAAGGAACTCCGGTTGAAGAATTTACTGACGACCGAGGCAGGCTGGTTAGAGTTATCATTGTTCGAACAGTGGTGACCAGAACAACAACCAAGGATGGTGAAAAAACCGTGACCACAGAACCTAAAGAAATAGTGATATACCTTATTGGTGGAAAACCTGTCAAACCCGAATCCATTATGGTGAATGGCCAGCCTATTGAACCAAAGAAACCACAGGATATAGTACCAGCATTGACAGAGTTTATCACACCACTTGAGGAAATTCCTGTTGAAACTGTACCATTGGATGAAAATGTACCATTCGACCAAAGTGTACCAGTGGAAGAATTCACAGATGACCAAGGCAGAGTGGTGAGGGTGGTGATTGTTCGAACAATAGTGACCAGAACTGTCATCAGAAATGGTGAAAAGACTGTGACCAGGGAACCAAAAGAAGAAGTGGTGTATATCATTGATGGTAAGCCAGTGGAACCAGAAACCATTACTGTTGACGGTAAACCAGTTGAAGCGAAGAAGCCAGAGGACATTGTACCATTCATATCAGAATTTGTCACACCAAAGGAACAAGCACCAGTTGAGAGTTTACCATTTGATGAAAGTGTACCATTCGATCAAGGAATACCACTTGAAGAGTTTACAGATGATCAAGGCAGAGTGGTTAGAGTGATCATTGTCAAAACAATAGTCACCAGAACTGTCATCAGGAATGGTGTCAAGACAGTGACCAGAGAACCTACAGAGGAAGTGATGTATGTCATTGATGGTAAGCCAGTGGAACCCGAAACCATCGTTCTCCATGGCAAGCCTGTTGAACGAAAGAAACCGGAGGATCTTCTACCAGCAGTTGCTGAGGGTGTAACACCCCTAGAGGAAGTGCCAATTGAAAGTTTACCATTCGATCAAGGAGTTCCAGTTGACGAATTTACTGATGACCAGGGCAGAGTGGTGAGAGTCATAATTGTTCGTACCATTGTCACCAGAACAGTCATCAGAAATGATGAGAAGACTGTGACCAGGGAGCCAAAAGAAGAAGTTGTGTATCTCATAGATGGTCGACCTGTTGAACCTCAAACTATCATACTTCATGGTAAGCCTGTGGAGGCCAAGACACCAGAAGAACTGTTACCTTCTATCGCCGAGGGTCAAGTACCACTGGAGGATGTTCCATTTGAAATTGTACCATTCGATCAAGGAACACCAGTGGAAGAGTTCACAGATGACCAAGGAAGGGTGGTTAAAATTATCATTGTCAGAACAATAGTTACCAGAACTGTCATCAGAAATGGTGTAAAGACAGTAACCAGGGAACCTAAAGAAGAGGTGGTGTATATCATTGATGGTAAGCCAGTGGAACCAGAAACCATTACTGTTGATGGTAAACCTGTTGAAGCAAAGAAGCCAGAGGACATTGTACCATTCATATCAGAATTTGTCACACCAGACGAACAAGCACCAGTTGAGAGTCTACCATTTGATGAAAATGTACCATTCGATCAAGGAACACCAGTAGAAGAATTCACAGATGACCAAGGCAGGGTGGTTAAAATTATCATTGTCAGAACAATAGTGACCAGAACTGTCATCAGAAATGGTGAAAAGACTGTGACCAGAGAACCAAAAGAAGAAGTGGTGTATATCATTGATGGTAAGCCAGTGGAACCAGAAACCATTACTGTTGACGGTAAAGCTGTTGAAGCGAAGAAACCAAAGGACATTGTACCATTCATATCAGAATTTGTCACACCAGAGGAACAAGCACCAGTTGAGAGTTTACCATTTGATGAAATTGTACCATTCGATCAAGGAACACCAGTGGAAGAGTTCACAGATGACCAAGGAAGGGTGGTTAGAGTGATCATTGTCAGAACAATAGTGACCAGAACTGTCATCAGAAATGGTGAAAAGACTGTAATCAGAGAACCAAAAGAAGAAGTGGTGTATATTATTGATGGTAAGCCAGTGGAACCAGAAACCATTACTGTTGACGGTAAAGCTGTTGAAGCAAAGAAGCCAGAGGACATTGTACCATTTATATCAGAATTTGTCACACCAGAAGAACAAGCACCAGTTGAGAGTCTACCATTTGATGAAAATGTACCATTTGATCAAGGAACACCAGTAGAAGAATTCACAGATGACCAAGGCAGGGTGGTTAAAATTATCATTGTCAGAACAATAGTGACAAGAACTGTCATCAGAAATGGTGAAAAGACTGTAACCAGAGAACCAAAAGAAGAAGTGGTGTATATCATTGATGGTAAGCCAGTGGAACCAGAAACCATTACTGTTGACGGTAAACCTGTTGAAGCAAAGAAGCCAGAGGACATTGTACCATTCATATCAGAATTTGTCACACCAGAAGAACAAGCACCAGTTGAGAGTCTACCATTTGATGAAAATGTACCATTCGATCAAGGAACACCAGTAGAAGAATTCACAGATGACCAAGGCAGAGTGGTGAGGGTGGTGATTGTCAGAACAATAGTGACCAGAACTGTCATCAGAAATGGTGAAAAGACTGTAACCAGAGAACCAAAAGAAGAAGTGGTGTATATCATTGATGGTAGTCCAGTGGAACCAGGAACCATTACTGTTGATGGTAAACCAGTTGAAGCAAAGAATCCAGAGGACATTGTACCATTCATATCAGAATTTGTCACACCAGAGGAACAAGCACCAGTTGAGAGTCTACCATTTGATGAAAATGTACCATTCGATCAAGGAACACCAGTTGAAGAGTTCACAGATGACCAAGGAAGGGTGGTTAAAATTATCATTGTCAGAACAATAGTGACCAGAACTGTCATCAGAAATGGTGAAAAGACTGTGACCAAAGAACCAAAAGAAGAAGTGGTGTATATCATTGATGGTAAGCCAGTGGAACCAGAAACCATTACTGTTGATGATAAACCAGTTGAAGCAAAGAAGCCAGAGGACATTGTACCATTCATATCAGAATTTGTAACACCAGAAGAACAAGCACCAGTTGAGAGTATACCATTTGATGAAAGTGTACCATTCGATCAAGGGACTCCTGTTGAAGAGTTTACAGATGACCAAGGCAGAGTGGTGAGGGTGGTGATTGTCAGAACAATAGTCACCAGAACTGTTATCAGGAATGGTGTAAAGACAGTCACCAGAGAGCCCAAACAAGAGGCTGTTTACGTTATTGATGGTAGACCAATTGAACCAGAAAACATCATGGTGGATGGAAAACCGATTGAGCACAAGGCACCAGAAGAATACGCCATACCAGTGGAACATATTCCAATTGAATTCGTGGTTGGTGAAGAACAGGAGCCCAGCAAACCTGCGATTGATGAACTGAGAGAATTAAGTAAAGTGTTGGATGAGAATGTCATCGATATACCTGTGACTGTTGAACCTGTGGAAGGCGCTCCATCTGTCACCACCGTGCAATTTGAAGAACGCTTCCTTCAAGAGGTACGTAATCACATTTTGTTCATTTTTATCTATGTCGAATAGTCTATCTTCCAAATTCGTCATTTGTAAGTTTGCACTGTAGCTGTGTTAATTCTCAACTGTCCAGGCTATCCCTCTTTGATCGGAATCGAAAAATACGGTGTTTGATCGAGTCAAACGAAAAGCGCTCTTGTGAAGTGAGTGATTATCAGACAATAGCATGCGGAAGAAATTTAACACCAGAAAGTTGCCGATTGAAAGGGATTCGACTACCTGAAAAATACAAGCAAAACTGCGACGAAGGACTTCGCTTGGAATGTCGAAATTTTAGTTGTATTTTTCAAGTGTTTAAATCCCTCTCATTACGCAGACCATTTACCACGTTGTACCCTGTCACAGAGGAAGTACATACAGAGATCTCACTTCAGGTTAATTTCGCGTAAGGGATTTTTTCAGTCCGCCATGTTCTTAGCAAGTGCCCTAAAGAGAGGCAGTCACCCTCCTGAAAACATGTTGAAAATTTAATATTCCAGGGGAGGTGAATGCCTCTCTTTAGGGCACTTACGGTGCGCCTTACGAAAAAAAGGGCACTTACGGTGCGCCTAAAAGCGCCTTACGGTTTTGTAATGTAAGTTACACTTCTGTATGTCTTTATTCTGTGACCCTGTCTTTATAGGACTACAGAGTTATAAACTTCACCAAAGCAACAATTGAAAGAGATGTCCCGTTAGAGAGCGTCATGGATCAAGCGGTTGCTGAGCTTGCAGAGACCACTCAGGAACGTCCTGAGATGATGTTAATTGCGCCATCCGCTGAACAACATGATCGTGTCGTCCGACGTGTGATCATCACCTCTGTGGTCGAGACGTACTCAGTCGTCATCATCCGGGAAATTTACCTCCGCGTCATTCACGGAAATTCTCTGCTTGCTCAGAAGATTTTCGACAGTGGAGAGTTGAGCGTTCTTTATGAAGAGGTTTTGAAGTGGATGATGGAAATCGGAAAGAAATTGGATACTCTCAAACCCGTGTCTGGAGAGATGGATATTTTGAAAGAACAAGACAGCGGAATGAAGGTACTGTATTGCGTTTATTGAGTTTCTCATTCATTGATGAGGGGATTTCCCAACAGGCTATTGCTCAATTGGTAGGGGATCCGAGGTAACTACGTTTTAACGTCCTTATCCCAGAAGACGCGAAAGTCTAACCATTTACTGATGTCAATGTAAAGGTAGCTCTTTCTCCTCAGATATTTTAAGACCTTAAGTAGAGGTCCAACCAAGGATTGACCCCAGGTCTCCCAGCTTGAAAGGCAAGCGTGGTGAGCACGACACCACAAGGGCTTTTGTAGACTTTAACGGCAGAGTATCCGAGTTTGGAGGTAGGTGCCGTTGGTGGCCAAGGCTAGTCGGCGATCTAGCCTTGTCAGGCAAATGACCGCAATGGCAAACATTAGGCAAAACACTGGCAAACATTTATGGCAAACTGGCAAACAGCAATGGCAAACAGCAATGGCAAACAGCAAAAAACGTAATAATAAGGCTAATTATAGTAGCAATAGGAGATTTGCCATGACAATTCTGCCAAGGCAGACCTCCGGCACCTGTCACACTGATGATCAGTGGAAAAAAAGACGCATTCTATAGTAGTCTATAGATTGTATCCTGTAAAGAAAAATAAATAACCCCCCCCCCCAAAAAAAAACAAACCCACCAAAACAACAAAAAACTAAAACAAAACTAAAGAAATTAACCCGAGTATCAACAAACATTAACCAGGGTGGGGGCGAAGGGGAACAGAGCGAAAGAGCAGTTGTAGCTGGCTAGCCAAGCTGTAGCAAAGTGACGGATGCGCGATAATTGCAACTGTTCTAAGTGACGTCAGGGGCTCCCCGCTGCTAGATACATCTGCCGTTAACTTCGCTTAAATCTACGTTTAACCACATTAAAACAGTTATTGGATGGGGTTTTTGTGATATTCCGAATTATATCAAGGTCTCGGGACGTATTATTAATAATAGCACTTACTTCGACCTTGATAATTCTGGATATCACAAAAACCCCATCCAATAACTGTTTCTTATTACTAGTATGTACAGTACCTCAGGAGTATTGTCATCTGTGACATGAAATATTTTTGACAATCTTCTTTCACCTTTTTTAAAGATCAACGCGGCTTCTCCTGATTCAAAGTCGTCTTTTCCTAAAATAAGAAACTCGTAATTGCAAAGTCCTGATAAAACAAGGACGAGAGTTGATAGGAGTTGGCACAAGAGCGTTTGCATGATTAGAGCCCTTTTCTCAACGAGAATGACTCGGTCAACCGATAACAAGAGTTGAATGAGGGTTGACCATTCAATGGAGTTGACTGGATATTTAGGCCCCATTTATATGAGACCGGAAACAAAGTCAAACTGAGTCCATTTCGTTTCGGCCATAGTATTATTTATAGATGTTTACATGCATATGAGACCGAGACGAACATATCTCTGACTGGTCTCAAGTCATTCCGCCTGCTGGAACGAGCCGACTGACTTCAGACCGGCATGAATTCAGACTGGGATGAATGTAAACACAAATACATTTCAGACCGGTCTCGGCTGTAACCTTGACATTGGAACAAGTGAACAACACATGCTAACAAAAGCTATCCAAAAAGAAAATTGCCTGGCAAGGGAAATAAATTGAAAATGTTGTGATTTTCGTACCGGTCTCATGTAAACATGTTTACAATTTCACTTTTCATTCACCGGTTTGACTTCGTCCCAGTCTCATGTAAACGGCGCCTTAAACCGCACACATAGCGAAAACTCTCATCACTGAACTGTCATCTTCGTTACTCGGGGCTTAACGTAAGGTTCGTCTATGTCCCTTACTAACTTTCCACCAGTTTAATTCAGAAGTACATCAGTTACTGTACAACGACTATAAAGCCGGTTACAGACGAGCAAGTTTTCCATGACAAGTTTTTGTGTGGCAAGTTTGATTTGACATTAAGTGCACGTGTGTATATGCAACAAATTTTATATGACAAGTTTTCATATGACAAGTTTTATTTACTGGTGTGAACGTGTCAGGAATGTGTTTATCACCGCCATGACAGAAAAATTATAATAGTCCGCTGGCCAATCACATGAAATGCTCAGATTACTTTGACAAGTTTTCTTTGTTGACCGATACAGACGAACAAAATTTGTACTTTGACACTTTTTTCTATGACAAGTGCACTTGTTCAAAAGCTAGCTTTTGAACAAGTGCACTTGTCATAGAACAAATTGTCAAAGTTGCGCGTACAGACGAGCAAATAAAACTTGACATAAAAACTTGTCATAGAAAACTTGCTCGTCTGTAACCGGCTTAATTAAACGTTGCGAGTAATGTTGAAATACCACATACTGTAAGGTGGATGTATTTGTTTTAAGGAATGTACTGTACCGGCATTTATCGCTTTCACTTTAACCCAGCGTTCGTCCAAGTCACCTTCCACTCGTACTACAGTGACAGTCAACTGATTATTTAAATTCTCCTGCGAAATAAGTAGAGAAACATGTAGGTCAATCATTATACTGCATGTAGAAGGATTTATTTAAGGGAAATTTCACGAGTTATACAAGGATTTTTTACAAAATGAATTGCATTTTGCTCGTTATTTTCATCGGTAACCTATCTTCAAATTTTGACCACAAATTTTAATTTTAGTAAATTTGATATATTTCAAATTTTAAAAAAATCTTCACAGTGGAAATCTTGTAACAAAATTTTCGCTTTTAAAAAAATCGGACTGTAATGACTTTTATTAAATGTTCTCAAAAGTTGCAGAACATCATGCTCTACTGATTTGATATATGGAATAAAAAAGAATGTAAAAACAATTTTGTGGCTAAAATAAGCAGGTTTTAAACCTTCGCCGTGTTGCCATGGCGACAGTCACATTGTCAGACCGAATATATTCCACTGATGTTAGATATTGCCTCCAAGTAGAAAAGAATGCACAATCTGCATTAATAGGCCTGTACTATAGAGACGTCGGGCAAATAAGGACAACTGTAGGGAGCCACCTTAATTTAATTAAGGTGGCAGTTAATTTACTTACAGAAAGAATGGTTTCAGTGTCAATGTTGGCAAATTGGAATACTCCTCCTGCATTGTCGTTTCTTTCAATGGTCAAGATTAACTCAGACTAAAAAGATAAATCATATGCATATTATTATTATAAATAATGTATTTTTGCCAAAAAAAAGTTCAATCATTTAGTGTACCATGATATTACTTACTGATCCGGGTTGTAATTTCTGATTCGATTCTGAAACATTATGCAATCGAATGGAGAAGCTTTCGTCCAACTCCGGCGTGTTGTCAGGAAGTATTTGCATGGTTATGTTTACAGAATTTTCACCTAAAGCATGGTAACATGTTAATGTTGATTAATTTGTGGTACGGTGTTGGTGGGTGGATTTTGCATAATACAGTATTGTGTGTGTTGGTGATATGTGCTCAGGTGAATATGATGTTTGTGGTGTTACTCTGAGTGTGCATCCACACCGGGCAAGCTGGAAAGTTTGTCTGACCACGGTGGGAATCGAACCTGAGACCTTTGCGACGGTACATTGATATCGAAGGAACTAGACTCAGTTGCGAAATATCACCAACTCGAACCGACTTGACCTCGTAGCTCAGTTGGGGTAGAGCATTGGACTAATAGGGAGCTTTAGATTTGACTACGAGTACGAGATTCGTCAAGCTAAACGCATGCTGTATGCTTACGCCATCCCGTACTGACGCTAAAAAGTCGTAGCCGTCGCCCATCTGAGTACGAAATTGTGGAGAAACCTCGTAG